TATTAATCTTTTTAATTGCTTCTATTGTGCTAATAAGAGATATAAAAATAAAATATTTTAATATAAAAATATAAAGTGTTTATTTGCCATCATATTTTATTCCTTTTCATTATCTTTGACAAGCAAAAAATATTTGAATTGATGAAATATTTGCAATGCGAACTAAAGAGAAAACAATAGCAATTTTTGAACCAGTGTAGTTTTTGTATATAATCTATTTAAATATTGTTAAAGTTGTTTGGTAGATTTTTTAAACTTACATATCAAGAGAGCTCTAAACACTTGATTGCATATTTCAAATATGTAGAAAATTCAAAAGATTAAATGTTATTCAATTGAAAATATTTATTATTGAACTTGAAGATATCTTATTAATCTAAAGCATCCCAAAACGATAAAATACCACTTATTACGATAAGATACCACTTATATTTATTTTTATCTTACCTCTTTGCTATTTATGATTTATTTTTTATATCAACTTATTTGGTTTGAAAAGTAAAATAAACAAAACAAATGGAAAAAAACAAAAACAAAAAAAAAATATGTTTCAAAATCTTTTACAAAATGTTTTCTCGTAAATTAAAGACTTTTTTCAAAATTCCGTTAGAATATAACATGAATTCCGCTTAAATTTATCACAAATAATTATAATTAAATTGAAACTTCAAGAACAAATTGAAATGAAATTTTTTCATTGTGACATTATTGCTTTACACAGCGTTTTATTCTAGTTTTTATTTTATATTTTTATATTTTAAGAAAATTTTTGTTTTGTGAATATTAATATAAAAAAAAAAGGATAGAGAGGTGAGGGTAGAAAAGAGAATGAGTAGGGGCGACAGGGCATACTTTAAAGGGAGGGAGAAGCGCAGTTAACCTCGGCAAAATATTTAATTATTGTGTTACTAAAGTCATAAAACTGTTTTTTTTAAATTTGGTTTGTAAGTACATCAAAAATATTAAAGGAGGTTTTATATTCAAAGGTATAGTTGGATCATCAATCATCTTTCTATGAAACCTATCTATCTGTATCTTATTTTATTTATTTATTTTTAATTCTTTTTTGAAATTATATGTCATGTTTTAAACAATATGTAATAACTAGAGAGTATTTAAACTACTGAATCTTTAGATTTTGTTACATATAGGGTAGAGCGGGGCATATAGGAACACTTAAGAATCAAATGCTAGTTGCGGATGAACTAATCATAGTTAACACTGTTTTTTATAAATTTTCTAAAGTTCATTGATATAAGTAAATAAAAAAACAAAAATAAAATTTCTAAAATAAGTTATGACAACCAAAGTAACGAAACTCTAGACTAGCAAAACTTTTACATTTTGCAAGTGGGTGGGGCAAATCGGGACAGTTAAAAAGCAGCATTTATTTGTCAATTGTAAAGCTTTAAAAATAATAAAAAATGAAGGCTATCTATTGCCTACATATGTTCAGCCATTAAACTCTCAAAAAAGTAACAAACCATACAACACAAAAAAAAAATAAACACACAAAAAAGAAAGATTTCTAAAAGAGGATAAAAAATACTGTCTGAAAAATATTAACTTTCTATAGGTAAAGCAAATTCGCAAGGGTTCAAGATAAATCTTTTGTCGTTGTATCGCTTAAGAAAATACGCAAATTTTGTTTATCGCAAACTTACTGATGCATTTTGGTACTTTCAATGCATTTTAGTATTTCTAAAATTAATTTTTTTTACAATAATAAAACACAATAATTTAAAATTTTTATTAAAAAAAAATTTCGAAAAAAAATTATTTTTAGCTGAGATATAAAGCTTCAGGCATAACTGTCCCATTATGCCCCGCTCTACCCTACTTGTTATGCTGCTTTGCAAGAAGATATCCGCCATCATGCTTTAATTTTTTTTTTTCATTTGTAAAACAACGCATTAAGTTTATTATGACTAAATTTTTATTATGTTTGAACAAAAAAACAAAAACTTCGCTATGATCGTATAGTTGACATAACTTACTCTATAAAACTTATGCTTATATGTATGTATTGTACGTATGTATTGCCTTACATAACATACACATATGTACTCCAGCTATATTATTCAAGTGGTATTTGATGACGAGGCCTCCGCAATCAAATAAAAAATACAGTTAAGTTGGGAGTAAATGAAAAAGTAAACATCTAGACTTTTATAACAGTGAAATAATTTTTGCTAGTTTTAGATATACTATACAATTGTTATCTGCTAAGTCATTAACATCGATAAAATTGATCATTAAGGTTAACATTATCTAGGGCTGACGACACCAGGGGGGGAGGGGCAACATTTTTTCTAAAGGACTTTTTTTTTAAAGAAATTTTTAGATATAGAAGACTTTTAAAAATTGACAATTGCGCTCCCCCTCCAACTTAAAAGGCCAATTCGTCGGCCCTGTTAATTAACGTAAATGGTTTTTATACAAATAATTAACAAAAAAAATTAACTAAATTTGTTAATGAAAAAATTTTTATTCAATAAAAATAATTTTTAAATTAATTGAACATTTATAAAATAAATAGTTTAAATTATAATAAGTTTTGTAAACTTATAAACATAACTTAATGCGATAAAATATTATAAAGGGCATAACCATGGTTATGTTACCCTACTGAAATCAAAACAAAACATGCTTTAAATAGTTTAGTAAATAAATTATAATTTAAGCGCCCGAAGCTCCTTTCTATTAAGGTTTACATCTATATATGTAAGTATGTATATTTGTATGTATGTATGTATGTGTATGTATGTATGTATGTATGTATGTATGTATGTATGTATGTATGTATGTATGTATGTATGTATGTATACATATATATATATATATATATATATATATATATATATATATATATATATATATATATATATATATATATATATATATATATAAAATATATATATATATATATATATATATATATATATATATATATATATATATATATATATATATATATATATATATATATATATATATATATATATATATATAGGGGAAAGTCCTGGGTAGGTCCCAGGACACTTAAGGAAAAAATAAACTGTACACATGTATTAACAAAAAACTATATAAAAAATGTTTATACTTTTAAAAAAGGATTTTTTAAAAGTATAAACATTTTTTAAAAGTATAAACATTTATCTATTGAATTAGAAACAAAAAAAATAATTATTGTATAATTTAATAGTATACAAAACATTAAAAAAAAAAGGTTAGAAAAAAAGCATGTTTCAAAATTGGAGAGTAGTCCCGGACACATAGTTTAACAATGGTTTTACTTCTTTTTTTACCCGTCTGACACAAATATAATATATAATTACTTAGCAATGAAACGTTCTCAACACATTTAAAAAAAATCGCCTATAAAAATTGCCTATGATATTTAAGGAATGGAACTGAAAATGTCATCATATAGAAATATAAACATTAGCTTTTTAATTCACTAATTCAAACTCTTTTAAAAAATTTTTATAAAACCTTAAGTCTGTTTATTGGAGTTAAATGAATTGCTATTATGGGTTTATGTATTATATCGAACTTATTATTATTTATACAAAAATATCCTTATTTTTAATATGTAAATGGATTAAGTTGTCCGGAAACACCCTCTAAACATGTGTCCGATAGCACCACATCATACCTCATTCACAATTACTAGTTTTAAAACCAGTGAATTTAAGTATCAAACGAATTTTGTTTTGTAATAAATATTGTAAAAAAAAATGTATCTTTAATCAATAAAGACTTATAAGTTTACATAAAAATTAGGTATGTTAATATGTAAAGTATGATGATACATCGCTCTTCTGGTGTTGGGAACAACATCTTGTACCCCCAGGCAATTGCTTCGGCATATTAAAATAGATATTTTGCATATGCCATATTTTCACTCAAATAATGTTTCTATAGTATTTAAAATCACATAGCTACTTCAGTTTAAGCAGCACATCAAGTGTCCGGAGTTACCCGCCGTTGGGTAACTACTGACACTTGTATGCAGCTTAAACTGTAAATATATATATATATATATATATATATATATATATATATATATATATATATATATATATATATATATATATATATATTCATTTTACAAAAATTTTAAACATACCGACTGTTTTATTGTATGTGAGTGTGTTTGTACATGCATATACCTTAAAGGTTTTACATATTAAAGCGATTAATAATCATATTTTGTTATGTCAGTCAAAAAACGTTAAAAAGCAAACCCAATTAAAATTCTGTCTTAAACAATTGAGATTTTTATTCGACATTTTAATAATCAGATATCTCAAATATCAATAAATAAGTCGTATCATATGGCTGAGCAAAAACACTTTTTTTTGAACTTACTCATATCCAGAAGTAATCAACTCGATGAAATCTTGAAACACAAAAAATTATTGCACATAAGTATGACCAGCATTTATTTGATAATAAAAAACGTCATAAACATTCGTTTATAAGATTAAAACGGTTGGATGGAAGACATTCAAAAAGGACTCATTAAGATTTTTTGAATACGTTAAAAATTTCTATAACGCACATTGCGTTAAAACTTTTGTTATTGTTCCATTTCTTATTGTCTTAAAGTATGCATTATAGCTAATAAAAAACAATTTGCAAATGGCAATCAAAACATTTTTAAATTCGTTTTTATAATGAGTACCGATTAAAATAATAAGTAGTTATTTTAAAGATAAGCTTTAAGCCACTTGTTTTTAAGTGTTGTAGTTTTTACCGCACACGCCGTACAAAATTGGCAAGTTGTTTCTCGGCCGATTAGAAACGATTTACAGAATAAATCTTATTGATAAATATGGATTGCATAATCACAAATGTTGCGTAATAACATTTTAATAAAAAAAGTTAAATGCGACGAATAACGATATAAATTGTGACTGCCTTAAAGTACCATTCAAAAGCAACGTAACATTTTAAAACATTAATTTGAACAAAAACTTGTTAAATTAACTTACCATGTTTAAACACGTAACTGATTGAAGTTCCATTGCAATTCCGTGACTTGATCGGCATTTCTTTAGAATTTTTGGGTGTAAATGCAGTTTTTTTTTGTTTTTGTATCTTAAAAGAGGTTTCTTTAGATTTTTGCTTCACAAAAGGTACTTCAACAGAACTTTTCGTTGTTATAGTTATTTTATTACATTTTCTTGTCATAATAGGCGTTTCTTTTGATATTTTTGTCGTGGTACTGGTTTTTTCAGATTTAGGTGTCGAGATAGTTGTTTCAATAGATTGAGACAAATCCTGAAAGGAACGTTTTTTAAAATCGCAAGGTTCAGTAACAAGAGTTTCTTCTTTCATCATTTTTAATTTCGACGGATCAAAACTTTTACGCTTGCTGCTGAACCTTGAAATTTGCGATCTATTAGGTTTGGAAGAGTTCGGAACGTAAAAATTAGCATAAAGACTACTTTCAACTTTTAAATTAACTTCATCAGTACTGTTAGGAAATAAATGAGAAGAAAAATGTGGTTTTGAAAATATATTGTTATTTGAGTCGTTACTTCTAATCGAGAGGGTTGGGCTAGATCTCGGCGAACGGTTTTTATTATCCACACGAAGTAAAGATATCGGTGCATTTTTTTTATTTTCAATAGAATTCAATGATTCCAAACCGTTCGTTTTGTGTGCAACCGAGTCACCATTAAAATCTTTTTTTGGAAATTCATAAAATATTTTTCTCACTGAAGTGTAAGGGTCAATTTTCGCAGGCGAATACCAACTTATTGGTCTACTCTTTTCAACATTAAATTGACCGCAATTTTTAGACCCATAATATGATCTTCTATTTTCTCGCATTTGAATTGGCATTCCAAAATGAAACAATAACAAAACAAATCATGTGTTTTCTTACTATTCAAGTGAAATCAGAAATTTAAATAATACAGCATCAACTTATTTTATCAAAAAAACATTACATTAAACCTATCTCATAAATACATCAATAACTATATATATTCCTATAAAATGACGCAAAAAACTGTTGCATGCTCCTCCTTTAAAGTTTCAAAACATTCCTTTGATGTTCCACTATATTGACAAACCAGCTAAACAAATTTAACAGTCTTAAGATTTCTCTTAATTTACATTCACAGGATTAATGGAGCCTCAAATAACAAAAGCTATAATCCGTCATCGAAAGTTTATACTGCATAATCGATTTTATTGATATCAGACACTAGTTACGTTTATTTTAAATTTATATTAAACGTGAAACGCAAACGAAAAATGTTGTTGTTAATTTTTTATTTTATTTTATAATTTAGTTTTAACGTTTAAGAGTTATTTTTTTATTTATGAAAATAAATATTAATTAAAGTCTTTTATAACCACAATTCATAAAAACTATAAAGAATCTAAACCATAACAGGACTAAATATTACAAGACAATAATGTAGTTTACAAAATAAAATAAAAAAACTTACTGTCAACCACGAACATACTTCAAATATCACACAAAAAAGTACAAAAAATAAATAACGGTTATTAAAAAATATATATCCTGAGCATCACATCCTGAAACCCATCCTTTGTTTTTATCTCAACAAATTCTTTTAACAGTTTTTATCGTATTTTTTCTTGATGTCCGTTTTCATGATATAATTGCTTTTTTTCGCGAAAAGTAAATTTAATATGCTCGATCAAATGATGTTAATTAACTCAAAGTCACTTTAAAATCTAACAGCATTTGTCCCAAGCCTTTACCCTAAACATCATTAAATTGATTACTATTAATAAAAATTAAAAAAAAAAATTAAAGCAAATAGAGGTTTGGGGTTAAAAGGTTTGTTGTCTGTGAAAAATTCATTACAAGATTCTTTTGACCTATAGTGCCTTTTAACGAAAGAAAAAAAAAAACTAAAAAATTAAAAAAAATAAAATAAAATAAAAAAATCCATCTCTTAAACTCTCTGAAACTGGTAAAAAATATTTTAACGCATTGAAAAGCAAACGATATTATAAAAACGGATTTTGAAACATTTAGCAAAGAACTTACATATATATAAAACTTGACATTTAATAGATATTTATTTATTAAAGAAAATCTCACAGCTGAAAATAATTTAAATTGACAAACCACATTAAAACAAACATTTAAAAATAAAAACAAATATAGATTGTAAAACAGTGTTATTTAAGTTCTCAAATTCCAGATGACAGTGGGAAGAAGTACTACTTTAGCTAAAACTATAAAAGTATGCAGAATGTACACATATAATTGGGGTATCATTAGAAGGTTTTAGATATCACTAGAGAGGTTTCCATAGGAACGGAGTCCCTATAAATCGTTTTGCAAAAACGCAATAAAATTTCTTAAATATAAAGTAAAACAAATACAAACCTCGTATTATCGTTAATTATTACATTAAACGTATAAGTAACTATTTTGTCACGTAAAAAAATAATTTTTTGCTGTTTATTAAAACAAAAAATATTCAGTATAGAATTTATTAGTTGAAATAATACAGGTTGGTTTCTATATTCGTACTTTTTTTAACTTATAGATTTATTAAAAAACAAAAACTTTTTAACATTTTATTTTGTACAAAATAGTGTTTATAGTTTTTAAGTTTGAACTTTGCACATGTTATTTTGGTCAACTTTTCGTTAATTTTATAATGATAGATTTCAAATCGATATTTAACTTGATTGCAATAATATACTCTTTTTTTAAAAATATCTCATTTTTATTTATCCCCCCCCCCCAAAAAAAAAAAAAAAAAAAACTTAATCAAATTACTACTCTTTATTAAAATTTCCGCAGCTAAGATTCTTCTGTATTTTAACCATTTCTATGGTATATATATATTTTGGAAAAATAAAAAAGAGAATTGAAAAAAATTAATAAATTAAAATTAAATACTGTAATAAGATAACAAATCAACAACAAAAAAATCATTTACAAATGTTTTGGGACAAAAATATTTGGTCGTCGACATATCAGCCTTTACATGTTCGTAAAACACCTAGCGCCTGGTAATAAACATTTTTATTAAGATTTATTATTAATTTAAAGTCGCAGACTGAACTTCTTTGTTCTCCTAATTGTTATATATACTGACCTTCAATTCAAAAAGATTGTTCGGTCTCCCTTGTTTTTCTCTGCCGCTTTTGTTTTTTCTGCTTTCTATCTCTTTCAGCAGCTTGTTTTCTCTTATTCTTTTATTATTTTTTCTTAAGTTTGCTCTTCTAATTTCGTAAAATTCTTCAGCTTTTCCTTCACCGGTCTTATAAACAAACACGTACACAAAATTACAAGCATGCCTACGAACTTTGAAAAAATGAAACTTTTTCGCCGTTTTTTAGCAGCTATTGAAAAAGCATTATTTGTACTTTTTTAAGCATTTTATTAAGAGTATGAAAAAAAATTCGACATTTACTTCAACTTTTTTATCCCTCTATATGTTTTATGTGTTAAAAAAATTTAAATAGGTACAAGATGTTTATATTTATTTCCAGTTGAAATAATAATTTTGATTAAAATAATAAGTATTTCCAGTTGAAATGTACTTTTGGTTGAAATAACAGTGGAGAGCGGGGTAAGTTGTCACACGGGTTGGTTGTCACAAAGCTTGTTACAAAAAAAGCTGGTAAGATTTAGAAATTATGCAACAAAGAATTTATTTGAAACCTTTTCTGGTGAATAGAAAAACACCATTAGTAATGAAATTTATTTGCAAAATTTAAATTTCTCACACTTAAAATTTTTATTTTTCCAATCGGAAATTGTTTTATTTTTGTTTTGAATGAACATTTATAAACTTTTTATTTTCAGTAAGAAAACGTAATTCATTAAAAATTCTTATTAAGTTCACACGCATTTAGATAAACTTACAAGTGTCATGCTACTAACATAGAAGTGGTTGTTTGGCACAAAATTGAGATGGTTTTCATAGTGACCTCGACTCCGTGTGGAGTTTTTCAAACTAAAGGTTCTTTAAAACTCTTTGTGTACCGTTTTTGTTTTAGAACAGATCTCATGGTAAGATTTGCAAGCAGCATAAAGCAAGAGAGCAGGTAATAGAAACAACTGTGATCAATGATGACTTAAAAAATTTGTTAATTTAAATAACTTATATACTATATACAATGAAGTCGTTTCGATACCTTTAAGACACAATCGATAGCCTGTAGACAAAACTAATTCTTTTAATGATTTTTCCGCTGTTTCTGCAACCTTAAAATAAATTCAATCCTATTATAGACTCGGAGGCCCTATGGATTTTGTCTACCCTATCGCTACGCCTCTGACCACACGGTAATAAATAGAATAATGAAACCAATCAGATTATTCAGGTAAAAATGAAGATAATAACAAAGCTTGTTCTTGTTATTTTATGATCACCCTAAGGACTATTGTCCATGTTATTTTATGGTCACTCTTACATATGCCTTTTTTAGGACAATTAAAAAAAAGATTGCTTATTTTATTCAATTCAAATCAGAAAATAAAATTTAAGCAATTTACTAAAATACCAGCTTATAACTAGACAGACACTAAAATTAAAGATCCATTTATATTAAATAAAATCTCAGACCATGGCCCTGTCACTCGATAAGCTTTTTCAATTTCAATCATTTCAACTGAGACTATTAGATCTGCTTAGGCAGGTTTAAGATTAGCATCAAAATGAAGAAGGATAAGTTTTAAATGTAAAAAAATAACCAACCTTATTCTACCCTAAATATTTCCGGTATATTATTAACGTTTGTTATTATTATCTAAAAAAAGTTTTTTTTTAATTTTATTTATAAAGTTCAAATGTTTGGCCTTCTAATCAATTTTTTTTAATCCTTGAATTCTTTAATATATATTAGAAAAATATATGCTGTTTATAAGATATTAGAAAAATATATGCTGTTTATAAGATATTAGGCAAAAAATTTATTTTCTGTATACTGTTGAATTTTCTAATTACGTAATATTAAGACTACGAGTGCGTTAAATAGGTAAAGGTAGATAGGTAATGACGAGGTATAAAGAGATTTATATATGTATTTGTTTAGATTCTAATAGATAAGAAAGTGTTTGTAAATTAATACTTTAATATATTAAATAAGTATTATTATATGTTTTGGATCGGGAATGTAACATAAACAGAAGAAATAAATTTTATAACTTTCTAAAAACCAGGGTATTTTGAGAGAAAGACATTAAAATGTACTTGCTCACTATGGCATCCTATGAACTTTTTCTATTTTTACAAAAAAAGGTTCGACTTCCATTAAACTGATTTTGAATAAAACAGTATTTGTCTTTGCAGGTTTAAGTCTGTTTTTGGAGATATGGATCAAAAACAAAGCAAACAGGTAAAATTGAGGAGACCCAAAACCATTATTAAAAATTTTAAAAACAAATGTATACAATAATTTTGGTGTAAAGCCAAATTTCGATATACACGCAGTAGCAAATTAGGACTTTTCGTGGCCTGGGGTTAATTTAAAGCTTTTCATGTCATTAATCAAAGATTTTATTTTTAGAGATTATTTTTAAAAATATATATTTTTTGAATCAAAAAACTGCATGGCCCAGGGCGTTAGCTCCCCCTTTTACCCCCTAACCTAATCCAGCACTGCACATACACATGTACACACAACCTTAATCAAAAATTTGTAACATTTTAATGATTAGCATAAAATTTTAAAAGTTCATTTAAAATATTTTTTAAATGAAAAAAAAAGTCTTTAAGACTTACTTTTAAAATTTAAGACTTTTTATTGAAGTAACTTTATATTTAAAATATTTTTTTAAGATATATATAATAATTTATATATAATAAAATACTCAAAACTTTGAGTATTTTATTATATATAAATGTAACTAATATTTTGAATCACTAAAACTAATCAGTTGATTATTTTAGTTTATTTATGTGAGAAATTTGTGTATTAATCGTGGAAAAAACTAACAAATTCAAAACAAATTCAAAAACGTGTTCAAAACGTTTTAAGCAAGGATCAATAGTGAGCATTGTTTTAATTTTAGTCATTATCACACTGCATCATAAAAACACTGAAGCAATAACATGAAATTGGTGATTTTAAAGCTTATAACAAAAACCAGATTGCATTATCATGCTTTAGCATGCTTAATACATGGGAGAGGACGTTTACCACTCATCCCAAGCTTATTAAGACCCTCTATTCCACCGTTTATTTATTTCTACTTGTTATCAACAAAAAACTATATCTTAAAGCTAAAAAAAAAAAAATGAACAGGTCTTAAAAATTAGAAAATATATACAGTTAACTCCTGATAACTCGAACATTCAAAGGACCAAGAAAAATGGTTCGACTTAACAAATGTTCGGCTAAAGCAAATTCTTGTCAAGTCAAACTTTGGCTGATATGAGATACTAGTTCAAGTTAGGACAATTTATCTTGATTCAATACTAATATACATTATTTATGCCATTATACTAATGTTTTAACAAAAGAAGTTATGTATTTAGTAGTTTAGATTGCAGTCAAAAGATAACATTCAAAAAAGTTTAGTGGTACAATGAATTCTTTATTATCTGGTCTAATAGGTAGTAGTCTTTTATTTCGATATTCATTAAACTATAAAAGAATTGTTTGTTTTTTTTTAACAGCTTTTTTATGATTTACCTTTTAATAGTTTTATTATAGCATTATATTACATCTGATAACGAACTATTCTGTATAGATATAAATACAAAAAAAAAAAAAAAAATTAGGTTATTTATGTTTTATATGAAATGATTTCTTTTTTTTTTTTAAATTTAATAATGTAAATAGCTTTAAGTCCCATACAAAAAGTTTGAGTTACCCAAAGCAATTTGCCTAAAGGGGTCAAAAAATAGTTTGAATTAATGATGTTCAAGTTATCAGAGGTTCGACTTAACCAGAGAATTTTAATAGTAATCCATTACACGATTATAAGGGACCAAATGAAATAGTTCAAGACAATAAAAGTTCGAGCTAATCGGTGTTCAACTTATCAGGAATTAACTGTATATACCAGTCACTGATAAGAATTAAAACTTTTGTTGCAATCAAGTTTTAAAAATTGTCAACCTATAAACTAGTTTTTGGTTCATTCCTCACCAGAGTATAAAACTTATATAAACATAATAAATCCTATTGAAATTATGATAAAATAGCTGTAAAAAACGCTGTAAAATGATGGTAAGCCACACCAGAATTAAATTGTTTTATGCGTGTTCTGTAAAAAATCCCACCCATCCTTTTATTAAGACACCCATCTTTTTATTAAAACCCCCTTCCCCATTTATTTGATCTTAGATCAAAATTTTATTTTAATAAGACCTTTTAAGGATTCTTATGTTAATATAAACTTTGGAGTCTCAAAATTGTTTCAAAACTTCTCAGAATCGCGTAACTTAACTTTTTATAAAAGACTTCAGATTCAAAATTGACTCATTTACTGACAACTCATGAGTCATTCAAATTGACTCATTTACTGACAACTCATGAGTCATTCAAATTGACTCAATGACAATTTTTTTTTCTGCGGAATTTAGACAAAACAATTTTGGAACTGTTAAACACAGGAGCCATGATAATAATAAAGAAACTAAGACTCTGAACCATAAACCTGAGCCCTTCTGGAGCATTCCTTTCATGGTTATCATAAACTTTGATGATATTAGAAATATTTTATGTTAACCTTTTATAAAGTGTCCTTACCTACTTTACACAAAATTACCAACCTGAGGATCAGAACGAAGAGAAGCAACCCCTCCTCCTCCTAACACTTCTTCCAAAACAAAATTAAATGCAAAAATTCCAGGTAACTCATACCTATAGAAAAACATCAAAAAAAAAAATTTTTTTTAATAAAAATTAATATCTAAAAAAATATACACAAAATAAATTAAAAAAATAAAACAAACCTGAAACATGCATATAATTACTACTATTTATTTAAGTCAGTACAATACTGCACATGTAATGTTTTTTAAGTTTATGCTTACTTTAATCCAGATAAAAATAATAATACAAGCTAACAAATATTTTGTTGTCTATTTCAGGATGATACTATCAGTGACATTTTATGCATACTTAACTTTACAATCTAGCCATAAATGCTAATTTTTAAACTAGTTAAACATATTTTCCAGAATGCAAATTACTTAATGGAATATGTAATTTATTTTAAAATGTACCTTTTTACACGACATTTATTTGCTGTTCCCTCAAAAAAATGCTTGAAGTATTCTTCCACAGCTTCAGCTGTCACGATTTCTTTAATGCAATTATAGTATTCTTTCTCACGACATATCACACCTTTTATGAAAAAATTTATTACTTATAAAACAATTTTAACAAAATTAAAAATAAAGTTGAAAAAAAAAATTATAAATGTTGTAAAAATAAAGAACTAAAAAATATTTTTAAGACTTATAAGTGAGCATATGATGGGAAGATGTTGGGCCTAAGAAATATTGAAATGGAAATGTTATTAGAATTTTCAAATGCTATGAGATTGAGAGCCAGCTATGCATTAATCGTAAAAAAAGATCAAAAAAAGCAATTATAAGTGAGGTGTCTTTAAAAAACAAGTGTAACGTCTTCTGGACACAAGTGGGCTGTATTTATGATACAAATGTCTACCGAATAACTAACTTGTGCTATGTAATATAATGTGAAGCTTGTATTAACACTAATTAGCTATTTGCGACACGAAACTGGTAGAAAATCTGAAGAAAGTATATGCATAGTTTGGAAACTGAAAAAATGCATATTTTTATTTGCATTTGTGGTTGGTAAGAATAATTTGACATATTTGTATTAGTATTGTATTTGATTAAAAAATATCTTAAACCTTTGTATTTGTACTTAATTGAAACTCCATAAACTAGGTTAAGTAATGTTTTTTCAAGAAATACCAAGAGGATTTTTTTTTTCAATTTTTAATACTAAAATAAATTAAAAATTATTTTATTGTATATTTATTATAAGATTTGTTTTCATTCTTCTGTTTAGTAGACCATTTTATCAGTCTTGAAAAAATCTTCAGGCTTGGTCGGGAAGCAGGTGCGATCGCACTTGATATTTGACCACGGAAATTATATTTAGTTTCGAAAAGCCGGCCAGATTTTTTAGGCGTTTTGAGAACATTTCAAAAACAAGCAAAAAAGCGCAATAAGATAAACTGGACCGATGAGAGACAGTTAAAAAAAGAAAAACAGCTTTTAACGCGAAAAAACTTTAAGCAAAATAAATATGATTAGAGCAAATATTTTTGAAACGTCGCTCTTTTATAATTTTTTTTAAAAAAAAAAGCGACATTTTTTTGTATATAGTAACAACATACTAATAATGATTGTTTAATAAAGAAACAAATGTTCTTCAATTTATCAAAGATTATATATAATTTTTATTTATATACTTATTTATACTGTCTTATACTGTCTTATTTCCAGTGCTGGAAATTAGAGCTGGAGGGGGGGCGGGGCGGTAGAAGAGCTATAGTCCCGGGACACACAATGTTATGGGCCGAAAAATAGTCAAAAGGACCTATCGGTATTTTTAAGTCATATTTACGCTGTCGCACATAAAAAAGGACACCAAAACAATGCAGCCCCGGGCCCTGTAAAGTCCAACAAGATTTAACCAATAAAACTAACGCTACATAATTTAACTATAAATAAAAAAAGTTTTTTCAGTACCTGTTTTATGCTTCGCGTAGTTTGAAAAGTTTAACATATTTGAAACAATTCTTCTTAGTGAGATGAACAAATGAAATAACTAAATTATTGAGTTACTGTGGAAATTTAATTAGCTAGATAGAAATTAACTAAAAACGTTAAATTACTTTGTAAGGAGGAAGCGGAACTGCTTAACAATATCGCTGATGATGTTTAGTGAGTGGGCTTTATATCTTTAACTAGTATTTTACAGAAAAAAGTAACTTTAAGTGTAAGTATAACGAGTTTGTAAGAATGGCTGAAGCAAAAATAATTGAAGTTAATAAACCAATTTCTAATACATTACGTACATATAAATACATCCCTTATATATAAAAAATAAGATTATACTAATTAAATCTATAATATATTTACAAAACGTTGACAAGTTAAAAAATATAAATTTAAAACATTTATTTTTGTAAACAAATGTTAGTTTAAAACATTTATAGCTTTGTAGATGTGACTCCGAGAATGAGCCATTGTATTAAAATAATTGTTCGTTTGATAGTATATTCTTAAAACAATTGATGTTTGAAATCTCAACGAAAACATAACAAAACTCAAATTATACGATTTTGAAAAATAATTCAACAGAATACTCAAGAACATTCGCTTAAATTCTTTAGTAATTTCAGTTATTTATTAATTGAACCAATAGAATTAGTTGTTTGTAAATTAGTGGTAGTAAATTAGTGGCGGTAAATTAGTGGCGTTAAATTAGTGGCGTAAATTGGCGGTAAATTAGTTCGTAAATTAGTGGTGGTAAATTAGTGGCGGGTTTTTTGTGTTCGCAAATATTCTTTCTTTATTTTTCCGCACCAAGATGTTTGACAACATTCAAGTTTATATAAGTTTCCATGTACGTCCGTAAAACAAAATATTTTGAAATTTACATTAAAATAATAAATTTATTATTTTGCGGACAAACAAGGAAACATGCATAAACTTAAATGTTCTCAAAACGCCTGAAAAATCTGGCCAGCTTTTCGCAAGTAAATATAATTTCCGTGGTCAATTATCGAGTGCGATCGCACCCGCTTCCCGACCAAGCCTGAATCTTTAAATTTTTTCTTAACCTAAAGTGTAAATATTTGTATTTATATTTGGAAAATACTGATTACATATATTTGTATTTGAATTTGTATTTAGAAATCTAGAATTAACAGATTTGATTTGATCAAATGTATTTGAGCCATGAGGTGTTAATAACTAGATATTTGTTAACACCTCTTTCAGTGGAACTAATTTTTTTCAGTAGACTATTATACCTGTTTTAAACTTGTGGTTCTACTGTTGAAACTTGTGGTTCAACGTACTAAAATCCAAAGCTGATGAGCTAGACTCTTTGCATACATCATGCATCTAGTATAATAAATGTAAACAGTTACCAGGAAGTTAATATAAAACCATTATTCTCAAAAATTCTTGTTACATCTCATATATTAATAAAAAAAAGCATTCAAGGCTTATCATGTTTAAACTTTACTAACTAGTTTGAGTCCACAAAAACAACATTGACTCTTATTATAAAAATTTTTAAATATATTTGCAAAAACCTCTAATTTATGATTCAGCTACTTTTTGGAAAATTCTAGAGTACTAATATAAAGTTAGAAGTTTCAGGAATATAAGAAAATAAAACTTGGAGAGCATGCCTTAAAAAAGACATGAAAAGCTTCATTTGATAAGAGAAAATAATCATGAATGTGTATATTGGAATTAGTATTATGTTAAAAGTCCCACTTGTACAAGCATGAAAACAAATATGCTAAAACAATGAAAATGATGACGAGGGTTAAGTTAGAAAAATTTAATCTAGGAAAACTGATTTCCTAATCTGTACATATATTGCCTATTTTAATAGCACTGTCTTCCAATACAGCGCTTGACTATTTTAGACATGACAATAGACTTAGATCTAAGAACAATTCCCTTACCTATATTAGCATCATTTCCTTTATCTCCACTTCTTGTGTAAGCAAGTGTACCCAAGGTGCAAACACCTGAATGTTGAGCTAACAAATAATTAAAAAAAATTTAAAAACAAAATAAAATCCAACATAAATTTACAATTTTTTTTTCTTACTTTTTTTTGAGTTTGCTATTGTGACAGATTCTTGTGTTAGACTTTCAGCACGATCAACTTTTGGATTGTACTCTTTGTACTTTTCAGTGCACTCTCTGTACTTTTCTACCATTACCCCATTGAGATGAATAAAAACCTAATTTATTTAAACTAGTCAATTGTAAAAAAAAATCAGATATGTTTAAATATAATTTACTTTATAAAAAGTTAAATATTGAAAATAAAAAAACAGCAAACAAACAATAGTTCCATTTATTGTTAATAAATGAAAAAGGTTTTTAAAAATAATTCTATATGTAATTTACAATTGAAAAAAGATTGATTTCAAAGATTAGAGATCTTATTAACGTATAATTAAATAGAAATGTTATTAATGTATAATTAAGTAGAGATGTTGGAACTGAAACTCTATTGAAATTGTGACTATTGAAACAAAATAAAGTTTTTTTATCATTTTACAATTTTTACCAAAGCATGCTATTCTTCACGCTGAGTTTTGATTATTTTATCATCAAAGCATCAATCAAAATTTAAAATTAAATGTATTTAAAAATATAAATATGACATTAAATATACTCATTTAAGTTTATATTTATACTATATTTCATTTATTAAACTAAATTTATATTTTAAAAGCTAATAAACGTCAGTTTTGACAAATGAACATTTATTGACTAATATCAATATTACATTACTAAAATTACACACTGAAATTAATAGATTATGTTTTTTTAATGGTATTATTTATTACTATCATTATTATTTATACTAATAGCTATTTTATCATTATGTTAACATTTGTATTATTTGCTATTATATTTATTACCAATTACTTTGTTTTACTATTGTTGAGATTTTTTTTCTTCTAATGAATTGAACTCTTCTAAAAAAAAACTTTTTCAAAGTGTAACTGAGAATGAGGGTGTAATTGACTAAAAGGTATTATAACTTGAGAGTGCATCTAGTTGTGACTTTTATGTGTAAAAATTATTTATAAAGTTAACAACAAGAAAACTACTTACTTCTACTTTTTCCTTGGGATATTGAAATGAATAAAGTTTCAAAACTGGAGATCTACAAAATAAAACACAAGTAAACAAAACATACAACAGTTAACAACTCTTCTATCTCATCATCTTTTACATATGGATACAATTTGGTTACAATTTGTAAACAATAAATAATTCTTTGAAAATATTTACATATACTAAAATACATGAAAATTGTAAATACTAAAATACATGAAAATTAAATAAATTGATAAACATAAAAAAAAAAAGTTTTTAAATTTATAATATAAATTTCTTTTCTAATAAAAGTGTATAAAAATTGTTCTTAAATTGGTACATTTTTAAAAATAAAATTGTACCAAGTCCTGCTTTCAAAACTTTGCGCGTCAATTCAACAAAATAAAATTATTTAACTTGATGTTTTTAAAAAAAATTCTCATATTTTAACACAACATAAGAGATTTCTACATAGGGAAAAATGACTAGCAACTACACAGTTTGCACAACTTACAGAAATAATTGTTAAAATAATTATTAATTATTAAAATGTTATTACAAACATTGCGTGTTTAAATAAAATATTTTTCTTATCTCTAAAACTATTTCCACTTCTGAGCAGATAACTACTTTTCATAAGATAGTAAATTCTAGTAAAGTAAACTATGCAAAACATTTTAAACGTTGTGGTTGCCTATGTCATAAAACTTATTTCTTCAGGCATTTTAATGTTTGTCAAAACATGTTTTTTGAAGTTAAAGCTCAAGTCTAAAAAGTTTACAATGTTTTTTAATTCACACTTCAAGTTTGATTAATCATGTTGTTGCAAAAAGTTGTAAAAGCCCTCTTAACATCTAATGTTATAAATTTGTAGTTAAAAAAGAAACCTTTTTATTTTTAGAAAACACCAAAGAAACATCGCTGACTCTTTTTGTTGTTAGAAAACACCAAAGAAACATTACTGACTTTTTTTATTGTTAGAAAACACCAAAGAAACATTGATTACTTTATTACTACTGATTATACTAGTCAGTGGACTAACTCTGTGAAAAAAAGTTTTCATATTTTGGTACTATGCTTGTGTTGAGGAATTTAGGAAATGGTATAAAAAGTACCAATAAAAAGAGAGAAAAATAAAATCCTTCAAAAAACTGTTATTTTTCTAGAATAGATTCTGGTTATAACTCCAAAAATAAAAAATTGTCCATCTTAACCTTACTTTAGATGATAGCCCTGAAAAACATTTACCAAGATTTCCTGTCCCTGAGCTACGTCAGTCTATGGTGACACTAGTGGTTTTAAATTCTCACCATAAAATTTGAAACACAGTTGTTTATAATAGCTGGAATGATTTAAAGAAAAACATCATTTGTAAAACATATATTTACCAATAGACCAAGAAATTAATAGTTTGCAAAGTATTAAAATATTACATAATATTCTAATACTTTGCTTTCATAGAAATATTCTAGAATGAATATCTGGTATACATCCATGATATTACCGATATAATGTAAACAAATTTGGCATTGATTAGGGGAGTGTAGCACCATGTGAAGCACACTTTTCATGTGTCTATTTAAAAGCAAATCCTATTTTTTTTGAAAACCAATTTTATCAAATGTTTAATCTCATTATTTTTTTGTTGTATAACCAAACTTTCTAAAATTTTGAATGTTTGTTATCAACTAAAAAATATAAATATTTTTTTTTAACAGAAAATCAACAATACAGCTCACAATTGGATGCTGTTTAAAATATAAAAAAGTAAATATAAAAGACTTTTCTATGCTACTTGGTCAACTACAGAGATTTACAAAGTTTCCATGTTTTCCATATTAGTGAGAAGCAAATCAAATTATCAAGATAATTTGCTTCGCTGTCCCACTAATATGTCTGGTCCAAAAAAAAAAAGATAATCTAGAATATTAAACGAGAAAATTTCCATAATACTTTAGTATAAAAAAAATACTTTTAAAAGATAAAATAGATAAAAAGATACTTCTAATACCACTAAGCAAAAATTTGGACAAAAAACTTGTAAAAACTTAATGATAGCTATTGTTTTAAATATTTGTGTAGAATATTTCATCATATATCATGAGCTTGGATATAATTAAAAGAAGTTGTGACTAAGTTTTTGGGCAATCTGAAAACAACTGTAAACTGTGAAATTATTGTTACTAATATGACAGGTTTAAAAATATCGCTTGCCTGATGATCCTTAAAATCCACTTTTTGCACAACTTTTTTTGATTTTTACCTAAAAACTATGGTGATGAGACCAATAGGCAGAAGAAATGGTTTCATCAGAACACGAAACTACTCCTGCTACTTATTATTATTTCATGTTTGCTAAATGAAAATATGTTGTTTGATGAGTGCAATTATGTGTGTTTGTCATTATGTCCTAAAGCAGGATTTTAGTATCTATTAGCAACTGGGCTTATAAAAAGATTTTTTAATTTGTTATACAGCGTTCTTTCATTGCTAAACTTGTTGTATAACTTTCATTGATGTTATTAAAGTAGTATTCTGCAGTATCTATATCTATATATAGATACTATATCAGTGGTGTACCATCCAGTTTTTTCCTGGTCACCCTGCAGGCGACTAAAACAGTTTTTATTTCTCATTTGAGTCGTCTGCTATGTGTAGTCCGATGTAAAAGTTTTTTTTTTGTAATTTTCTCGGGAGAAATAACGGAAGAAAAAAAATTTTAACGTCTGACTACTAAAATATGTCTAATAAGAAACTGTTTATTTATAGTAAATTAACTAATTTATTTATTAATTAAAGATCAGTGATTGGTCAGCTTTACATGAATAGCTATAAAAAAAACTGTTTTAAATATTTTTCATTATACTAAGACTTTTAGAAAAAAAGTTTTAAAATAATGAAATTTCCACATGCATCGTTAATTGCGTTCTAATAATGATTTTTCATGAACAAAATCTTCATACATCAAAATATGGTTTTATTAATAAACACACTTTTGTAAGTAACAAATTGTCTGGTCATCCTGCCAGGCTACTCACAGGCATTCAATTATAATTTCAGTCGCCCTTGGAGAAAACAAAAAATTCTGTGCCACTGTACAGCCATGAGGGTACACCCCTGTATATATATATATATCTATATAGATACTATGCACTTTTATATTATATTTATATCTAAAAATTTTATATTTATTATAATTTAACTTTTTGTTCAGTCTAACAAAAGAACTTTTTTTAATGTTTTTCTTTTCTGTGTCTCTTTTAGCCCCTTTTGTTGATTTTTTATTTCTTTTCTTTTATTAAAGTTTTAAAAAACTAATAATTACACTAACAACTTAATTAAACAATGGTTAACAATTTTAATATTTCTTGATTAAATTTGGTTTTAAATAATTTTATATTTAATGCCACATTTTTTAATTGTTTAAAAAATAATAGAACTATTATACTATTATTTCTATGTTTTTATAAAATCTTGACATTTAAAATTCTATAAGTTTTCTATTTGCATGGGTGGGTGTAAACATTTCTAGCTATTAATTAAAAGTAACAAAAACTTTCTGTTTTTTGTTTGTAACAATATGAAAACTGGTGTTCTTATTTAAACTGTGGCACTATTTGATATAAAAAAATGACCTTTTCAATAAAAATAATAATAAAGAAATAATAGAAAGACATTGTTTTCCTTCAATTAAAATAATTTAAAATAGAAATTAAAAAATTAAACTATTGCATCTTTAGAAAGAGAAAAGAAAATTCAAAATAATTAATAACTAAGAAATAAAGTTAAAAAAATTTCTAAAAACTTATTACAAATAAGAAATTGTTCATACACAGTTGGCCTTCCCCCAACAATGGCTGTTAAACCAGGCGCTATATTAAAAAAAAATATCAATGTAATAATATATTATTAAAACTTTTTAGTTTAAATGGATTGGGCATACAAAAACAAACACAAAAGCAGAAATATACAATTAAGCATTGCGTTCATATTTTATTTGACTTGAAATAAACTTTAATATTATTGTTACACTTTAACTTGTTATACTTCATTTGACATTGCATAAAATATTGCTATTACTGCTTCATGTCCTGCTGCCTTGTAGGATATGCCTCTTTAGGCAAAGACTAGGAGATGCAAACTCTGACATAAAACACCCCTGCCTTGGGGCTCTTGGTTGAGTAAAGGCTAGAGATGGTGTCTCGATAAAAATACTCATCTTGGGCAGATGTTACATGCATCCAGCTGCTGTCTTGTAAAAGGCCTTCCAGGCAAAGACTTAAGGGGTAAACAGATTCTATCTGTTGACCAGCCTCGCACCCCTTCTTCATCTATTAGGCTAGCGCAGATTATTTTTAATACATTGTTTCCAGTTTAGAATGTTGAACGCTGGATCTTCTTGACTCGATGCATGGGTTTTGCTTGTGTCTCTGTTTTTATGACTAGGCAACTCATTCTATTATCTCCAAATGAGGGTACAGCTTTAAAACTCAGTTTTATGGTTCTGAGTCCAGCTGGTAGTCAGGTTTCCCGAACTCTGTAGTAACTCTCAGAGAGGCTGATTCCATCAACAGCTGAAAAATATCAGAGTACTAACAGTGCCATGTTGCGCATGGATGGTGTCCCTGTTTGTACTTTTGGTGTGTATTGCCAAGGCCACATTGGAGCCCTTTGTTATGGCTTAGGGTTTATTAATAGAAATGAGGTAATTGCTTGTAAAACAGTGTACTGAATACTATCTATGTTTCGAGTCAAGTTCTTTAACAAATTTAAAAATGAATAATGTAACAAAAACTATAAAACACAAAAAACCACAGTCATCACCAAGTTCGCTAAACCTATCATTAACTAATATTTGTGGTCTTCGAAGTAACTTTTCTTCTGTTGAGTCTTATCTCTTGCAAAGTTCACCAGACCTACTTGCTCTTTGTGAGACTAGTTTGAGTTCAGCTGTCTCATCTTGTGATCTTAGTGTTGATGGTTATCTTCCTTTAATTTGTAAAGACTCCAATAGTCACATGCTTGGCCTGGGCATTTACAATCGTAAGAATTCACCCATTTGTCGGGAAACTAGATTTGAATCCACAAACTACTCTTTTATGTGCTTTCGTTTAGCACCACTTCACTCTATCACTTTTCTCTTTGCTCTATATCGCTATCCCTCATCTCAAGACTTTATCTTCTTGATGTTATTTCTGATCATATTAACCAAACCCTCTCTCTTCATCCATCAGCCAATATTGTTGTTGTCGGTGACTTCAATGTTCATCACACTAAATGGCTTGGCTCTAGTGTCAGTGACTCTGCAGGCATTAAGGCCCACAACTTTTGCCTTTCTCAATCCCTAACTCAATTAGTCAACTTTCCAACTCGCTTTCCAGATAACCCGAATCATTTACCTTCTCTACTCGACTTATGTCTTGTTTCTGATCCTAGTCAGTGCTCAGTTTCTCCACACTCACCCTTAGGTACCTCCAATCATGGTTTGGTCTCTCTAAAACTTCTCTCTAAAATATCTCATTCTTCTTTATCATCAGAATCCTCCTATCATCGTACATATTACAACTACCTTAAAGCTGACTGGAACTCTTTCCGTGATTTTCTTCGTGATGGCCCCTGGGTAGAAATCTTTCATCTTTCTAATGACAAATGTGCTTCTTACATAACTTCGTGGATTCAGACTGACATGGAATCCTTTAATCCCTCTCGACGATTCCAGGTCAAGCCTCACTCTTCTCCATGGTTTTCCTCACATTGTGCTGCTGCAATTGCCAATCGAAACCATTACTTCCATATCTATCAGCAAAACAATTCTCCAGAAAACAGACGTCTCTTTATTACTGCTAGGAACCATTGTAAAAAGGTTTTGTCTAACGCCAAAGCCCGCTATTCTCAGATCATGAAATCTCGTATTTCATCACAAAAGTTAGCCTCTCGCGACTTCTGGAGAATCTTTAATAGTATCAATAATAAGGGCAAGTCTGTAATTCCACCTTTTTTGTATGGTTCAGACTTTGTCACCTCACCTAGAGACAAAGCTGAAATGTTTGCTAAGAACTTTTCATCAATATCATCTCTTGACTCCACTAGTTGTGCTCTACCTGATATAGTGGTCAAACAGGTTGATCCATTGCTCAACATCCATATTACTCCAGCTTCTGTATCTAAAGTGATTTCCTGCTTAGACTCTTCTACAGCTTGCGGCCCAGACAACATACCTGTTATAGTCTTGCAGAAGTGTTCTCCGGAGCTGTCGTCTATCCTTTCAAAACTATTTAACAAGTGCTTATCAGAGTCTTGTTTTCCAGCCTGCTGGAAAGCAGCATCTGTTATCCTTATTTTTAAAAATTCTGAAGAGCGATCCGATTCGTCTAACTATCGTCCCATTAGTCTTCTTCCTATCATAAGCAAGGTTTTTGAATCTTTAATTAACAAACACTTAATCTCGAATCTCGAATCTCATAACCTACTTTCTGATCATCAATATGGATTTCGATCTTCTCGTTCTACAGCCAATTTGCTAACAGTAATAACCGATAGGTTTTATTGTGCATTAGATAAAGGTGGAGAGGTTAAGGCCATTGCTCTTGACATTTCTAAAGCGTTTGATAAAGTTTGGCATGCTGGTCTTCTCCATAAGCTTTCTTCTTACGGTGTATCTGGAAACATCTTTAAGATTATTGAATCCTTTCTTTCCAATTGTAGTATAAAAGTTGTCCTTGATGGACAGCACTCTGATTGCTTGCAAGGAGCATTTGAGCTTGAAAAGGATCTCACTCCTGCTACAGCATGGGGCTCACAGTGGCTGGTGAACTTTAATTCAGATAAAACTCAATTTTTTTCAGCCAACCGTTATTGCAATAATTTAGACCTTCCTATATTTATGAACGGTAATGTACTCGATGAGTCATCTATCCTTCATCTTCTAGGATTAACTCTCACTTCTGAAATTTCTTGGAAACCTTATATCAAATCCGTTGCAAAATTAGCATTAGCTAAATTTGCATCTCTTTATTGAGCTCGACACTTTCTTACTCTGGATTCTATTTTCTATCTCTATAAATCTCAAATCCGACCTTGCATGGAATACTGTTGCCATATCTGGGGCGGATCTTCTTATGATGCCCTTTCTCTTTTAGACAGGGTGCAAAAACGCATTGTAAACATAGTTGTCACATTGTCGTAATGTTGCTTCTCTTTCTCTTTTCTACAAATACTATAATGGGCACTGCTCTAAAGAGCTATCGTCTCTTGTGCCATCTACTAAAATTTATTCTCGTGTTACTCGTCATTTAATTAAGTCTCATCCTTTTTCTGTTACTGTTCCTAAGTGCTCCAAAAACTCTTATTCGTCAAGTTTTTTTCCTCGAACATCAGTTCTTTGGAATTCGCTTGCTTCATCTTGCTTTCCTGATTTATATAATTTGCAATCTTTTAAGTCATCTGTCAATCGTTATCTTGCTCTACAACCTTCATCTTTTCTCTTCCAGTAACTTCCAACACTAATTAGTGGTTGCTTGCACCCTTGTTGAAAGCGAAGATGTTAAAAAAAAATATATATATATAAAATAATTTAAGAAAGCATTTTAAATATGGAACTAAACCCAACACATAAATTGAGTAAAATCTTAGGACAAAATTAAGTGAATAAATTGAGTAAATCTAATGACAATTAAACAATGATCATAAATTGAGTAAATCAAATGACAATCAAATAATGATTATAAATTGAGTAAATCAAATAAAATATGATTATATAAAATAAACGACAACCAAACGATGCAACTTACTGTTTTTATAAAGAAATATTAACAAACAAAAATTACAACCTAATATATATAAAAGGTAATAATGTTTATAATTAGACATAAAAGCAAATTTGTATTGTCAATCAATTTAACCTGTTTTTATTTGTATTTAGTTTATCAATTATATACAAATGAAGTGGTTAAGAAGTTAGTTTTTCATTTTGTACTTAACTTATTGTAAAAATTGTAAATTGTTCTTTTGTTTCTCGATTAATTAGTTTTTAACAAAACAATTCTGAAATAGTTTTATTAATAAGAAATTTAACTGTTAGCTATTTGTTATGCATAACTATTATAATAAATTATATTAGAAAAAAAAAACTAACCCATTCCTGTGCCAGCTGGTGCAATTTCTCTTGCAAATATTTCCAAAGCCTCTTTTTGTCTATGCTGAACTGCAAGCCATAAAACTACATCTCTTTTATTCTAAAATGTTGATTACTTATGTTGTTTAAACATAATTTTAAAGTTTAAAAATGCTTTAAAAAGTTGCAGCAAAATTGAAAAACAAACATACATCAATTCAATTCAAATATTTAACTTACAACAGGTTCTCTAGAGAATTGATATTTTCTTTCTGTCCCAAGTAACTAAAAAGTATTCCAGTTACTAAAAGGTGTTTAAATTTCAAAACTGTTTTGTTAGGCATTAATTTTAATGTTTTTGTAAAAAATTTAGATCATGCTTTTACCTCGACATTGATTTTAGAAAAATCATCAAAACCATTTTCTTGAAACATTCTTCTACACCTAAAAATAATTTACTTTCAGAAAGGTATTTTAAGGTGTTGATTGAATAACACCTTAAAATAATTTTCTTTTAGAAAATTATTTTAAAGTGTTTTAGAAATTTCTATTTGTTTTGAAAAATATGATATTACAGTTTATAAATGCACTTTTGTTAACTTTTAAAATATAACTTAAATAAATATATATTTTATTAATATAATAATAAATATTATTACTAATAAAAAGTATACAATTTAATGGTTTCACAATGAGCTAATCTAGATTTAAAATGGCTTCACCAGAAACAGGGAACAAGTTAAAAAACTATAGAGGACTAAATGCCAGAGAATAAAGTCTCTATAAGAAACTTTATAACTCCTTTAAGAATTCCCATTTTTGATTAAATTCAATATTAATAATAAATATAAACAACAAATATCAATATTAAAAATAAATTTATACAATAAATAAATGAAGTTAAATAAGGTTTAGAAAAAAAAAGTAAACAGAAAAATATTACAACAAAAATTTTAAACTCTTTTTAGACTTTATATAAAATTTAGGTACTCAAGTAAACTATGGAAAACAGTTGTATCCTAACACCCCAGAATATGACAAAAAATGTTCAATATTTATATCATAACTATTTCTACAAATACCTTAAACATTCCCATAACATTTGTTTAAAATAATACATGACATCTTAAAGAAACAAATAGAAAAATGATTTTTAAATTCAACTTAAAATTTACAGCATCAAATATAAGTGTAATAATGAAAAAGAACTTATAGCACTGACACCAGTTGAAATACACTGACACTAGTTCAAGAACACAACATCAGTTCAAGAACACTAACATTGGTTCATGAACACAAACACCAGTTCATGAGCACTAACACCAGTTCAAGAACACTAAAACCAGTTCAAAGAAAATACAGAAGTTAAAATATTCAAAAGTTGACATTTTAAACTGATAACATGCTAATAAAAATATCTTTGTAAAATACATTTGGGGCTCAAATAAAATATTTGTAGTATTCCTACTAGTTTGAACTAAATTCCAAAATGAAAAAGGTAAATATCTAAATAACTATTACTTTTAACTAATGGGGTATTAGTTAAAAATAATAACTATTGAATTACCCTACCCTACTGTAAAGTCTTTAATAAAAAATAGTTAGAAGCATACCTCTTGATTATAGCATCAGCAACGCGCTCACCTTTAAATGAAGAATTAGGACCTACAACAGGGCAAACAGCAGTAGCTCGAAAACCATCCATAAATGTTGCACTTACCTATAATAAAAGTTTGAATAAAAAAAAAATATCTGACAACTTTAGTAACATAGATATAAAAGTATTACTAAAAATGGATATACCTTATAATCAACTGGAGGAGGTTTTCCATATACATTTTTTACCATAACAGCAGAGTCATCACCTGAAAATAAAAAAATTTAGCCGATTACTTTCTTAGTAAAACTCAATCAATCAATTTAAAAAGATTAAAGTAATTAAAATACCTGAGACAACAGAGAGTTTTGCTTGTGAGAAAGAACACGTAACATCAGGCAACATATAGTTATCTGGATCACCAATCTCATATACAATCTAAACAATTGCAATTTACAAAGAGTAAAATAAACATTAACTATAAACTGCTTTTGATATAAAACTTGCATCTAAAATAAATTATAATAAATACAACAAAAAACACCTGTTCAGAAACAGTTGCTTTGCTAATCAAACCCCCTGTTGAAGGAGGTTTAGTAACTATAAATTCTCCATTTGAGTAGCATTCAACAATAGGGAAACCAATGTCATCCCTAATTCAGGAAAAAAAACAAAAAAAAAACATGAAAAACAAATCACATTTTAATTTAGAAATAAATATAATGAAGACATGATAACTAAAAACTTGCTAACTACATTAAGCCTCACTTAACAAAAAGAAAACCAATGCTATTCCTGTTTCAGTTTAAATACGCAAAACACAAATTCAAAAATCTCCAAATATAATGAAGAAGAAAAAAACACTTGATTTTTTTTAATAAAATAATACCATCCATGTACTGATTCCCAGTCAGTAAAAATACCCCCAGTCACTTGTGCTCCACATTCTATTAAATGACCAGCAAGACTACAAAGTAAATTAAAAGTATAAGTTTTTAGAAAGTTATGAATCTTTTTTTATATAACTAAGAAACTTTCAATTACCTTCCTGCTGCAAGTAAATCATAGTCATAAGACTTCCAATTAAACTAAAGAAAATGTTATGCTTATTTGTTTTAAATAAACTCCTTTTAATGATGTTTTTAAATTAACTTCTGTATATGATATTTTAAAATATCTTGATATTACAAGTGGTAAACTTGTATGGCAACTGTATGAGAAATAAGGTAAAGAAAGCAAGTGTTGGTTTCCAAACTATGATAGCTTAAGGTGGTTCTTACTATAAAAAAAAAAATTTTGAAATTTTTATTTTCAATAGAATTTATGTAGTACTTAATACCCTATTTCATAATCATAATCAATTTATTTGTGTTAAAACTGAAATTCCATAAAACATCTTGTTTTATTTACACTTTATAATTAACCTTAGCAATTAAGTAAACTGAATATGATGTACTTCAAACCATTTATAAATACAAGTTATTAAATGTAATTATTTGTTTTACATTTTAAAGGTCTTCTGTTATGTATCAGAACTCATTAGATTCAATTTTGTATGAATTCACAAACTTACATACACAGTAAACATATTTTGGTTGTTTATGGATGATTTATAATATATGTATAATATATAATATATAAATTACATAAATAATATGAATTGAATAATGCTTAAATACAACTAATTTATTAATATTAATTGAATAATATTCTGATTTAAATATTAAATTGTTTAAGTATCTTAAAATAATCGTACAAATTAAAATCAGTAATAGTCAACTTGTTACTCCGTGCAGTGGCCTAGTTCGTTAAGGTTCATGTTTCAAAGTTAAAGAGTTGAGAGAGGATAGTCGCCACACTAACATATCCTGCTCAATTGTAGTGGACTTCTTGACCTTGGGGAGGTGAATAACATAAAATGATAATAATAATGGCCAACAAGCAAAGCCTACAAACTTAAAGGTGTCATTTTAATCAATACTCATCCAAAAAACCTGAACAACATTTAAAAGATCCAGATGATTTTAATGTTATTACAAACTTCAAATGTTTGTTAATTGTGCATGAGCTATATAAATTATTGAATTCAAACAAAAATTGATTATTATACATAACAGATGGTTTTAAAAATTAAAAAATGCAAATAATCAAATTTTATTTATTTATTTACTTTTTTAATTTCTTTATGTGATACTTTAAAATAAGCTTACCAAATTTTTTGAAACAAAAAAACTATGTAAATAAATTTGATTTGCATGGGAAATCTATTTGAAATATAACTTCTAATATTATCAGTAAATATCATGTTATTAGCACCAGATATATTTAAACTCCTATTGGTTTGAATATTACTCAATCTCTTTGGACAGATGTATGAAAATAAAGTGATAAGAGAATGATAATGATAAGAATGATAAGTATGAAAATAAAGTGATAAGAGAAAAAAAAGAATAAAAAGAGCTGCTCACTTAAAATTGTATTTGAACATACTTTTGACAAAGTGAAGAGTATGAGGTATTTATATTCTTTAAACTCTACAAAATTAAATTATTGGTAATGAACAAAATCAAATTATTGGTAATTAAAAAAGTATAATCAATTATTGGTTAATAAAAAAGTAGCCTTTTCAAATGTAGTACTCCTCCTGAGCATTGGAAATGTGAATACATGTATATAAAAAAAGAAAACATATCTTGCTTTTTATACATTGCACACAACAATATGTTGGTTATGACTTCTACATAATTAGCTATAGTTTATAGTAATTCTGTTTATTTTCACTAATATTTTATACCAATAATATTTTTTGTCTTTGACTTAAAACAAATATTTAAAGACAAACTCTTGGGCTGGGTATCCAAAATATATTTGTTAAAAATAAAATCAAAAAAATATTTTTTTTTCTTTTTTAATGTTTAGCATTAAACCAGAAAAAAAGTTTTTTTTTAATTCAATTTTTTTTGTATTTTATAACATATTTTTCAGGTAAAATTTACAACTTAAACTTAATACAAGTTCTTTGTATAGAAACTTAAAAAACTTAATATAAATTAAAACAAAATTTACTGCTCTTATTTTGGTGATTTAAAATGTAAAGAAACTTAATTTCCATGGTTTCACACTTGTGTAGTATGGACAGATTTTCATAATGTTGCTTTATTATTTAAATATGGTTAAACTATTTTGAGTAAAATTAAAAACTAAATTTTGCAATACTAATACTAAGAGAATTCCAAGGTTTATGAGTTTTCTTGTGCGCATATTGGAACTTATGCGCATATTGGTGAATATATGGGCATACTATACAAAAGTTATGCGCATAATAATACACATAATATGTATATTATGCGCATACAAATTTTTTGCTTGTCTGCTTTGTCAAAACAATGTAATGGTTGTTGATAATTTGAAATTAAAAAAAAGTTATGCACATAATTATGCTAATGTATGCACATAATTTATTGGCAAATATCTGTGCATACAAATTTTTCAGAACTCTAGTTTTCTTTCTCCTAGGCAAATTTTTCCAGGGCTATGAAGTCTCACCTGTCCTAAAGACAGATCGATGATCTGAATATCAAAGTGTCATTGACTCAATTGTATATCTATAAAATGTAAGTTTGCAAACTTCCCATTAATTTGATGTAAAATTTAAATGTTATAGTATCAGTGTTTTGAAATAAGTTGGTTTCATGGTGTGGATAATAACCTCAGCAAATATAAATAAATCTATTACCGTGTGCATCAAAGGTGCTAAAGTTACAGCACTATCAACACAACGACCAGTTATTACAACATCTGCACCAAGATCCAAAGCCCTTGCAATAGGACCAGCTCTAAAAATGAACAATACTTAATAATGTTTTAATGTTTGTTTTTTAACAAAATTAACTAATTATTTAAATTTATTTATGTAAAAGTAATTTTCAATTCATTACACGATGATGATCAAATAATCAAATAAATAATATGATTAAATAATCAAAAATATTTTAAATTAAAAACATTTTTATAAAAACATACCCAAGATAAGCATTCATGCTGTGTATTCCCTTGGGTAATTGGTTAACTAGTTCTTCTTTAATTTCTTTAAGCTAAATAAATAAAAAAACACTGTTGTTTTATACCACTGTGGTATAAGTTTAATACCAATGTGTGTCAATACTATGTAGTGGTTATGCAGTAATAGATTGATCTTCTCATAAGCAAAGATTACAAAGTTTCAACCCTAGAACATTTGTAGCAGTATTTTAATAGACAGAATTTGCAGATAACATTTTTTTTGCACTTTTAAATTTCCTTTATGCATAGATACTGCCTACACAAGTGTAAGTAGTGTGTATTTACCCAGTATAGGTTAGTCTGAGTGTGTGTATTTAAACTTTATATGTACTGTCTATGCACGTCTAAGTACTGTGTACTTACACTATGTACATAGATATAGTGCAGTACTTATACTACATTTATCTCAAATGGGACAAAAAAACTGACAGATATAAAGTCACAGTAGGCAACTCTCGAAATTAGGTTCGGCATTTGGCAATGGCGACCTAAAAGTGTTTGAGGTTGGCAAAAAATTGCCGACCTCATTTTTATGGTTTATGGTAAGATCTTTGTATCAAACTTTTTTGCTGACCAGATGCCAACCTCTAAAAGATTGATGTCAGCAAATTATTGCCGACCCCAAATTTCCTAATTCGGAGGGTTGCAATAGGTGAATATTAAGTAATACAAAGTCATTTAATTAGACAAATTTCAACTTTGGATAAAAATATTCAAAACATGGATAAAGCTATTTATTACATAAGTTTGAAACCTAATAAGAACTGTAACAGTATATTTACATATATGAACTATAAGAACTGTAACAGTATATTAACACAGTAAATCTAAAACACAAACATCAAAATATTGACAGAGGAAAGCAACTAATTACAGCTAAGACTTTAACCAAAAATCTAAAATTATCTTGTCGCATCTTAAATTCTTACCCGAGGCATCAAGTCATCACCAGTGATAACAGCTATGTTTAACTCAATGTTCTGTTGCTTACATAAACTTTGTAAAACTTTTGCGCATGATAATGGGTTAATACCTCCAGCATTACTAATCACTTTTATACCTAAATAAAAAATAACTTGAACTTTAATAGACAAATAATTTTATTTTAAAAATTTGACTAAACAACATAACTATGAAAGCTAAATAACTATACAAAATAAGTGAACACAACTACAAAGCTGATTTGAACAAGACCAGGTACAAAATAACTAGGTAAACACATTTACAAAGCTAATCTGCAGAAGACCAGGTACACAACCGGATTGTAAAAAATTGCTTCAACTCTTCTATAATTTCATATAAATAGCTTTATAAAAAAACTGTTTTCACCATACAAGCATGAACCCATGTGCAATAGTCTTTTAGGTGTTTAAAATTTCTTTTTTAAAGAAATTTTAAACACCTAAAAGACTATAGGTTACATTGTCAATTACCTTAGGGTAAAAATGTTGAGTTAAAATGCCCATCCAATACTACCTATACATACATTCATTACATCTATTCTACACCATCCAATGATTATTTAAAAATTCAATCATAAACTTGAAAAAAAAACTTAAAATGTAAACAAAATGAAAAGAGAGCATCCATCAAGAACAATATCAAAAAAGCAATTTTTTTCACCATTCTCTTTTTTTTTTATAACAGTTAAAAAAAACATGTCTGAAAACTTATTGAAAGAAGTATATGTTTTAATAAGCTAGATAAACTGTTATTGTTCATTTGGTTTTTATGAATAATACCATTTGGTTTTTATATATTATATATAGTACATCATGCAAAAATTCCATAGGTTTTATGAAGCTGGTGACTTTTCTTATATTAAATATAGAATATTATTTAAATCTCTTTAAACATTTTTTTATATTTTAAATATTATCTAATTTCTATTTATCTTATTTAATAAAAGACTAAACTATTTTATAATTAAGTAATTAAACTGGCTTTAAAATTTTTAAAATTTGTTCTTATAATTAAACTCCTAAGTAATTAATGTTATACATTGTAAAGCAAGAAAAAAAACTAAACAAGAAAATGAAATTTAAATAAAAAACTGGTTTTAACATTTTTTGAGAATGGTGAAAAAAAAATGGCTTTTTTGATATTGTTCTCAATGGATGCTCTCTTTTCATTTTGCTTACATTTTTGATTCTTTGAATAAAAATAAGATTTTTAAACAAAAAAAACAGTTATATTTATTGAAGTTTTAACAGAAATATACTTATACTGTAACAGAAATTGCATTATCATGGCATCATTAGGGGGGTGCAGGCCACACTGGGTTATAGTACATTAACAGAGAGGTGACACCAAAATAAAAAATGCAAATATGATAGTATGCCCTTAACTTATTAGAAACCTGTGTTGTTGGCCCTGTTAGTGAAAGTATAGGGGGATGACACCTAAACTTTACCACACTGGATAACACCAACCCAGTGACCCCACTGATATATATATATATATATATATATATATATATATATATATATATATATATATATATATATATATATATATATATATATATATATATATATATATATATTAAACATATACTTTAAAGAAGAAATAACCTTTTTCTTTGATTTCAGGAAGTAAAGGACCAATTGAATGCTGTATAAAATCAGGACAGTAACCATATTCCTAAAAAATAACACTTAACCAAACTTATGTTATTCGTATTGATGCAAACTTGCATTGTAATAAATATAACACAAGTGTGTGAAAATATTAAACATAATTTTATTTTTGCAAAGATTAAAAAATTGTAGTTGTAGTATCAAACAAAGCTGTTTAAAGTCTTATAAAAATTAATTATATGATATAAAACACTAAGGTTGCGATAGTAAATTCATTTTGATTGTTTTAATTTTTTCACCAATTCAATAGAGATTGACAAGTACTTTTTTTTATCTAATGGTAAAATTTTAGTAATACCCCTAGAATTTATAGTCTCTAAAATTTTAGTAATACCCCTAGAATTTTTAGTCTCTAAAAATGCCTTACTATCCAATTTTATGCAAAAAATAAACTTGCAAATTATTGAGTTTAAAAAAAAAAAAAAAAAAAAAGGTTGCTTGCCAAAAATCCTTTTTAACTAAAAAAAATCAAAATTTTGTTCTCAAATACCTGCTCATATAATACACTAAAGTATAAGATGTTTTTAGCACAAAAGACATTAAAATGTTTTAAAAATTATTAAAAGCTTACATCAGTATATTTACAAAAACTAAACTAAACTTTTACCTCTTCCTAAAGAAAGAGTTAAAATGTTAAAATAAGACAAACAAAGGTGTGTATTTTAATAAAGCATAATAACACAATTTATGTATTTCCACTTCAAATAAACAAAGTATATGATTTTAGATCTAAACAATAAAAAAACATCTCATTTAAATTTTTTTATTGTTATATGGTATAGTATTATTATATGTGTTAGGTTTTGGATTGATATATTAAAAGTAAACAAAAGTGTTGTTCTAATATATTTATTTAAAAATTCTTAAAATTTTTAATAGTATTAAGAACTTTAGCGCTTTAGGTAATTTTTTCAGCAAGTAAACAACAAATAAATATTTAGAAAAGTGAAATTAGAAACATTTATTGCCTTAAAATTAGATTTTCTAGTAAACAATTTTTTATTTACTAGTCAAATGGAAAAGTCTCTCAAGACTTTTCAATTTAACTGGTGAAATTCCTACAATTGCAACACAGCAAAATTATTGCAAAAGTATTACAATTTAATCTCTGTAAAGTGCATTTGTGCAAATTGCAAGTTGCAATTTGTACAAATGCACGTGCATTCAAAGTGCAATTGTATTTAAAAAAGAATATCCTTATGTCAAGTCATTCAAAGTTAAAGTCAATAAAGTCAGTACCCAGAAATTAAAAGGTTTTTTAGTGTAAGAGTTTAAAAGCAATGAGCAAATAAATAATATTGTGACAAATAAATCATCTAGTGACAAATCTTAAGTCAAAGACAATGTTAACTTTTTTCAGTTGTACTTTATTTTATAAAAAAGCATTTCTCTAACAAAAATATTTTTGCTAACTTTCAGATGTAGATCATAGCGCAGGGTTTGTTTGTTTAATGTTTGCAAAATTTTAGCTAGATCATGTGTAAAATACTTTATCATTAAGCAAATTATAAAACTAAGACCAAAAAAGTACTGTGGTACATATCACCTATTTGCTCAGTATTTATATAAAGATTTTTCATCTTTATAATTAACATTACAAAATTTTATCAAACAGACAAAAATAATTTTTTTTTTTAGGATGTACAATAAAACTGCACACCCTAATCACTGGGTTTATTTAGGTCTTTTGAAAAGATCTTGTCATTTTGATGATTTTAAAAATGAAAATTCAATTTTCTGATATGTAAAACATGCATGGAAACCAGAGTTTAGACATAACTAGAAAAAAATTTAAGAACTGCAGTGTGCTTTTGTGGTATGCAAATAAAGTATTTAATAAGTTTAAAAACTACTTACTGGATTTTTCTGTTTAGCTCGAACTAATAATGACATTGTTATTTCTGACAAATAATCAAACACCAAATAGTTGATATTGCCTTTTCTTACAAGTTGAGGTGCTAAAAATAGCATGACAAATTTTAGGGCTAAAAGCAATAATAAAGTTTCATGACTATGAAAAAATTATGGGTGCAATAATTCTTACCTGCTGTGGATGTATCTCCCCAGAAACCTGATGCACATCCTATTCTCACAGATTTTTTTTTGTTTGTTAAACTTGCTTGTGAAATAAATTTTTTTCTCAAAAAGTTTTCATTTTTTAAATATATTGATCTTCCTTGACACCAAAACTTGTGCATTATAAATAAACTTATCTTCTATAAAAATGAATTATAATTAATATTATATTTTAATAATACTTTATTGCTTAAAAAATAAAAATTATAATTACATGTTAAAAATTTCAACTTTATTTGTTTCAATTTTTTTATATATTACTATATTCACCTCTCAGCATTTGCTTCACTTACAACCAATAACATTTTAAACTTTCTAATATTTCTTCCAATAACACTTTAAACTTTTTAACACATAATTTCAACTATTGATTCCTCAGTTTCTATAAGCTTCTTTTGGTAAAAAAACTACCTTGTAACAACTATAACATTGTCACATAGTCTGTTTGAGAATAAAGGAGTGAATCTAATTTATTTAAATTGGTACTTGGTATCTTGTAGAAAACTATTAGTTTTGGTTAGAGATTATGTATGATCAAAGTTAAAAATAGTAACGATAGTAATGAACTATGAGGATATATGTTTCATCCACAAGTATGTTTTATATACATTGATGATCTACTTATCCTTCTTATAAATTCTGTTATAAATTTAATGTTATATATTGTTGATTATATTCATTTTATTTTGTAGAATGATTCAACTATTTTGTAAAATTAAATATGGATATTTTAGTAACACAACAAGAAACCTAACTAAATTAGAATAAAAATTTTGATTCTCAAATAAATTTAACAATACATATCAAATGCAATGAAACTAACATATTGCAAACAAGAAAAAAAGACAATCCTATACAATTGTGTAAGTGTTTTAATTGTATTGTCAATTTAAAATAGCAAATTTAACTGTAGTTGAATTTAGGCAGAATTACATAATTTTGTTAAAACCCATTATAAACTCTTTACCTTTACAAACAAAATGGTCGCGCTTGTGTGTGTATATAATAAATCAAAATTTAATAAATTTAAGATTAATTTAAGTTTATAAAAATTGTTTTAACACCGAAAACACTTCACAAAAAATAAAAGGTCATTATTATCATCATTTATATTTTGCTTATATTTTGTACTAGATAATTTTAGATATAAAAAAACAAATAAACATAAAGCAAACAAAATAAGATAATCAAATATTGCAGCAATATACTAACATTAATTCAACCAAACAAATACTAGAGTGCAAAACTACCAGGGGTAATACTGCATTTAACTTGTTTGAATTGAATAATTTTTTAGCAATTGCAGCTTGTTTCAATTTTTCGCTCAGGTTTTTGCATAACTGTGATTTTTTTTTATTAAACCTTGCCTATGTCAAAATTCAAGAAATAACTTGAATTTTGAAATTGAAAAAAAAAAAAAAACTATGAACAATTTTATATATACTAAAGATTATAGATAAAAGCTTTTATTTAACTTTTTAAGACTTGTGTCATTTTCAAATATAAAATATTTTTAAATCAGTAAGAATACATACTATTAATTAATATTTAATTGCATTAATAAGGATACATCATGTTTAAAAAATGGGGTTAACTAAAATTAAAACTCAGTTAAAGAGTGTATGATTATGTATCTTAAAAAAGTTATAACATTTTCATTACAATGAAAGCATTGGTACTAAATACTCCGTTAAAGTCGTTACAAATGTTTAAAAGTCAATAAATTTCAAATTATAAAATGCCTACTTGTCTCAACACAGATCTGTGTATATTCAAAATAAGCTTAACAAGCTCTGCTTATAACTAACAAGTTATTCACAAAGATATACACATAACAATGTGCAAATAAAATACGATTTCAAACAACTTATTTTGCTTTTTTATTTAAAAAAATTATAAAGGAAAAATAATCAGAAAGAGAAATTGTGTAAACATTGATTAAAGTCAAGCATAATTTATTGGTATATAGCATTCAAAATGCATTATATACTTAGTTGTTTCACTGATCTAATTATATTTCCAAAACATTTTAAAGTCGATTATCTTTTAATAAATTGCTAGTACTATCCACTTTTCTGCGATAAACGGTTAATAACAAAGTTCGAAACGTCAATAAATCTTCCAACGCAATTACTTAAACAAGCTTGCTGTTTTGATTCTAATTTTGAACCAGATTTTTCAATACACTTATCCCAACAAATGTCAGTTAAATTATGAACATGCTGTTGAAATTTCGCTTTTTGTCCCTCGATAGCCAAGAAGCGTTGCAACTCCGCATCCATTTGATCATTTCCTGCCATTCTTGATTCTTTTTATCACTATAATGATAGGCTGCGACTCTTCTTAGATATAAGATATAAGTGACAAACACGCTGATTTGTTTTCAACTTAATAACCTTTTCGGCTTCCGTCATAATGCGTCATAATAATAATCCAAAACATTTGAAAAAATAAATGTTAAATTAATATCTCTTTTGTGTTAAATTAATATCTCTTAAATTAATATAAAAGTTAGAATAATATCTCAAAAATATTTCAATATATCCGATGAAAAAATAATATTCTTTAGCTTGTTTTTAAAAACAGAAAAAGAGATAGATGAATCTAAATTAAGCTGGACAATTTTATTCCAGAGATAAGGTGCTCGATAATCTATACAAAATTGATCAAACTTTGTTTGACAAAATGGTTCTTTTAAATAGTTATTCTTTCGTAAACTATATTTATTCTTTACTTTAAAGGAAAATAGATCTTCAAAAACATTTAATGATGGGTTGTTTATACAACAAAACGAAAAACATAAAGTATAACACGAGTTAAGTTCATTAACGTTTAATACATTCATTTTATTAACGTTTAGCGATAGATATCAGACATGAAATAATACAACATTAATATTGTTATTATATATATGATACAATTTCTTAAAATAACAAAAATAAATGAAAAAAATAGATACAACATTATAATTAATTTGTAAAATTTAGAGTTATTACACACAACGAAAATTAAGTAACGACACTGGAATGACACACTTGGACTTGAATTTGGGAAACTAATTCGTCAATGTTTGGTTTGATTCCACAAATACAAAGACGTAAAGAATTTTCCAAATTATTGTCAGTCAGCCTTGTACAATGTTTTAATTTATTAACTTTCTTTATTGAAAAAAATATTCACATTTATAAGTACTGCCAAACACACAAATCAATCTTTTTGCGAATTTTCTGAGCTGCGGAAAATGGTCTTCTTTAAGATATTAGATTTTAGAAGTACATTTTTTCTTGAATCTCAATTAACTCATTTGTATTGCATTTGTATTTGATCATTTTGTATATATATTTTTTTTGTTGGAGAAGCAAACAAAGTCTTTGAAATTGCTAAACCTGTTTGAAAGTTGCTCCGACAGTAACTTGAGATCTTTTACATATTAAGCAAAAACAATATTTCTATACGCAGAAAGCGTGTTGAAATGTTACCAGATAGAATCTGTGTCTCTCACAAGTGGATTTTGTTCTAAAACCATTTTAAATGGCTGTATCAATCGTTTACTAACTTGTCCTTGTTTTTGAAGTTTCTAATTTAAATCATTCAAATAGCCTGTAAGGTCGACCAGAAATCCTCACAAATCCATTTTAGGTTATTTAATATAGAATTATCTTTTGTTTGCATGAAATCTGCAATCTCATTTATCATCTTATAAAACCGTTTTAGCATTTTTTTTTTTTTTTTTTTTGCTTAGCTATTTGACTTCACAATAATATGTTACGTCGTAATATTTGGTTGATATTTCATTCAAAAACGCCTCGTATTGACAATGGTCAAGCCCTCGGGATCAAATAAAATTTATGGTTTTTATTAACACATTCATAACATTCTGGAGTCAAATGTACTTAGAACACAAGTTCTGTTGATGGATAATGCAATGAAGGACTATAAACTCATATTTTTTTACATTTAATTTAGTTGCTTTTTCATTCAAAATTCCAATGAAACCTTTACGTAAGCCGATTATAGAAGATCATTTGTGCATACTAAGTAAAAGTAAATTTAGAGTAGCTAAGTAAAGAAAATTTAAGTTTCAAAAATAATAGTACTTATACATAAAAGCAACAATTTTAGTAGTGAAAAACATTAAGCACTTTATTTGTAGATTACACCTACATAATATATATATATATATATATATATATATATATATATATATATATATATATATATATATATATATATATATATATATATATATATATATATATATATATATATATATATATATATATATATATATATATATATATATATATATATATAAATTATGTAAGTGTAATCTACAAATAAAGTGCTCAATGTTCTTATAGTAAAAACATTTATCTAATTTTTTCTTCAAAAGATTGATTCTCAAATCAGTAGTTTCAATTATAGAAAAAATATTTTACAGGTAGTTGAGAGTTATTATAGTTAATTATTTAATAATTGTAGGTATTTGTAGGTAACAGAGGCGATTCTACGAATAAAATAAGGGGTGGGGGATGAGGGTGAATCCTTAAAATGTACCGACTGGTTCCATAAATTAAAAAAAAAAGGTCCTTAAAACTAACATTTACTCGACTGAATTTGTCAAATACCCAACTAGCCGACTAAGTTTGTAAAGAAACCGACTATAACTTGAAAATCTTCTTTAGGGAAAGGGGTGTACCCCCTCCACCTACTTTATCCCAGCGTAAAATCGCCTCTGATGGAAGTTGCAATAAATACATTAAAATTGAAAAACTAACCATGAAAAGAATTCTTTGGGTTAGAGCCAGAGTCGAGTCTTAAACCTCTTAGTTCTGAGCCAGGACTGTAACCACTGCGCTCATCTGCACTATTATATTATAATTCTATAATTTTTAAATTCGTGTTTATTCAAAACTTTAATGGATCTTCAATCCAAGCACTGAATAATGATATATTTTTCAACTTTTCTTAGCTGGTCAGTAGCCTGTGTCAAAAAAAGTCAAAAAAAGAACAGTATACTTGCAATCTTTGCCATTTACATCAAATTGATCATCATTCAGCTCATAAGATCATATGTAACAGGATTACGTTAATCTCAATTTTTTTTAATTTTCATACTTTTTATTGAAAATATTACTTATTAAATAATAACCTTTATATTAATAGCAAAAAAATACTGAAAACTTAACTTGTCTGGAAAAAAAGGTTTTTGCTTGCTATAAAATGAATTTGTTAAAATAATATTATTTTTTTGCATGAGAATTATAGGGTTCTAACTGCATTTTTTATGTTATAAGAATTTAACTTTTGATATATAATTATTAAAATGTTTTAATGCTGTTATTATTTATAATTTTAAATAATATCACTTGTTCATCTAAATAACATTTATGACATTTTAAGCTTTTTATTAGGGCATTTCTAAGATCTTTACACTTCCTAGAGCAAAACAATTTCTTGAGATCATAAGAGTCTTTAAATGCCTCCAAGTTGCATCTTAGAGCAGCATTTTTAATATTAACATAAGCACCATTAAATATACTTGTTAGCATATTGAAATGGTCTCTAAAACTTATATTGTATCTTGTAAAACAAACAGATGTTGCTTCAATAAATTTTTCAGTTATAAACTCTTAGAGAATCTTTTTAACTTATTCTGTTTACAAAAAACATAATTAAACTCTGAGATATCTGAATCATGTTCAGAAACCTAAATACTCTGACTAATATCTTTATTTTTAGAAACCTAAGCCTCTTCTGTAAGAAATAAAAAATATTTTTTGAACTTTGTCTTTTCTTCTCTTTTTCCTTCTGCCTTTCTATCTGATCAAATTTTGCAAGCTTCGTGTCAATCTAAACAAAAAATAATATTATTAAAACAAAAGCAAAATGAATAAAAACTTATTCTTGATTATGCAAGAAAATATTTATAACTTTTTTCAAATAGTGTTTCTCTTTCCCTAAAATCATCATCATCTCTCTGATCCTATATGAAGGTTAAGTCTTCTTGAACTCTTTCATAATCCCTATTCTGGCTTATCTTCTGCTTGAAGTCTGATTTGGATATGTCAAAAAGCAAATCAAATTCTTTTTAAAATAAATTTTGATTTGATTGTGCTTTGAACGAAATTTTAACACTCAAAGCAGATTTATGTATTTCTTCTGCATCTTCCAAAACGTTTTCCTAAAAAAATGAAAACTGCTTTTTAGGGTTTCAAATTTTAAAATAAATAAACATGAAACGTTTAAATTCTGAATATTACACAGAAATAAAAAAGAAAAAAATAACTACTTTATGATTGAACCAGCGTGAATTGCACCTTTAAATCCATCCCTTTTTCAAACTCTGTGGACTTCTTTAATCACGCAGTTGTTTTAATTCTCCCTGACACATGTTTTGGCAAACAAGATTAAAACAGTACACTAGATTTTGCTGCTACAACGGCCGCTTCCCATAAGATTGCCAATGTTACTCCGATAGATTTTAGAGATGTTACTCCTATAGATGTTAGATTTTAAACCCAATGTTACTCTGGGCTTCTTCAAGTCCCTAGTTCAGAATTTTTTTTTTCTGGTTAGTTTAAAATTGAGCTGCAGGCTGAAATGTTTTTTAATAAAGTTTGAATACTATAATTTGTTATACTAACTAAACCACTATTGAAATGAACAATACCAATCAACCTTCGAGTGCTGTATTATTGTACCCAATTACCGTGAAGATTATGCGCAAAATTTGCAACTGGAAAAATGTATGTAACTTACCAAATGGTTCCAGATAACTTTTTATTTCTAAATAGTAATAAAAAAATATATATTTTTTAGCAGATCAACCTAAGCATTTTTATTACTAAAAATTTCGATTCGATTTAATTCATTATATTAATCATACTGGAACAATTTGGTTGTTAATTGCCATTAATTTTCTCATTTGGGGTGAATACTTACAATTAATGAAGCGTATAGAGAAAAGTACTAGGGTGAATATAGACAACAAACTAAATAACTGCTATGTATAACTATTCTTTATTCCAATTATTATTCGTAGGTAGATAAAAAGTTTCAAGTATCTAATATGTGACATTTTTCATTAGATCAAAATGACTAGAAATCGGCCAGCTTCAAGAAGAAAGACCTACCAAAAGTACACGAAAGAAGTAAGTCATTTAAATTTTTTTTCTTCAGTTTTTACAACTGAGCAAAAAAAAAACACAAAAAATTAAAAATACTGAACTGTTGATTATCATAGGGGACGACTCAAGTAAGACATATACAATATTTAAGTCAGTTGCAGAGAAATCAGGAAAAACCATAAGTTACACCTCTGAGTTTTTATTAATGCTTAAATGTGCCTATTTTTAACAATGTGGTAACATTTTTATATGTTAATTAATATATCTAATTCAATTAAATAAAAATTCAAATACCTATATATTATAATATCACATTAATATTTTTTAAATTACACTTTTATTAAATTATTTTAATAGTTAAAAAAAAAAAACTATCTCATAAAAAATTTATAAATAAATTATAAATATCTAAAAAAAAGAAGTTAAATAAAAAGAATAATAAGATAAACATTTGTTTTTCCAAATAAACATTAACTATTCAGATAAATATGGAATTATTATCTAAACGTGTAATGAGCAAAAGACGTAAAAATGTTTGATGGAAAAATCGTATGAATAAAAAATATTTCTCCGGAGATGAAATGGTACGTTCATTCATTCATTCATGATACGTTGAAATTTAACTGTGTAGATAGAGTATCCCATAGAAAATAATGGTTTATAAACTGTTGTAATAGTATTTTAGATAAAAAAAATGTTATCTTTAATCTTTTTAAGGACTATTTAAAGGGAACTGTTTTTATAGAAAAAATGCATAATCCAGAATATGTCATAAATAGTTCAAAGCCTTCAACACTCATGACGCTTGAAAAATCATTCAATAGAAATTTATTTTCAAATTTTTGCTCAACATTTGTATGATAGTTAAAATCCTTCAGAAGCATTTTTAATTGGAACTTCTTTTTTGTAGAATGAGTGAGAACAATAATTGTTTGAGTAAACTCTAATAAATATATTTGTCTCCATTTATCCATTTAACAAAGTCAATAGGGACAAAAGTAAAAGAAATAACAAGTTGTCACTTGCTATAGTTGATCTTTCAGACTTTAAAAAATGGCAACAATTATTGTTGCCTTTTTTTGAAGTAAAATATATATATATATATATATATATATATATATATATATATATATATATATATATATATATGTATAAATTAGTAAAAACACTTATCTAATTTTTAGTTGTCTTTAACAGCATGTTTTACCATTAGAAGGTTTATCAGAAGCTTATCCTGCTTCTGATGAACTTGCTATATATATATATATATATATATATATATATATATATATATATATATATATATATATATATATATATATATATATATATATATATATATATATATATATATATATATATATATATATATATATATATATATATATATATATATTCATATATATATATATATATATATATATATATATATATATATATATATATATATATATATATATATATAAAATTTTACATGTGGTTAATTGTTGCATGCATTGTTAAAAGTCTTTACATTTTCAAAAGAAAAAAATGAGTGCTTTTTGTGAATTGTGCAAGCTTGGCTTTGATAGTACAACAGTACTAGTCTGTCATAGCTGTAGAAGAAGGTTTGTGGATAGTTGTAAAGATCAAACATTATCTGTACCAAGAAGGAAACTACAATCCTCATTTGAAGAAGTATTAAAACGGAAATCATAATATTTTCTTTGTACTTAAAAAGTAGACCACAAATATTTACCGATTGCGAAAGTTGAGACTATATCATTGATTAACAAAATGATTGAACGTTTCTTTGAATAGAGAGGAAGATTGGGAAAATGCTGTACATTCTTGTTTAATGTCTTGTTATGATCTTGTAGCGGAAGGAGCCATCTAACAAATTTAGTGAATGAACAACTTTAGGCTTATAATTAAAAGCAATAACCAACGCAGACGCTTATTAGATCTCACTTTGTTTAAAATCTTTTAAAAACTCTGTTTCTGGTTAGAGGAAGAAACTGACTGCGAACTTTTTAATTTTTCGGATGTGCACATAAAGATGAAAGAACTTAGTAATGGTTATCCGTATTACTCAAAGAAATCTTTAAAACAAAAATTACTTAGACATTATAGTGATCATTTTTTTTTTTTGCAAAACTCTCTGGTCAATCTAATTTATTTTTTTTCAGAAATATGACTTTTTTTATTATATCGAAATTTCAAAAAAAGAAAGATCACAATAAAAATGATATTATTGCTGCCGCTGCAAGTATAATAAAGAGTGAAATCAGACAAAGAGATGTAAATAAATCTGTATATCCGTCACTAGAGAATATGGGTGATATTGAATATGGACTCAAATGAGTTCCAAAGAGTTAACAGCTGTTCCTAAGCAATTTAATTTCTGTAAAGCTTCGACAACTTAGTTTAGGACAATGAATTGCTCAAGCTTCGCGACCAAGTCTATGATAGCACCGATTCCATTTGGAATTAGAATAAATATTGATAAACCATTTGGAACAAAGTGGCTTGTGGATCATCTTTACAAATTTGAATTTTTAATACCCTCTAAATAAATGCAGTTGTTCAAGTTATCTGCTGCAGTTAGTAGAGTAAATGCTGAGCAAAAACAAAAGTATTTTGTGCGCTCGAAATAAATTTTGACCTTATTTGGAGTGTGGTATGGATTTTTAATTCAAAAAATATTTCTCGCTTAAACTGGTCAGGTTATATTATGCATACTGCATCACAATCAACAACAACTTATAAAAAAGCATCCATCAAATTTTTACATATTATTGACTTAAATTCTTCAGATGAAACATGCATATATTCTACACAGTCATTAATAATTATTCCTTACGTTTGAATAGCCTTTGTGTCAGAAACCACTCGGTGTTATAAAATATCAGAAATTTAATACAGTATGTTGACTCGAAGGACTTCACACAATTATGAGCTTTCTCGGAAACATCGGAAAACTAACAGCAGTAACTGGCCTAAAAGAAATTTCAGAGCATGTTTACTCTGAAGATACGGTAAAACATATTCTTGAAGGAAAAGCTGTTGCAAGAGCCTTAAGAAGTTAAATGTTGGTCCAGAGGTCCAGAGTACATTGATGAGTCATATTATAGATATTTTATTTGACGAATCAAAACTAGATATATCCAGATTTAAATGCACTTACAAAATGGCAATGCAAAAGTTTATTAACAATGAAGAGTTAATCAGACTTGGTGATACAAATGTTTTAAAAAAGTACTGAGTGTGCCATATTAACCTGTACGGAAAAGAGGTCATATGAATCGCGCATTGTAAAACTCTGGATCTTGTACATATACTATATTGGAGTCATAAAGGAATTTTTAGTTGCGCAGAGAACTAGTTACTAGTATTTGCATCTTTGAGCAATCTAAAAAATGCTTAACTTATTTGCTACATCAGGACATTTAAACTATACCAAGTGTTCCAGATTATACTTGCAAAAAATGCAATATTTTTCAGAAACAAATCCGTGGTTACATCAACAACTTTTATATGGTCGTCACGCAGTGCGCCATTCTGACTGGTTTCCTGTAAGAAATCCATTCAAAATTGACGGTAGAAATCTATATTCATTATATACGGATGTTGTATCGGTCAATCATGAAGATAATAATAAAATAAAGAGTCTTCAGTTAAATCTAATGAACACATCAGTCATAAGAGAAAATAATCAGGTTTTGTACACACAAGAGCATTTCTATCGAATTCACACAACAAAGCACAATTAGTTTTACTTTTTTTTTGATTATCCTAAACAAGATTGCCAAGAAGAATATATTTTCAAAGGGAATGCCGAGACGAAAATAGTCTCTAAATTGTTGGAAGTTGCAAAGGAAGTTTCACCATGCATTGTTGTTGCCGATGATATTGGTATAACAGTGATGCTAGTGTGTCATTGGAAAGATGAATTAAATAAGATTTTTTTTATATCATGAAAGCATGAAAAAATTCTGAAATATAAAAGTTGCTCAAATTTGAGTAATGGATTTTAGAGAACATCTGTTATTTGTTCATTCGTGCTCAGAATGTGACTTTCTTCAATACTAGAAAAGGAAAATCTAGTTTTCTAAAATTACTTCAAAAATCGAATAGTATACAATCAGTATCTAAATTTATTTTGGTTTACTGGGCAACCAAAAAAGAAGTTGGAATATCTGCTGTAAAGGCTTTCATTGAATTTTTTGGTAGAAATGCAGAATCTTAATTTTAATTTTAATTTTTTGAATATAAGTCATTCATTTAGGTTGAGAAAATTTAAATTTAGATTGAGAAAGTATTTTTATGGTATTGTTTCTTAGATATTTGAAGTATAAATAAATGGTTTGCGAAGGAGTTATTTAGTCAGAAAAGTTACCATCCCACAGATCGTGCTGCTTATTTTCATAGTTTTAGAATTCAACTTAGAAAAATGGAAAATGCTGAATGAATCTTTTAACTTGGATCCAAAAGAATGGGGATGGAAATTAGATAATGGTTGTCTTCTTCCAATACCACCAGATGTGGCACCACTTAATATATTAAAAGTGATTTTTAATTTTATTTTTTAAGTATATCATATGCACATAATCTTTTTAAAATATATTAGTTGTTTTTGTGATACGATTGTTTTACATTTATAGGATTTTGAATTTAAAGAAGATTCAAATGATGAAATTGAAAACGGAAGAAATTTATTTGATGATTTGTTTAAATTAATTATATGTGCGATCATCTAATTTTAAATTTCTCTAAAATTAGATGATCGCACATCTAATTTTAGAGAAATTTACCTTAAAGTGCTAAAGTTTATAATAATATATTTCTTCCTTTTCACATTTTTATTCTCATTTAAAAGTACGCACTAGGGTGTCCCAAAAAAAAAAAGCTCTATACTGATTCCCATTCTATGCGACCTAAATAAGTCCTAAAAAAATTCGATGGTTTTATTTTGATAGAAAGTACTAGATGTAAAATCTGAGTTTTACTGTTTTAATGTTAAGCTGGCTTAACATTAATAGAAAATACAACTTTTTTTTTAATTTTAGAAAATTAAAACAAAACAATTAGATGCATATAAATCATTTCTAATTGTTTTCTATTATTTAACTTGATAGTTAATATTTATAAATATGAAAATACAAAAAAAAAAAATACATGAAAACTAATATTTATTAGCAAATTTAAGATTTTATTGCGGTGAAACATTTCTCAATAAATACAACTTTTTGAACAGTTTCCAAGCTCTTTTTTAGTCATACTCTTAGTCAAGTTTTTTCTAGACTTTTTAACTACAAAAAGTCCATTTTGAAGGTGATCTTCATCTCTAGTAGCTGAAATAAAATCTTTAATGAGCTTAATGTTTCTTTCTGCACCATCATTAACAATAGATATGTTTTTGATCCATGCAATAAAATCTAGCAACTGAGAATGATTAAAGACATTTATACTATTAAGACTATTATTGAGTACTACGTATGCGTCCCATGCTGAGAAGAAAAGTATTTCCAATAATCTTACTGACTTTTCTCAATGCATAGGCTGTCTGGATAGCTTAGGGAGCAAGAAATCCTAAAAAACTTTTCAAAAACCATAGATCATAGCAAATTGCAATGAACAAACTTGCATCTTTCAACTGCAGCACTTCTTTTTCTGTCAAGATATTACTGATATCTTTGGTCATATAAAGAGTCAGGATGTAGAAAGCATCTGCTAAAAACCTTGCCTCATTGCAGGCGCCAGGTTAATAGAAATTAAAATGTTGTACTTCCGCTCCAAGATAGAAGGAGGCAAGCTTACAAACTATACCGTAATTATTTCTTGAAAACACCATACCAGTACTTGCATTAATCAAAAATGTCTTAGCTTCCTCTGCAATAGTTCGAAGAACAGAGCCTATCTTCAGATCACCTCTTTGCCAGACCAATTTACATCAATTTTTACTTCAGTAACTTTTTCACAGATTTCAGACCACTTGCTCTTTAGCTTGACATAAAGAGCTCTTCTTGGACCGTAGTTTTCTCACTAGTAAGAGCAGCCATATAGTGAGATACATGTATTTCATATATGTGTCTCCTACACATTATCCACAACATTGGTAATTTCAAAATATCTGTAAAAATTTGGACTGCTCCATTGACTCCACCTGTATTGCTTGCAGTTGTATCAAAGCATATACCAATGATCTGCTCTTTACATCCATAATATTCTAAAAATATAATAGTTTTTTATAATACTTTTTTACCTATTTATAATTATATACTTTTCAATAAAACAGTTTTAGCTTGTGAAAATTACAACTATGTTGTTAAAATAATACTATACCTGCGTTTCTGACCGTAACCCAGGAAATCTTCTTCCTCGCTGATTTTAGAGTCCTCGTTTGGCTTTTCTTCTTCACTGCTGAATTGAATCTTTTCTGTCATGGAGTCATGTGACAAAAAAACATCATTGATATCTTTTACGTTTTTCTGTCTCTCTAATTCTTTCTCTCTCAACTTATCTAGCTTGTTCTTTCTCCTGTTAGCATCCAGTACTCTCCTACTGTAGTCTTCATCGACTTTTGTTCCCATATATCCTTTCCTATCAAACTTCTGGTTTTCATAAAAACTAAGAAATATTTAAATCTATTAAGACATTTATAAATAAGTTAATAATTGTTCTAGTTTTTCTTGGAAGATGACTAAACCATGGAGTTAAACTTAAATATTTTAAAGGAAATAATATGCTATTACTTAAGTTGCTTTAAATCGGAAAGAAAATCTCACTACTAAAAAAAGTGTTGTTTAATGAACTTATTTTATATCTTCCAACTCGGTATTATCTGTTCTCAATCTATCAGCAAGAATATCGTTTTTAAAATTCTTAGTCGAGATATCAAAAAGCTGTTAGGATTCTGTGAGAAAATCTTTTTCTAACTTTGATTGCTTATCAAGGCTGCTGTTCCAGTTTAGAGAAGGCAATTTAATCAACTTCTTGTATTTTAAATTAAGTTTAATGATTAATTTAACAATTTAGAATTCCTTCGTGCACAAATAATTCCATTTAGAAATTTTTTCCTTCAAAAAAAATTTCTAAATAGAGTTATTTGTGAATCAATCCATGGGTAATTATTCCAAATAATAATATTGTCCAGAGGGAATTATATCAATCGCTAACAATGTTCATAGGGAATGATGCTAATCTTTAATAATGTCCTATGGGAATTATTTGTGTTACAATTATTACATCATATTAAAACATTGAAATACTAGATAGAGCTGTTTTTATGTAAATACGCATATGTGTACAATACCGTAAAACTCAGAATTTACATCTATCACTTCTAGTCATTTAAAAATTAAAAAAAAGATTTTGGTAGCTATTTAGGACCTATAGAATGGGGATCAGTTGAGAGCACATTGAAATTTTTAAAAAAGTGTTTTTCTCGGACACCCTAGTACGCACAAACAAAAGTTTTTATTTTTTTTTTAAAAAAAAGCTTTTTTTTACGCTCATCCAAAGCCTGTCTACTTTCTCTCTATACAATTTCAGCTTTATACCATTTTTGTTCGTTTTTGTACCATTTTTGTATTTTTCGCTAATTTTCTTCTTATACTGCCTAATTTTAATTGAAATCTTCATTTAAACTTTTTTGTGATAGTGTCTCTAACTCGTCTAATTTAAACTAATAATAAATAAATTTGTAACTTATGTAACATAAACTATTACTCACAACATTAATTATTAATCAGAGCATAAATTAAAATTGAAAAATTATTTTTTCAAAAATTTCATTTTTATATCAATTAAATCATAGTAGATAACTAATTTCTATTTATATTGCAAAAAAATTTTGGTATCTACATCTAATCTTTGTTTGAAATGATTCTGTATCAATTTTTATCCATATCAATCTAATATTTTCGTTGCTATGCATTTTTTCAAGCAAATTATACCACAAAATACAATAAAAACACCTTTATAATGATTGTATAAAATAAAGTATTGTTATTCAGCTATTGCTTCTTGTTTATTGACTTGATATATGCGCGTTTATTGCGTACAAGACAGCTATTTGTACTACTTTATGTTCTTGTTAAGGTTATTTGTGACTCTAAACCTTAATTTTTTTTTAATATCTTGTTCAAATAAAAGTGCTATGGATAGATCAAAAAGAAAAGTAACATCAAAAAAAGCTTTACAAAATGAAAATCAAAGTTTATTGAAAACAGTGATAAAAGGATGTACATTTTTAAAGAAACCACTGCCATAATTTCAGAATGAAATTCAAAAAATTCAGATTGAAAATATTCCAGGCTCATCCTCCTTAAATAAGTTGTCGAACAAAGAGGTTGTTCACGATCTTTAAAATATAAATCAAGATTTTAACTTTATTATGAGATTTGTTTTACCTAAAAACATAGTTATGCTTCATTAATGTCTAGAATGTGAAGATTTTGCAAATTTACATTTTATTTTTTCTAAAAAAGTAAGCCTAAATACTGGACAAAAAACTTGTTGGAGTGGTTGTTAATGAGAAATTGTTAATTTATTTATCTACTGCTATTGCTAAAAAAACTCACAAAACAAAATGATCTAGTTAAACACATAAACCACTTGACAAAAAAGTTGTAGCATTTCGTGGATTGTGTAAAAAAATTGCCATCAGATTTGTATGCACACTAAAAAGCTTATGGTAAAAATTCCAGTCTGAAAAATTAGCTGAAAAAATGACATATAATTGGATTTATTCTAGCTGTTGTGTACACAATCAAATCAATATTTAAAGTCGTTTCTACTGATAATTTTCCTGAAAAATGTTTTCATGGAAAAAAACAGAGTTCCAATGAATTTTTACTTGCTATTTTCAAAAAATCATGTTTTTTGGGATGGCGACGGTGATATTTTCAAAAATAATTGCCAAATTGATTTGAAATTTGGTCCATTTATTTATTGCATTAGTATTTACAACGTAAACTACAATAGTCTTTACTGCTTCTCTCGTTTAGTATTTGTTAAAGTATTTGTTCCCCTTAAATTAAATTTTTCTCCAAATTTACAAAAAAGGTAATATTATATAGAGTTAGACCTAGCTTTTAGTACACGACGCAATGACGTACATAATATATTAGCAGCCAAAATTTTAATCATAAATTATGAACGGTTGCTGAAAAATCTGTTGCCCTATACCCTATTTTTTGACCTTTAATGATTAAGAAATAATTATTAAAATTTTTTCACTTTTTATAAGTTTCCAATAGTATATTATACAACTATAAAAAAAAGAAAAAAACATTTTTCAAAGTTGAATACAATTTTTTTTTAACAACTGTACTATTACCTTTAAAGATTTTTAGTTTTTAAGATACAAAGTTTAGGATAAAAATCGAAGAAACATCGTTTTAACAACTTTTTAAGTAGTTTCCACTACGTAATAACACAATATTCGGGACAGTTTCCAACCTCCCAAACAAAATACTCATTTTTATTCACAATAACATTTATTTATTTGTTATTCTATAGGATATAACTAAGTCTCATTTAAATCATTAACAGTTAATGCTTCACTTTCATTATGCATAATTAGTGGGATTACACAAACTAAATTCTTTGCTTCATTGATTTTCCGCCAACGCCCTAATCTATGTTCTTGACCAACACCCGCTATTAAATATTTGAAGTCGCTTGAGAACTTGAGAGAATTGATGAAACCCGGCTAATAAAACAAATAAATATATATATATACTTTTATACGTGTGTATGTATGTATATATATATATATATATATATATATATATATATATATATATATATATATATATATATATATATATATATATATATATATATATATATATATATATATGATGCAAAACAAAAATAAAACCACTCAAATAATTGAAAAGCTTAGAAACTTTTTTATACCATTTTAATAGAATGAACTAGCATTAAAGATCTAAAAGATTTATCACATCTCCATAACTTAATGCATCCGTCACATGAACCTAAGTTAATTTATAATCAATCAAAGTAAAAATCAACGAATAAATAAATGCAAAAATGTATAATATATATATATATATATATATATATATATATATATATATATATATATATATATATATATATATATATATATATATATCATAAAAGATAGTAAAAACTTTATACCTGAAGCTACTATGTCTGAAAATGGAACGCAGGCCACTGACGTAATCCATGAATCTTTGGACACAGAACCCGAAAGTTCTGTTATTTTATGTGAGTTGGTGCGTAGAGTAATTGGCTTCTTCTTACGAGTATAAAAGATAGACAGTGACCTAATTTTTATGCAAATATGCAATCAACTTTTATTTTCATTAAATTTAATTCAATTTTAATTCAATAGCCCAAAACTATAAAACTTAAAAAAAAAAAAAACCCATCATCTGATCCAGCCAAAAAATACTCTTCATTTAGCATAGTAACACAATCAAAAGAAGCAGGCCTAAAATAAATGTTTGATTTAATGATGGTTTTCAAATACTGTTTAAACTTAAAAGCACAAAAATAAACACATACATATTTGATTGAAATACAAGTTGTGATTCTTCTGGAATTTTCCACAAACGAATAGAGCGGTCTCTTCCCCCACAGCTTACTGCGCAATCACGAAATAAGCTATCTATTCCTAAGACAGTGTCTTCATGACCAAATCTATGATAAAAACGTTTTGATGGTAATATATTAGATAATAATGTATAAAAAAAAACAGAAACTGAAAAAACTTACAATGTCTCAACATAAGCCATTTCATCAAGACTCCAAACTTTAATCGTTTTATCATCAGAAGCACTAAATAGCTGATGTTGTTTGTGACGAAAAGCTAAAGCCTAAAATATAGAAAACTGACTAAAATGAACACCCTTCATTAACTTTAGTGTAAAAATTTAATCACAGCAACAAAACTTGACTTACAGATATTTGTTTTCTATGCCCTTTAAATGTATGAATCCAATCTAGTGTTTCTGGATTCCATATATGAATCACCATATCATGTCCCCCACTCGCCTGTAAATAAAAAATGTAATAAACTTTTTAGAGCAGTAAAAATATAATATCCATACAAACCATACAAAGACAGATAAGAGATTTACATAAATTTTAAGAGGTAAAGAATGGGATTGGGGGTAAGAGGTGGCAAGTTCAGTAAAGAGAGCTAACAGATGTTAACTTTGCAACATTTTGGTATTATTATAATATCTGTTTAGGGTTTTATGGAAAACTCAAATTAAAGGACTCAATAATAGTGGTGCCATTCATCAAAGTAGATATATCTACAATATAATTAACAATACTATTATTATTACATAATATTATTACATATATCATTATTATATACATATTATTATTACATATACATATATTAATAAATATATATATTATTACTATTATTATTACATATCATTATTATTTGTTTAAAAATCTTTTCTTCTTTTCTCTCTTATTTATATATACAGATGTTGAGTTTTTCCTTATTTTTTTCTTTTTTTTTTTTCTATTTATTTATTTATTTTTTCGTGAAATTTTTGTTTTTTAAGTGTCACTCCATTGACTAGTTGGTAACTATATAAGTGACACCTAACCAATTTATATTAATTTACGATGAAATTTGTAAATTTTATTGATATGGTTGAATAAAAAAAAAAATACTAATTAGCATAGATCATACAATACATAGATACATAGCATTGATCATACACACATAAATCATCCAGACCATATTATAAATATCTGAAAAAAAATACAGAATGCATTTTCCTATTAATTTTGCTTTTAGCTGAATTGTTTCTAATTTTGTTTATTACTTTTCTTAATTTTCTATGAGTAATGAGTGTAAAAGTTTAAAAAACAAATCTATTACAAAGATACTTAAACTTGTCTCTATGGAAAACGTTTTGGATATCCGGTAAAACTAAAAGTTGAGAAAAATATCTGGAAATCCAGAAATATCCGGAAAAAGATAATCCCTGAGGAAACAGCTTTATTTGATTAATTAAGTTACAATTTCTTATGAAATTTTTAAACAAGATTAGAGTATATAATATATAGAGGAGGAGGGGGGGGGGATCCAAAATTCTTTATTTTTTGGTTAACCAAAGCAATCTCTTAGTTATATTAATAAAAATCATCAATTATAATATACGAATTTTATCATACAAAATTTACTCAGGGTTGTTTTTGTACTTGTTTTTAATAAAGTCAACAATAAATTATATTTCAAAAATTTTTATTAAATAAGATTGACTGCTCAGTAGTCGTAGAAACAGTTTGTATATATGCATCAAAAAAAGTGGATGATAGTATCATTCTTGCAAATTGTTAAGCAAAATTTAGCTATCTTTCTTGAACAGAAATTAAAAAAGAATTATGGGTTTGGAAAAAAGATACAATAATGAAATAACTGATGTATTACGCTCTTTAATCATGTTTTTGCGATTTATGAAACAATTTCAAATAACATAAAACTTAAGTGTTAGCGTGGCATTTGTTGTAATCAGCTTCGGAAATACCATCGATTACAAAAATTTCTTGTGGTAATATACTTAAATATCCAAACCAATTTGAAATCAAGATTTAGGTATTTTTGAAATATTTGCGGAAATGCGTCTCATTTAAAAAAAATTTTTCAATATAAAATACAGTTGGAACCAGTGACAGAAACAGCTGAGACAAAGCAGGTTAGCAAAAAATAACTGTAAGCTTTACATTAAGTGTCTAAGAGATATTATATCTTAGCTTGTTTGAAATTACAAGGCAGCCAATTTAATTAGGAAGTTTACACACCCTTCTTTACCAATGTCGGTTATCTGGTCAGAGCCAACATTGAACCTCAGACTTCGCGATTTTGAAAAAAAGTTCAAATTACTGCACCATGGTTGCAATGAAGTTATTTCTCATTTTCATTATTAATTGTTACAAATTGTTCCTTATATGAAGTAATTTCATGTATAATGCCTAAATTTTTCTTGTATTTATAGCTACACACAATGATTACATATTTTATTGATAAAACAAAAAAAAAAAAAATTTTTTCCACGGATTCTGCTTTGATAATAATAATGATTTTATTTCATGAAACAATTGATTAATAATGAAAAAAAAATATTAAGTAATTCGAAATTAGCATAAAAAATTAATTAATAAAAAGTGGCTAAATACACAAAATCCAAAAAAATTCAAATTTGAACCCCCTTTAGTTATAATTGAAAATTTTGACAGAAACCAAAACCCAATATTTTGAAATAAAATTTTTTGAGATTAAATATAAGATTTAGCAATCTGAGAAAAACTTCAGTGTTCAGACTTTTGAATCAATTTCTTACAAAAATAGACAGAAATTTGGTCTCAGGAGAGCTGTCCTGGTAAAAAAAGATTAAAAAATTTGTAACATTTTAAAACAGCAGTTGCACAAGAAAAGAAAAATATGGGTAAACCAAGAGTCTTGAATAAAAGTCAACAAAAAAAAAGTGCTTATGCCTGCTTAATATCAGAGGATTTTCTCAGCTTAAAATTGCATTTCCTTACATAGGTGGCATAATTTTCAGTGAAAACTACACTACCTTACATAGGTAGCATAACTTTCAGCAAAGGGACAAAAATGTCCTTATGATTACCATAAAAAAAAGTCTAATGTAGAAAAATTCAAGATAAAAATTTTATCAAAATCATAACATCGTCTGAACTGCCTAAATAAAAACTAGGAGAAACCAAGTCTAAGCTAAGATCAGACACAAAATACTCTAAAAGTGAAGAAGAGATTTGGGTCATCAAGTCAGAATTAATCTGGGTAATAAATGAGGAAAGTCAAAAGATTTGAGCTTGAATGCAATTAAGGTCAGTGGTACTAAAGCCAACCCATTCTGTGTGATGAACAGTTAAGTCATCAATAACAACAGTATTGGCAGATAGATAAATGTAAAGGGCTCAGTCAATATTAAGAAATAACATTAAAAAATTTAGAAAAATTAAAATTAAATTTTTTAGAAATAACATTAAAAAAAAAATGCATTTTTGGAATAAAAAACAATAAAGAACAAAGAGAAAGCTGATTAAGCTAACACCTTGTTAAGAATTGCTACACCATGTGAATTTTACGTACAAAATGGAGCTTTCCCCTATGCATAAGGCGGTTTTAGGTTATGTTTAAACTTTTCTCAACTATTTTAACAGCCTTCTAAAAAAGTTTATGCAAAAAACATTAAGCAGTAATTAACTACTGTTAAAACATTTTCACTGCAAGTAATAAATAAAGTAATAAATAATTTTTTTTAGATCAAACTTAACAAAAAAGTTAAATACATTTTTTTCTACTTTCCATTTTTATACATTTATATTCATTTTATACATTTATATTCATTTGAATGAAAGTCGATTAGAAATGATTAAATAGTTTAAAATGAAGATTTTGTTAAAGGCAAAATGTTAAAAAAAAGTTGTTGATAGTCTTTATTATATTTTTTTGACCATTAACCAATTTACCCTTAAATAATTATCCTCTCATTTAAAACAACTAAATGGGGAGAAAGAAAACATAAGACAATAATGTTGTGTTTTCAATGTTTTAAGAAATAAATAGTATGTTTAAAGTAAGTTTTTTAAAATAACGAAATTTTTTTTTATTAAACAACATTTAAATTTTATCAAAATTTTTTTTTATAACAACATTGTTTATTTTTTTATCTTTATAAAATACTTAAAAAATATTGTTTAGAAAATATTTTATAAAGACTTCAAATAAATTTAAAGGTTTCAAATTAAATTTAATTACTATGTGGTAATTTACAATATGCAACTGAAGTAATTTAATTATAAACAATTTTACAAATACATGAAGAAATGTCACTAAAACACTTAAACTTTTAACTATGTAAACATGTATATTGAGTTAAAGGGTATTGAGAATAAAACTTGCGTTACGTTTTTTTTGTTACACAACAAAATCTCATAACACACACTGATACATGATGTATATGCGAACAAATAACACAGACTGATATATGATGTATATGCGAACAAATAACACAGACTGATATATGATGTATATGCAAAAGCCAAGCAAATCACTATTATTTTCAACAAATTAAAAGAACAGTAGATATCAACAATGAAATCTGAAAATTAAATAGTAAAATTTAAATCTAACAAAGTCTATATAAGTTTATGAATTTTGCAAAAAAATGAAAAATTACTTTGAAAGCCACAAATATTTTTCAAAGATATATTGAAACAAATTTTGTGGTAATGATGACTTTTTTAAGTAATGATAGTTTTTGGGCCTAACATTTTACAGGCATAATAGTCATAGCCATTTAAGTTTTAAGAACTCAGAGATCTTAAACAATTAATTACATTGTTGCTTCATTCTTGCTAATCAACTATGTTAATCAAAATTGTAACAATGTACAACAAAAGAACTAACTGAGGCACCATCCATGAACAACAAATACCCTTAATAGAATGTACTCTTAATACCTATTAAAGGTACATTCTTGTTGCTACCCATAATCAGAGGAACAAATAAAAATCCTTAGGAGAAATCAAAAAGGTACAGCGTTCATCATCTAGGCAGCAAACAATGTAACACAGATTTAATTATATTCTTTATATAAAGATGGAATGTGAGGCTGGTAGCAGTAATTTTCTTTTATGCAGGTTTATGTTTAACATGTACAGTTATATCCTAGATTAAAAAAATATTAAGTCAATTCATAAAATTAAAAAAAAGAGGTAAAAACAGTCCAAGCATGTAGTGAGTGACCAGGCCCCATCCTCGGCTGAAAATGACAGTTTTTGCAAACTTGGCTCGGGCCCCAGGTAAATTATAAGATTTAGCAGGGTTTGATAGTAGAGGCTAGAATTATAATACATTTATAATACTTTATATATTATAATTTTATACTTACATTGACTATTTATTAAATACTGGCATATATTTATATATTTTTAAACTCTAATTTACTTCCGACAAGATTGCAAGCAACAACTAATAAGTTATGAGTTACTTTAAATAGAGAATAAGTTAAAATACTACGAAACGGTCAATTGAAGAATTTAAAAGTTGTAGGTTGTATAAAAAAGGAAAACATGAAGATAGGTAAGAGTTATAAGGTTTTTTTGATGTGTAAGGAAAAAAACTAGATTAATAAAAATTTTTATAGCATGAAGGGAAATATACAATAAAAGGATACAACTTATAGAATAAGAAACCGGCAAGAATGAGTTTTGGTTTATCATAATAGAGATGATAGCTTGTTTGAGCATTGAACATGATAGTATTTGCAGAAAAAAGAAAAAAAAAATGCACATATATAAAAATCATAATGATTTTTATATATGTGCATATATACAATATATAACATAAATCTTGAAGAAAAAAAAAGTACTATGGGACATATAAATATTTATGCAGCCCCGTTCATTAACCTGGCCTCTGCCCCTGACCAGTTATATTTTATCAAACCTGGCCCCGCCCCCAGCCCCGGTCAAATATCAAACCCGGTCGTTTACTACAAGCATGATAGTTTCAAGCAATTTACATGGTGCAAACTTTTTGTATACATAATATTAAAGCATATATGTTTTGTGCTTAATAGCATAAAAAAACTATATACTTTGATAAACATTTTTTTGAGACAGAAAGAAAAAAGTCATAAGAAAACCTTCTTATTAGTGCTTCCAATCCTGATACCATTTTTCAATACCGGTATATCGGTACTAAATAATTACAATACCGGTAATACCGGTATAATACCGGTATTAAACTTTATTTTTAAATTTATCATAATCTTAATAAAATCTTAAGTTAATAGTAAAAATTTTATTGATTCAATCAGCTTATTTATTTTATATCAAAACTACTGACTTTTTCATTTTTTGCTTTTTTCTGCTTTGTAAAATGAGCCCGTAAAAAACATAGGGCGTTCAGAACATCATCTTCAAAAGATGATCTAATTTTGTTGGCTTCACAGTTTTCAAGTAATGGTAGGAATTTTGCAAATATATACAACGATTTCCTCCTTCTTCAAAAATTCCTATTTCAATACATATAATTTTTGATGAATTATTCGAAACATTCAATTTTCCCTTGTTGTTACATTTCTTATTTTTCAAAATTGCAAAGTCAAGCTTTTTTTTCAATGACAAGTTTACAGCGTTGTCCACAGAATCACTATCGGAAAAAACGCTGGTGAAAGGGAGAAGACTATACCCTTTCTGATTGAGCCGATCTTTCAGTCGAGTAATGGTATTTACAATGTAAATACAAAAAAACACAACAGAGTTGCATGGTTTTGGCACAATGTTTCCACAGCCAGTTTTACTGGCGCAAGACATAAGTTAACAGCTAATATTGCATCGGACTCATTATTAGTTATCTCAACTTTGGACTTAAGGGCAAAAAGTGACTCGTGAATGCATTTTTTTAATTATACAAAACGTTCGAGTACTGTGTGCAAGCTAACCCAGCTAGTTTTGGATCCAAGTATTAGTGGAATATCTTTATCAAATTTTTCTAACGTGCGTTTTTGAATTTTGATCATTTTTTGTCGGAGAACGGCGAAATAAAAATTTCACAACGGTGCGCACCTTTTTGATTAACGGCTGCAAATCATCAGTCAGTTCAATAGAGTCATTCTCTTCACTCATTACAACTTGAAACCCGCCGGAAAAGTCTTCATCATTATTGGTTATGTTTGTGTCATCAGTATTTCCTCGTCACTTTCTCTTTTATTGCATATTACTTTCAAGTTTTTTTTGCAGAAATTGACGATTTTTTTGTACAAAATATCTTGAATACCTAGTTGAATCCCATGCCTAATGCACAACTGTTGATCACAGTTACTTAAACGCCCCACTTTCTACATTACCAAAACTTTTCATATTTACGTTAGTGCAAAATTCAAACATGCGTTCTACATTAAAGGGAGTGACGTAATGATAATATTTTAAATTGGTGCTTCATTATTTAATGAAAACACGAAAGTAAATGGAATACTTAAAACTTCCAGTCACGATCAAACAACGCTTCCGGTAAGAAAAAGATAGCCAGATGACAAAAGACGTGTTTAAATCGTCTAAAACAAGTATTCTACGTATTTTATACGTCTTAAACGCTAGCTGTTCGCTGGCTAGTTGCTAGCTCATATCCTACCAAACCTAGTGGGAAATGAGCTGGCAACTAGATATTAAGTATAAAGTACGTAGAATACTTGTTTTAGACAATTTAAACACGTCTTTTCTCATCTAGCTATCTTTTTCCTACTGGAAGCGTTGTTGAAAGTTTTAAGTATTTCATTTACTTTAGTGTTTCACGTAAAGAGGGCGATAGCACCTGCTATATCATAAGCCCTCTACATATATTTTTAATACCGGTATTGAGCCAAACCAATACCGGTATTTCGGTACTTAAAAATGTCCGGTAATACCGGTATTCCGTTACCGGTACTACCGGTATTGGAAGCACTACTTCTTATGTCCTGTACATTTTCATGGATTTTTTCCAACACGGTACACAAAATAACCACATTAGTTCTTAAAAACAAACATAAGAACTACACTAATCCATAAGTAAGAAGTTTCCACATACATATTTAAAAAGAAGCTTCTACATACATATGTACATATATACATACATATATACATGCAAAAAAAAAAATGTTTTTTTATACATATGTAAAAAGAAGTTTCCACATACATATGTACATAAAAAAAGAGGTAATAAAAAGAGGTAAAAAACAATTTAAATAAAGTTTGATAATAAACATTAAATCTAAACTTAAGCTGTTATAACTAAAATTAAATTTAAAATTAAACAATGAATATTAAACAAGAAATTAATTAATAAATCTATGATAATAACAAAAATAGAGAATAAAAGTAGTTATATAAAAATTTTACCAAAAAAGTAAAATCTGTTGTAAGAGCTAAACACAAAACTTGACCAGAATGACATTTTTTATCTGATTGCTTTGAAGAGCCAGATATTTTAGCAACTTTTTTATATGTAACAACATTCCCTAAACAAAATAAAATTCTAAATAAAGTAGAGGATGTATCCAATACAAATGATAATATATGAATTTCGTGTAAGAACCTGAGTCTAAAATTGAATTGGAAATTGTTTTGTTTTGTTAAAATCAAAAAAATAATTATTAAATGAATTCATGAGATAATCTCACTAACAAGTCAAGATTCATTTCGCTAGGGTCAGAAATAAAAAATTCATCATCTTTTATTTACTTATTTATTTCATTTACATCTTTTATTTACTTACATTTATTTCATTACTCTTTTATTTCGATGTTTTTTAAAATAAGATGTCCCCCAACTGTATTATAATTGTTATAATTATTTATGGCTTTCTTTCTGGGAAATTTGAAAAAATCTATTTGCCAAATCTATTTTTTCTTATCTTTTGGGTACATATTGATATACAATATTCTAAATGGGGGCGGATTAAAGTAGAGAATAGTTTTTTAAATGAGTCTAGATTTGGATGAGAAGAATACTATCTTTTTATCAGATCGAATGTTTGTGTTGCTTAGTTGACTTTAATAAATATGTGTTATTTAAAATAACAAAATTGAGTCTACGTGAACACACCTTGTTTACAAGTTGTGTGCTTAGTGCTGATTCTTTTGCTTTGATCTGAATCATACATAGTGTACACATATAGCGTACACGTATAGTGTACACATATAAGGTTTTTTATCCTAAGTGTAGTACAAAGCATTTATCATTACATTTATCATTACATTTATCAGTACAAAGCATTTATTGTTGAATTTATTTACTATTATTATTTATTTTTTTTTTAATTTTTTTTTTACTGAGATAAAAAGCATAAATATCAAGGGATAGTGTCCAATAATCAATTACATTTAGTAGGTTAGTTAAACAGGAATGACCTGGGCGAAATCCATGTGTGGAAAACAGGTGTGGATTTAATAAGTTGTTGTTAATTAGGTGTGCCATAATATGATTTTGTATTATTCTTTCATAATATTTTACTGAGATACAAGTTAGACTGATAAGTCTAAAATTAATAGCTTCTGATCTAATCTTGATTTATTCAAAAGCTTTTGATTTACATTTTTACTGTTGTTTATTTTAAGTTAGGAAAGTAAAAAAATCTTTGATTAGAAATATTATATATTATATTATAATCAAAATCTAAATTTAGTTTACAAAATTAAAAACAAAGTATTTTCTAGCAAAGTAAATCAAAATTTTACAATTAGATTTTGTTTCAACGCAACTTTTATTCATTTTAATTCAAAGTTATCCAATCAAAATTTAAATTGCATAAATTTTAACATAAAGTTGCATAACCTTATACACAAAGAATATGCTGCAAGGATTTTTTTTTATCTTTTTAAGTTTTTAATATCTTTTAATGTTAAAAATAGAAGTAACAGGTCAAACACACAAAAAAAGCAAAAACTGAATTGTTTTTTAAACTTTTCTAAAAATATTAATTAAGAATAACTAGTTAAACAAAAAATATTAAACCCTCCATTTGATGTTACAAAGAAACTGTAAGTCAAAATAAAAAATAGAAAACCTTAATATAGTTTTTTTTTTCATATTTACAGTTTTTTATTTTTTTATTCTTTTAATTTTTCTTCATGCAAAGTGTACATAGACTCTCATGTAAAGGTTAAGTTTTTATTAACTTTTAAGTTTATCTGTAAATTAGTTTTAATAAAATTTACCAATAAAATCAGTAAAAAGCAAAAAAAAAAAAATAATAATAAGACCATAAAGTGTAAAAATAAGCAAATAAAACATAAAAAAGGTTGAGATTAAAAAAAAATTTTGGAAAAATTTTTTTTTTAATTTCTTTTTTTCTAAGAAAAGAAACTGTATTGAGTGAGCCATCACTCATTCTGGAAAATTTTTTTGTCACAGCTGCAAAAAAGACTGACAACAATTGTTGGAAGCTTTCAGTAAATTATATTAAAGTTCAAATGCTGCAGTTTTCTTTTTAGTCACTGCATTATATATAGTATATAATAACATAACATGATTTTTAAAATAAATTTGAACTTGTTGTTTAAATTGTTTCAGTGTTTATTTTGCAGAAAACTGAATTCTCTCCTTGAGTTTATCTTTAAACGAAAGTAAATTTTTTAGATAAAATCTTTGACTTTAAAGAACTGTTAAATCATTGCCAATAAACTGTTCACCTTGTTCTACATTCAAAATGAAAAGTGAAAACTCTCTTACTTTCTTTTTGGAAGACATCGCATTTGGATTTTTGTGAAGTAACTTGGCCATTATTCTGACATTTTTATTGACAGATTGCAAGTGATACTCTTTTTGATTATTAATTGCTTTCATTTTTAGTAGTACCTGTGGTAATAATGGACAGATTGGTGTCAGATTTAGATTTTTTGCTGTTAACCACATCCTTATAACTTGTTTTTTCTAATGTGTTGCATTGGATTTGTTGTGAAATTTCTAGTGAACCATCTCTAGAACTTTGAAATGCATGTGTATAACAAACTTGATGCTCAATCAAAACCAATTTTTCATACTTAACCATCATGAACCATGAAATTTTCAAGGTTTTAAGTGAGAAACCATGAAACTTTCATTTTTTTATTAACTTTTTTTTATTGCTTAAGTCATTTCAAACATTTCCAAGCATTTTAGAGTATTATTGACAACCAGTGTTAACATAGATGATATTACTAGTTGAAATAATTAACTAAAAAACTAAAAATATTTTATAATTTATAATAATATTTTTATAAAATATTGCCAAAAGTCCACCAAATATTAAAAACTAATATTAGCATTAATTTGCCAAATTTTCTTATAATTCCAAAATTCCTGATGATAGTTATACTTATGACACATCAGTGATGTATCAAGGCCAATTTTGACGCTGATATACTTGTGTTAAATTTCTGCAGACTTATGAGGAACATTTTTTAAAAAAACAGTGTTTTAAAACCATAAATAACTTCTGGATACATCACTGAACATATTTAGGACAAATAAACAGATAGTCTATTATATTTTGTAAATTATTAACAAAAGTCAATAATAATTTAAAATAATAATAATAAAATAAGGAACTGAGTACAAGATACAAATAATTCACACATGAATGAAAATCAGTATGAAAATCTTTTTTAATACTTAAAAAAAAAACAATTTTAAAAACTTTAGTAACCGTGGGTTACATAATAACATATACATATACAAATGCAGCATTAGATACACACTGAAAATGTCATATTGAAATAGGAGGCTTCAGTACATACTTTGATTGAGGGTTTAAGATTAGATAAAAAATGTGTGTGTGTGTATGTGTGTGTGTGCGCGCGCATGTGTGTGTTATCCATGCACACTTAAGTGGTAAGCATTTAAAAAAAGATTTACATAACATGTATAAACAATTAAAAACAAATTTCTCACATTTAATTATAGTTCCATCTTTTGATGCTGAAAATAAATATTTATTGTCATTTGATATTACCACAGATGTAATAGATAACTTATGACCACATAGTTTTTTTATATTTTCTATATCAGGCTTCAGCTAAATTAATAAATAATTTTAAGTTATTATAAATTTGCATAAATTAACATAAAGTTTCTTTTTTTGTTAAGAAAACTAATTTATAAATACAAGAGTGAAAAAAATAAAGCTTTGCAATTATTTAAAAAAATGATTCCAATTAGTTTGGTTGATTTAGTAAAACAAAAATTGACTATATAGTTTTAATGTAAAGCCAACAAAATCAGTTGTGATTTTAGGAAATTTTCACCTTATTTCATACAAGAATAATTTTTTATAAACTACCTTGTCAGCTAAAAACTTTTGCAAGTGACCAACATCTTCCAACTAAAGTTAATTAACACTTTTATAATATCTTTCTTAACAATATCAACAATGGCATTTTAATAACTATATTTTAATATCACAAATGATAATAAATAACAGCTAAACTTTATTGAATTTTTTTTTTTATCTTTTTGTGTAAATAACTTTTTCCCTTTAAAAATTTTATATTTTTAACCCTTTCTGGCCGGTTGTGTAGAATTTTACACATACCGAGATCCACGCGCTGCTTTAATAGCAGTGGCGTTTAGAACGTTATGACCGGTTGTCGCGTATTGTACACATACCTAGGATGACGATAAAATCGTTGAACCAATGACGTTCTTACTTTGGATTCTTGGCTCGAGCTTTGTTTACAGGGATTTTGTGAGAAGGTCTACGGTGTTACTACGAGACGGAAGACCTGACTATTCCGAGTTATACAGGTTAGTTATAACCATGAAATGTTATGGATTTTATGTAGTAGTGGTGTCTTTGTATAGTAGTACCTTGAATTTGTAGCTGGATTGCAGGAATAAATTTTTATGTGGTGTTTTTTGTATGTGTGGAATTATACACAATCGGGCATAGCATTGAATATAACAGATACAAAATTGACACTCTTCAGCTTAGTATTGTGTGATATAACATGCTGGAATGACAGATTATTTGTTTATGATTTGTTATGGTGAAATATATTTATATTTTACCATGTTCATAATAGTGTTCAATTTTATTACTACTAGGAATAATAATTATAATACTAATAGTAGTAATAATAATAATAATTTATTACTAATATTATTATTATTATTGCTGGTAATACAAGCAGCTACAATAGTATCATAGCCATGTTTTAGTATAGTTATTATATATTTGTTTAGTGTTCTTATAGATACCAATTATATCTGCTATACTTTTATAGAGTGTCTGAGGTGCGACTTAGGGTTAGGCTAGAGTTAGTAATTAGGGCAAGTTTGGGCTATATTATGATTTGTAATATTATTACTATTATTATTTGTGATATAGTATTTGCTATAATGATTGTTCTGTTAGTAGTGATATTGATATTATTTTTGTATCTGTGCATATTTTATATTTTTTTTGTATTTTTTATTGCAAACATAGTGATATATAATACTAGATACCAATACTAATCATAGCATAAATTGTATTCTGATTTTAGATGAAGCCTGTTCAGTTCTACAAGAAGACTGCTACAACAGCTCGTTTTGTTCGTAACATTCCTGCAGAAAGTGATGATGATGAGCTCTCGTCGAGTGACAATGAAGTTGCTGAAGTATCATCTGGTGACGATACAGAAGAATACGAAGTATCTGACCAGCAAGACAGCAGCGATGATGAGCAGCCTTCCACTTCTGCTGCTGTTGGAAGATCTACTGTTTGGAAATGTGTTACTGGCCAATCATCTGCAAAGTCAATGCCAGAGTCTGCTGATCAACGTGCTTCTGCTGATACCATAAAGTCGCCAGTGGAGTACTTTCGTTACTTCTTTGACAGTGGGTTGGTGGAACACATTACTGATCACACCAATCTGTATGCAACACAAAAAGATGTAAATAAGCCTATTGGTTGTTCCAAGGATGAAATTGAACAGTTTCTTGGTATGACTATGTACATGTCTATTTTTAATCTGCCAAGAAGTAAGATGTACTGGGGCAAAGCATCGCGTTTGTCACAGGTTGCAGATGTGATGTCACGTGACAGGTGGGTTGAACTGAAAAGTAATCTTCACTTCAACGACAATGGAAATATGCTTGCTCCAGATGACGTTCAGAGAGATAAATTGTTCAAAATACGTCCGTTGATTGACTCTCTCTTGCCAAAGTTCCATTCACTGGAAGTTGACCATAAGTTGTCAGTGGATGAACAAATTATCCCATTCAAGGGACAGTCGGGAATGAAACAGTACATTCCGAGCAAGCCCTACAAATGGGGCTATAAAGTGTTTATGCTGTGTGATGTGACTGGAATTGTGCATAATTTCATAATATACACTGGAAAGATTCAGGCAGCATCCAATCAAGCAAACATTGGTGCCAGTGGCAACATTGTGCTTCAGCTGGTCGAGGTCTTGCCGCAAGAGAAGCAGTACCTGTTGTTTTTTGACAATTGGTTTACGTCACTGAAGTTGCTGTCAGCCCTAGCTAATAGGAACATATTAGCAGTTGGGACAGTTCGTGCGAATCGTCTTCAGAATTGCAAGATGATTGCTGATGCAACTCTGAAGAAGAAAGGGCGTGGCTCATTTGAAGAAAGAGAGGGTGTGGTCAATGGTGTCGAAGTTCGAGTTGTCAAGTGGTTTGACAACAAGTCTGTAACACTAGCCAGTACATTTGCTAGTGCAGAACCAGTGTCAACTGCGAGGCGGTGGGATCGTACTACAAAGCAGCATATTGACGTGCCACGCCCAGAAATCATACAGATCTACAACAAGTTCATGGGAGGAGTTGATACCCTGGATGCCATCATGGCGAGGTATCGGATCCACTTGAAATCAAAGAAATATTACCACCGCTTTTTTTTCCATTTTGTGGACTGTGGCAGTGGCAACTGGCTGGTTACTGTATCGCCGGGATTGTCGTGATATGGGAGTTGATAAGCGTCAGCAGAAGGATCTTATGGCCTTCAAGCTTGAAATAGCTGATGCTCTTTGTCGTGAAGGCAAAGACATGACAGCAAAGAAGCGTGGCAGACCATCAACCAGTATGGAGGCAGAGCTGCAGCGCAAGAAGAAGAGGGGACCTGCTAAGCCTGTGCCAACTCAGGATGTTCGCACAGACTCTGTTGGTCACTGGCCGGCACATGGTGTGAGGCAGAGGTGCAAGCGTCCAGGGTGCAAAGGACAAACTGTTTTTGTATGCACTAAGTGCAATGCAAATCTTTGCCTTTCAAAGAAGAGTAACTGTTTTCGCCAGTTTCACGAATAACTGTTGATAACTGTGTTATTGTACCTTGTCTTATACGGCCGTTGTGGCCTGTTGTGTACAATACGCGACATAGCTATCTTTTGCTGTATGAAATGTTTTATATAATTTTTTCTGTCTGGGTTTGATTTTTGACTTATAATAGGTGTGTTTTCAAGAAAAAATTTTTTTTAAAATTACATTTGCATAATTCAGGCCAGAAAGGGTTAAATACTAATACTTAACTTTTCAAAACTTTAGCTATTATAAAAAAAAACATACGACATCTTGTTGTAAACGATGAGCAATTGCATCTTTATCAATTTCTTGATCAAGCTGTTTTTCTTGTTCTAAAACAAACAACAATAACAACAACAACAAAATTAGCAAATTTGTTATAAGTTTATTTTAATAATTATTATAAATTCATAAAAAAATCTTTAGAAAAAGTATGCAAATCTTTAATTTTCAAAATTTTTATTAAACTCCAAACAACCTTTGTAAAAAAATCTTTAGCTACAACAAAACAATAAAGTTGAGTTTGATATAGTTTAATTTTAAACATTCATCAATATAAGTTAATGGCAAAAAATATCTCTTCAGTTATAAAAGCTTAGGTGTTCCGTTAGAAGCTTAGGTGACAAATAAAATATTGAAGTTTAGTAATTGTTTTTTAATGAACAATTATATAATAAATTATTATAAATAACTATAAAAACTCTTTCTTCTCAGTTATTTTTAATAATTTTCTTAATTTAAATGTTAATATATTATCAGCATATTTCATGAGTTTAATACCTGTCTTTATGTTTAGTTAAATAGAAGACAGGGCTAAAAAAACTTTTTTGTGTCACTTCTGATAATACAACTTTCCATTAAGAAGATTTGTAGTTGAATATGACAAGTTCAAAACCCATTTAGCAACTCAGAACGTTTATCAAGTTGTTACGTTAAGATTAAATTAGTCTTTTATTATTATTTTCCGTTTTTGAACATTTTTACTTTTGTTTAAACATTTTTCTTTTAACACATTTTTATTTATTTTTTGTTATTTGTTATCTTTTATTTACACCTTTTAATCTTGTTTTTACTTCCATTTTTTTATTATCTTATATCTTTTAAATAATTTTTAGGTTTTTCATTTCCTCATTTTTCTTTTTTTAACCTTTTTTACTGCTAATTGAGCACCTCCACCATTTGCAAAGTCAATGTAATGTTTTCCAAACTATTTTTTTTTATTTAATTATAATTCATTTCAATAATTTGTGATTTTTTTTGTTATGGTCTTTGGTACTGATGTTTTTCCTCACTCTGCTGAAAATTAGATCTTCTACATAATTTTAAATTTCTTCTAGATTAAGAAAGGTATGAAAACTTTTATCCCTTCTTGATGATTTTAAGTCAAGCCTCACAAGAAACAGGTAATTTCATAGTTACACATCCTTATCACTCCAACTTTTACTGTTAAAGTTATTTCTGACATAAACACTTCTAAAACTTGAGGTCTGGACCTTTCACAGTAAGACCTTATAACTTCACAGTAAGACCTTAGGCCTTAGAATGTTCTTCATTCTTCAGAACTTTTTATTATTCTCTAAACTATTTTGACTATTTTATTTTAATTTTTTAACTCTTCTTTTAACTTTTTAAAAAAAGTACTAAACCTTGTTTTGTATATATAATATTGTATATAAAAACTGCTCACTAGAAAATGGCAAATTTATATATTTAGATAATACTTTTCAAACACAACAAAATATTTAGATAATATTTGAAAAATCATAACAGTAAAATCTAGTTTCATAAATAAAATGTAACAGAAAAACTGACACAAAGTATCACCAGGAAATTTTAAACCTCTTCTATTTAGTTGCTTCAATTAACTGCCATAAATTTCAAAATAAAAGTTTCCAGCATTATCAATTTTAGTTTTGTGAACAATGTATCCAGCATAAACACTCCCATTTTACTGTCTTGTTTAATAGACTCTTTTAAGGCATTCAGTCAAAAATCTCATTCTCTTCTTCAGTATAAAAAAGATTTTTAAAATGTCTATTCACTTGTTGTTATCACAAATTACGGAAATAACTTTACCACAACACTGTTCAATAGATTCAATTATATTAGCAACAACATTGTATTGGAAATCAGAATCCAAATTAGACATTGGTACCATACTGAAAATAGATGTAGGTCCTGAAAATAAATATTTAACCATTATGGAAAGGAATGTTTAGGCAAGCTTCTCTGGGTTATCCTGAGTCTGACCAAAAATTTTTCCACCGTGAAAGGCAGCAGTTGCTTTTATGTATACTGCATCAACCTTTATAATGCATAAATACTATCAAACTATGAAATGTTTTGGAAATTAAAGATACAGTATCAACTTTTATTTGCTATTGAGCTCAATTTAGTTTATGACTATACACTAGGTAGTTAAATATCATTTCTTAAACGCCTATATAATGCTTGAGGCACAGCATATACTCAAAGACTCGAACAATAATACCTAATGAGTGCAAAGACTCTCCAACAGTCATAATTAAATAATTTAATGTAATCTAATGAGTGCATAAATAATTCTTCTTGTAAAACATTTTTTTTAGTCATTTCAATGTTTAAACAAACTGTTTCAGATAAAATTGAAAATTTGTCTATTACTCTTATTTGGTGAACCCATATGAAATGCTGAATATATTGAATCACTTAAGTTAAAGAAAAAATCTAAAAGATTATAATAAAAATAAAGTTAGTCATTACTATGTTATTACTGTTATTACTATTATTACTATTATTGTAATTACTAATATTACTATCATGATATATATTGTCATGAAAAAAAGACTTTTTATTTCATTCTACTTTATGACATGAAAAACATTGATCTGCATCAAATATATTATAAAAACTAAAAGATAATTAGAATGTTCATCACCATGAAACTTTAGCTTCTTAAATAAAATCTTTTGATTGTAAAACTGTGTCATCATTACACCTGTAACTTAGAACTGGTAGTTGTTTAGTTCCAACCTTCATCATAATGTCACTGAGTTTTAAGTTATCAACTTCATTAAAACTAATAATTTCATCCTCTTGAGTATTTCCTACTGATAAACTTGTTTGTGTTGCTATACAAGGTTTTGCTGGTGCTGTTAGAATTTCACTTAAACTTATGATATGATATATTGTTGGAGGTACATTTGGTTGTTTCAAACAATTAATCATTATCAGACATTTTTAGGCCAACATTTACAGCATACCATAGTTTGTTTTGATTAAGGTATATGATCTCTTAAAATTATTCTTTTGTTAAACAATAAATGGATACATAAGTTCTTTATCTTTTGGTCATAGACGAGCATGAAATAACACAATACTTTAGAGGCATAGTAGATACAATAATTTTATAAAAAATAATTTAGGCAAAATTTCCACTAAAAAAAGTCTCCAGCACAATTGCAAGACCTGTTGCAAAAATAGTTTTGGTTTTGACAAAACAAACATTTTTTATTTACTTTTGTTATATTTAATTAATTTTTGATATATATATATATATATATATATATATATATATATATATATATATATATATATATATATATATATATATATTATTTAAAAACTATGGCATATAAAATTCGCCGAACGGTCACACACGAGCAGTGAACGCCTGAGGGAAGAAATGAAGTACATTAGAATAAAAGAGAATTATTTATTAGACAAAGCATATTTTGACAGTTGTCAAGACAAAAATAAAGATTAATTAGAGGAATGTTTAAAAATAAATAAGACAGGCTATACACCCACAACAATAATAACAATAAAAATAAACTAAAAAAAATAAAAAAATAAAAAATTAAATAAAAAAAATTAAAAAAATTGTTTTATAAACACCAATATGAACGAAGATATATATCGCCAGACAAAAACTTGTAAAACAAAAAACGGATCACAAAATAAAAAATCAGATAACAACAATGAGAGGTATTTAATAATGGAAAAAAAACATTAATGCTAATGTGTAAACATAATATGTGTAGTGATTAAGTAATAAATATCTCCTCAGAGTCGCGTCTATTATTACTGGCGTTTCGATGAGGATCAGCATTTATAACTAGCTTATCCCGTCAGACAAACGTCATCGCCACTTTTGCTTTACCCCGCGACTTACGCCTATTCCATACTGCAGTAAAAAAGGACTCACTACAAATAGCCAAAACCCAACCAACCCCAAATTTGTAAAGCACCAATATATTTTTTGATGATATGATATAAAAAGTATAGATTTACTGAACAAACAAAAATAAAAATAACTAAATAAAACACTTACCATACCAACAAAAGAAAACATGAAAACAAAATAAATTAAAATTCTAATAGAATATTAAAAATATTAATCAATTTATTTTAAGAAATAAAACCAAATAGGTATTATTATCAGAAAGCAGTATACCTCATTAGAAAAATTTTTTATACCAATAAAACAACAATAGCCTTAAATAAACTCTAACGCTGTCATAGATACCTCATTCCAAATATGACAACCAATCAAAAGTGTAGGAAAATGAGCAGCCCGTGAAACCCATAATCATAACAATAATTGAAAAATATATGATAGCGAAAAAGAACGTTGCACAAAAACCTTAAAAATGTAAGCGGCATATATGTAAACATTTAATGAAGGATATAAAAATATTCTCTGAATAATAATAAAGATGAAAAATGTACATGTGAAAATTAAAACAAAGCTGAGCAATGAATGAAACAAACAGTAATAATATGAAAATCAGGAGATAAATAATATATCAACAAACACTGCAACAAGACTAACTAAATATTGCAATAAAACCAGATAATTTTAAGCCAAATGAGTGGTTAAAAAACTAGCCGTGGATAATATAACAACGATATAAGTCGTAATGTAAAAATGATGTATAAACCGGGAAAAAAAATATTAAAAAGTGAAGTCTTCTCTACGGTTCGAACTAAAAGAAATTTTAGGACCATATCTAAATCAAAATTTCCGAAAAGTAATATTTCCTCTACGGTCCGAATTAAAAGTAATTTTGAGACCATACTTAAATTGAAATTTCCAAAAAGTAAAGTTTTCTCTACAGTCCAAATTAAAAGTAATTTAGAGACCATATCTAAATCGAAATTTCCGAAAAGTAAAGTTTTCTCTACGGTCCGAATTAAATGTAATTTTGAGACCATAACAAAATAACAAGGAAAAACACACATCATAAAAACATGTCGAAAGCCGCTAGTTTATAAGAATCGCTCTTATATTTATATACACATATAAATATATATATATATATATATATATATATATATATATATATACATATATATATATATATATATACATATATATATATATATATCAGGCCTTGCGATAAAGCGTCGGGCGATGTGAATTTTACGTCGTCCAAGAGCGATTTTGCGTGTAGCTAGGGCTATTTGGGTCGAGCAAAAAATTTTTAGTTTGAGTATATTTAAAGATATTTTTGAGCAGAATTTTAATGAAGTAATTTACGATTATTTTAACATTTAATAAAGTATTTTAAAAACCGCACACAGTTGATATAAAAGTTTGAATTAAAAAAAATTAAATTTGCTCATTATTTACAAGTAGAAAAAATTCAGATTAAAAAAAAAGTTTAAATCATTTAAGCTAACATTTTAATAAAATTATTCAGCAATAGCAAAGTTGTCGATAAAATAGAACAAAAATACTTTCTTTTAGTTTTAGATTTTAAACTTAAATAACTATTTTACAGGGGTTTGTTAGGTTTTAAAATTATTCCATAGATTTAAAAATATTTATTAACTGTTAGACGTATTTAAAGTATTTAAGAGTAATTTCAAGGAAACATTTTTAAAATTGGTGAGCGCAAATTAAAAAAAAAAAAAAAAAAGGAATAATATTAAAACGTATTCTACTTGATTCAATAAAAAAGTACAGTTATTAAAATTTTTGTAAAAAATAACACAAAAAAATTACTTAAATAATAACGATCGCTTTTATGTTAAAAGTTACCGAAACTCAACGAAGCGTGCTCAAGAACAGCTGCTGAAAAATAGAACGTCAATAGTTTTTCAAATAATTTTTTATAATAACTTTTAAGAATAATTTTTTGGCTGAAATACTTCTTTTATACCTATAAGATTTTTATTCTAACATTTTATTTTATTTTACTAGAAATAAAATTCCTTGTTAACATTAAAAATCTATTCAAAACGTTCGTTTAAGTTTTTTATTAATACGAGTGATTGTGCTTATCAACCGGCTTAGGGGTTGTCCATAAATTTCGTCACGCAATTTTTGACCGTTTTCGAACTCCCCCTCCCCCCTCGTCACAAAATCGTAACACTTAAGAAGCGAGTTTTGAATGAGTTGTCACAAAACCACTAAACCCCCCTCCCCCCTTATAGCGTGACGTAATTTATGGACGACTCCTTATGAAAATAAACAAAAATAAATAAATAAATATTATATAAAATCGCTGGTAAAAATATTAGCTATTGCACAGTTTTTAATCGTACAATATTAAAATTTCCAGTTTATTACTCGCTGACTTTTTAAAAAGAAAAAATAATTATTTGAAAAACTTTAAATTACATATTTGAGAAAAAAAAAATCAAATATTAGCATATTTTATAATCTTTTTTAAATTTTAGTTATAATGTTTTTTATTCGTTTAGTATAGACAAAACGTAACAAACGTCGAGAAAATAAGCAAATGTTTTTACATTTTAAAAAACGAAACATTTCAAAACATTTTTAAATAATAACATTTCTACATTAATGATTTAAAGCAGTTTTGCGGTAATTAAGTAAATTAGTGCAGTTAATGTCAAAAAATATGAAAAGCAAATAAAAAGAATTTAATGACGTCAAAAATCACGTCGTGCTTATGCGTCGCGCAGTTTTTATTCATCACAAGGCCTGATATATATATCCTTAAATGAAAAACTCAATCATACATTATAAACATATATAGATAACATACAAATCTATATCAACATTTCAACCACATATTATCTATTAAAAGAAAATATTATTTAAATAAGGATGAGTTCAAACAAAGATAGTTTATCTATGAAAGAACAAAAAGCATGCAAACGATGTAAACAGGCTGCATGTGCATAAGGGTGTATAGGTGTAATGTATAAGTCTGTGCTGTTTATGTCATTCAGTAGAGTCTTGTATTGTTAGTAACCAGCGTAAAAGATTTGTCTCTGAACCAAACCAAGCCAGCCCAGCCATACTGCAGAAAACCATGATGGATTAAACACCTATGCATGGATTTAGAACTGACTTATGACTAAAAAGCTAGCCCAGGCATCTTCCACAGACAAACATCCTCTTTCGCGGTGACAGTAATTGCGATTAGGAAAATAGTCGTGCTCGATGACCGTAACACTAACCCTTACGGGCTAGGCCCAATATTATTTAAAAACTATGGCATATAAAATTCGCTGAATGGTCACACACGAGCAGTGAACGCCTGAGGGAAGAAATGAAGTACATTAGAATAAAAGAGAATTATTTATTAGACAAAGACTATATATATATATAGGCCTTGGCAGAATTAAATGAGCGCAAGAGCAGAGAAAAGCTCTCCTAAAACAAACATGGCGAGCCATGCGAGCTGCTCCTTTAAACTGCTTTTACGAAAGCTTTTGGTTTTTGCACAAGCTATCTGTTTATTTATATAAAAATTGCTTATGAAATACAAAGCTTGGATTTATACTCATTACAAGCATAAGTTTGAAACATTACATTAATATACACATAACAAGCATCATTTATTGCACCATGAAAAAGTTCTTTAGACATTCATTTATTTTTTACCCACAAACATCAGTTAGTTGAAATTCACTCCCTTCGTATTGTTTTCCTGATTCATATAATTTGCAATTTTTAAGTCATCTGTTAATCGTTATCTTGCTTAATAAATTTTATCTTTTTTCTTCCATTAATTTAATTAAATTTTTCGAAAAAATGATGAAAAAACTTAAACAAATTCAAGTTTGTTTGTTTTTTTAATAAAAAAACTTTTTCTGCAGTTCAAAGAAATTCTTTTTCAAAAAAATATTGTACAATAAGTTAAGTTTTAATTAATAACCACAACACATGAAAACCAACACATAATCAAAATATAACCACAACATATGAAAAACAACACAAAACCAAACTATAACCACAACACATGAAAAATACTGAGTTGTAATTTTTTATCTATAGGCACCGAATATATAGAGAAAGAGTATATCTATAAGAGACAATATCTTTAAAATATTAAGTGACTTTTTTTTATTGTTTTTTTTATTGATACAATACACTTATTGAAGTGTAAATACTAATACTAGCAATACTTAAAAGTATTGTTAGTATTAGTATTTACACTACAATAAGTGTAACACAGTAGTCAGGAAGTACAACATGACAAAGAAACGTTTCCATACAAAATACCAAAATTTATAACTAATTTATAGCTAATTTAACTTTTTATTAAAAATATAAATTAAAATCGGTGTTTAGACATGTCTTTGTGCTTATAATGATCATATGCTAAAAATATACTAGAATAAAAAATTAATGTCAAAAAAAAAAAACAAATTAAAAATTGCTAAATAAAAAGCAAAAAAAAACAACAACAAAAAAAACAAAATAGCATTTTTTTGCGACTCTAGTTGAGAGAAGCTTGTAAAATTAATATCCTTTTCAATCGAAGTAACTTCTTGGATATAGGGATGATTGTAGTGCAGAGGTAATATAAAAACAAAAAAAAAATTAATAACTTTTGATAAATACTGGCATGCTGGTTTTCTCCTTTAACTCTCTTCAAATGGCGAGGGAAAAACTTTTCAAAATGATTGAATTATTTCTTTTTAATTGCAGCATTAAAGTTATACATGATGTATTCTATAAGTTATACTCATAGAATACATTTAAAACTTATTATATACTTATTATACTTAAAAATTATTATATATACTTAAAAAATACCTTTATTACCAAGTAACCTTTAAGGTAATATAATGTTTCATTCTTAGTACTGTATTGCTTCTTGTTTATATTAAATATTATCTTGATAATCTTATCTCTAAAGTGGATAATAACACAACTATTTAAAAAAGGGTCTAAAAATAGATTGTAAATGTAGCTTGAATTACTCTAGCTGTCAGACTTGAGCCTCAAACATATCATTGTAAGGATGCAACTTCTTTTTCCAACTTCTATATCTTTTCTAAAAAACTAATAGTTGTTGCTCAAGCAAGCTATCATCTCATGTTCCACTAATGAAAACACCGTCTAGCTTAACTCATCATTCAATAAAGTTGCATCTTTTTACTGCAACTTTCATGCTTAAAAGCATTAATAGAAAATATGCTATAAGAAAACAATAAAATAAATTGCAAATACTTACGATAAAGTAGTAAAAAACTAGTAAAAATAAATAAATTGCAATCATTTTAGATATGCTACAAGTAAATAACAAAATAAATTCTCTCAACTGCTCTATTATTTCAAAAACTTATTATTTTAATTTTCAGCAGACAACAGGTTTTAAAATAAAAATTGAGAAATAATAAGAGATATAGATTTTTCATTTTTTTTTTTTTGTTTTATAATGAGAAAGGTTTAACTACAATAGTGTGATATGCTGAGATAAGATCAGAGAATTATTTCTAATTATTTTTAAATTTATATTTTCTAAAATGTAAGTTCAAAAACAATGCACCTATAAAAATTTAAATAATACCTTCAATCTCTAACTTTTGAATATATTCTTTTGCAATACGCAACCGTTTTTCTTGCGCAGTTTCTGTATTAGTTTCTGCTATATCTGGAATATTGTCATCTCTAAACAAAAACATAAATGTTAAACAACGACTTGTTTTATAATTCATTATAATAAATTTAGATTTTTTTAAAATCATTACTTATTAGGCAGTAAATATTAAAACATTCAAAATCTGCTTAGGTTTAAACAAATCATTTATCATTTTGACAATAAAAGCTGTTTTGAATTTTTTTATTATAAAATAATTAAAAATGTATTAAATTAAACTTCAAAGATCTATGATGGATAAAACACCTGTGCATGGAAAAATCACTGATTTATGAAGAAAAAATTTTTCAAAACATTTCATAAATCAGAATTATGTTTTATATTCTGTGTTGAATTAGCAAAAGCATGATGATATTAAAAACAAAAGTAAATGGAGAGCATTACCTGTTAAATCTTTAATTAAAGATTTAAGAGGTAAAATTCAATGTGATGCAGTTGTGAAACCAATGCAAGATTGAAAAATTTTGAAAAACATTATTGGTATATGCTTTAATACAGCTTTAATACAGGTAATAAAAAAAGGAGCAGCAACTTTAATTGAAATTAAGTTAAAGAGATCTCTCCTTTGGCTAGCATGTTCCCAGCATAACAGGCTACACATCAAACATGTACTTATCGCATTATAGGGAGATAACAAGAGTCTAGATGAACCTATTTTTAAACATTTCCGAGCCAAATTTTCAAGAATTGATATTGACTACTTAAACTTTACCTTTTTTGAGTAACCTACTGACGTCAAATCAGAAATATTTAATTGAGCAAATTTAGACAATAAAAAATTTCCATGAGAAGACTATTTTGAGTTAATTGAACTAACTCTTATCTCCCTTGGGGGAAAACTATAAGTTAACAGAATATTCAAAACTCACAAACCAGGTACAATTCACAATGCAAGATTTATGGAACATTCTAAATATATTTTAAAAATGGAACTCTTATCTGACAAATTAGTTACATCCAATGATATGTAAGTTTTGATCCACCGCATGGCAAAGTCTTTTTTATTCTATGCAGATTCTTTGCTTGAGGATTTCTGTATTTGGTCCAGTCAATGAATTCAAATTTTTTGTTGCAATGATCTGATATCAAGATGAAGATTCAGATATTGCAACTGCTGTGATTTCTTCAATTAACTGATACCTTTGGTATTTAACCAAAGAGCTTGTTATTTTTTTTAATAAAGATTTTATTTAATGAAAGTTGTCAGAATTCACCAGAACAATGATTACAAAGAAACTTTTTTCTACACCAAGACCAAAAACACTTTTAATTATAAAACCAAAATTTCTGACATAAGCTCTTCAATTTTTAAATTTTTTTTATTTGAGCAATGGCTTTGGCTTCTTTTTGATTTATTAGGATTAGTAAATGATCAAGAATTGCTCTAGATCAATCCACATCCACAATCGAATTGCAGAAAATTTTGTTAAACAAATGATTTCGCTAAATGAGAAATCAAGTTTATTAGCGATTTCAGAGAGTGTGCGCAAAATGAAGAGCAATGTCAATTTATTTTACAAGTTGTTGAACAACTCACAAAAAGCAAAACTCATCTTACTTGAAATCAAAATTAATTAATATTTTATGGTATTTTTTTATATTATTAGTTGTTTTTTTTATTGATAAATATTTTAAAGAAAAGCTAAAGCCTAAAAACATCTTGATTGAACTTTAATTACATTTTTATTAGGATTTTCAAAAATTAAAGGTTTAGTAGCTTTATTTTTTTTGATACGGCCAAATTTTTTTGAAAATTTGGTCAAATGTTCATCTGATAACTTTTAAAATATACAACAAGTAACATAACATAAAATTAATTATTTTTCAAGGTATTTAAATTTAAAGTTAAAAAATGTGTAAAAAAACCATTTTTTCAAAATAGCGACTTCTGGATAACATTTTAACACTTAAAGACATGTTTTTTGCCTATTAGTCCTCTCGTTGCGCAAATAACGTAACCATTTTCAAAAAATTGTTGGGAATAAAACACCCTAATGACCACGCATTTAATATTTTTTTTAGACAACTTGGCCATGGCTATTTGTAAGTTTTGAAAATTAAAGGGTTAAACAAATGTGCTGAATAAACAAATGTAAACTTAAATTATATTTAAAATAAATAAACCATTAACTAAAACGAGAAATGAACTTAATGAATAATAAAATAAATAAAGAATAAATTAGAGAAAATAAAAGCATAAAAATAACATATTTTTTAATTTAGAAACATCTCAATCAATCAATCAATCAATATGTTTTCACTTTAATAATACTGTATATATATACAATTGTGCGGGACATTTACAAACAGTTATAAACTGATGACGTGTAAAGACCTATAATGGTATAAATAATAACATAATAATAATAATAATAATAATAATAATAATAAATAACAATAATAAATATTATTAATAATAATAGAAATAAATATTAATAATAATAATATTAATAATAATATTAATGCAGTAATATAAAACACTATAATCAATATATATTTTACTACTATAATCAAAATAAAACATTTATAGCAAATAGTGATTATCCTTAATAATAAAGCAAAATAAAAATATAAGAATCTTAATAATATCAATAACAAAAAATAGGACAGATAAAAAGTAGGAAAAAAAAAAAAATAGTTGAAGAGAATTAAGCAGGGGCGATTGCATAGGAAATAGTTTATTGTATATTTATTAAATGTTAGATAGTTTAATAACAATGCCACAATCTTTAAGAGCCATATACACTATATCGGATGATGAAAATAAGGTATTTGATTGCGACTAGATGAACATTTATATATTTTTATGTTTTACTTTTAGAGTTTTGTATTTTTTATTTTTAGAGTTTTATATTTTTATTTTAATTTTATGAGTTTTATATTTTTATTTCTATTTTATGGGTTTTATAAATTTATTTTTTATACTTTTATTTTATTAAAAATTCAGCCACAAAGAATGACTAGGGGGTGATAGCATAAATGATAGTTCATTGATTATCTTTATTGAGGAGAAACTTTTTTACATGGGTTATGAAGGCATTTCTATTTGTCATTTTGGATAATACTATTTTAGTTTCAACAGGAAGAGAGTTCCAACAGTGAATTGATTGATACTTGATTGATTTTATGCCATACTTATGTGTTAGTTTTAAAGGCTTAGAGAGACTACAATAAGATACAGACCTAAGATTATAACTATGAATATCATTTGTGAATTTAAAATAGCTAGTGAAGCAGCTGGGCATATTATTGTGGACAATGTCCCATACAAGTACACAGTTTGATAAGTAGATAAGTTCATCAAGCTTTAAAATTTTAGAAAGATTATATAGTGGGTCAGAACTAAAACTGTTAGGTTAAAAGTGAATTATTCTTAATGATTTATTTTGGAGATTTATAAGGTTTTTTTTATACATGGATGAAGTTTGTCCCCATATCTGACAACCATAGCGTAGATGGGAGTTAAAAATAGCATGCCAAATATTCACAAGGGTTTCATAATTCACAAAATGCCTTATTTTGGTAAGCATTCCATTTGCTCGACTTAGTTTGTTTGCTATGGATTTAATTTGTTGAATGAACAAGAGATTTTCATCTAACAATATGCCTAGATATTTTATTTTATCTACAATATTTAGTTTTTGACCACTTTTTCTAAAATTAAGTTTTTTGATAATTTTTTTGCCTCGAGGTTTAAATAGAACTAATTCAGTTTTTTTGACATTCAGAGATATTTTGTTTGATCGTAACCATTGGACCAGTGATGCCAAGTCATAATTTAGGTACTTATTTAGCTTTTTTAAAGACTTATCTACAATTAGAAGGTTAGTGTCATCAGCAAAATGATACACTTTCGAGTACTTAATACAAGTATTTTAATCATTTATGTAGATAAGGAAAAAAAGGGGACCCAGAGTTGAACCCTGAGGAACCCCTATATACGTAAACTTAGTAGTGGATGAGATATTACCAATAGTAACACTTTGAGGACGACGATTTAGATATGACTTAAACCAGTTCAGAGCAATTCCCCTTACACCATAATGGTACAGCTTTGATAATAGGATTTCATGGTCGACAGTATCAAATGCTTTTTGCAAATCAACAAACACTCCACCAGCAAACTGTTTATGATCTAAAGCCTCACGTATGGTTTCAGTTATATCTATGAGTGCTTGGTTAGTGGAGTGTTTCTTTCGGAATCCAAATTGCAAACTATATAAGCTATCTGATAGATTTAAAAAACTTAGTAGCCTGTTATACATAAGCTTTTCAATTAGTTTACCTACATTTGAGAGTAAGGATATAGGCCGATAGTTACAAGGATCTTGTTTACAGCTGCTTTTAAAAATTGGAACAATTTCTGCAATTTTGAATAAGTCAGGAAATATCCCTGATTGGAAAGATTGATTTATTAAAATACTCAAGGGGAAACTCAATTCTTGAGATGCTAAGGTCATTATTTTTGAAGGAATGCTATTGGGTCCAGTGCTTTTTTTCGGATTCATGAGTGAGATAAAGTCATTTATTTCTTGAGAAGTAACTGGGGATATAAAAAAAGAATCAGGATTTTGGTTTTTTAGATAGTGGCTGAAGTGAAATCTAGGAAGTATAATTTCTTTAGCAAGATTATTTGTAATTGACGAGAAATAATCATTAAATGTGTTTGTAATTATTTCCTTGTTAGTTATAGTTATATTATTGATATTTAAACTATCTATGTTATTGTTGTTCTTTGATTTAGTAGAAATAATACTCCTTATTCCTTTCCAGGTGTTCCTAAGGTTATTCAGATTTTCATTAAAGTAGATTGAGTAATATGTTTTTTTTGAGTATCGCAGTAGGTTACTAATTTGATTTCTATAATATTTGAATTTTTGGAAGTATTGTAGCTTTAAATTCTCATTTTTACATTTAATGAACTTCTTGTGCAACTTATTTTTAATTTGTATTGACGTAATGATTCCTTTGGTAATCCATGGCTTTGATAAAGATTTATTAGCTTTTTTGGTAGACATTTTGAAAGGGGCATGATTATCAAGTAATCTTCTAAGTGTATCCAAAAACTTAGAGGTAAAGTTATTAACACAATAGTTCCCTTGTTGGTTTATTGAGAGCCAATCAGTTTCTTTTAAGTTTTTAAGAAACTTTTTTTCATCAAAATTTTTAAAACATCTACGATATACTTTGGGAAGAGACTGTTTTAAGTTCTTGCATGGAAAGGATATGAACTGAATAAGATGGTTAGCAAGCGATACTGATAGATTGCCTGATTTAGTATTTGGTGTGTGAAAGTTTACAAATATATTATCTATGAGTGTCTTTGATTTTGGAGTAATTCTGGTTGGTTGAGTAATTAATGGGAAGAGGGAGGAAGAGTACATTAGATCTAGAAAGTTAGAAGCATCATTACAAGATTCATATTTTAAAAGATTAATGTTGAAGTCTCCTAAAAGAACTATATTTTTATTCTCTAGTGATAACTTGTCAAGTAGGGTTTGTATATAAGTGATAAAGAACTCACTAGTGTTCATACAAGGGTGGCGATAAATGCAACCTACAATAATATTTTTTTCTGATGGCAGTAAAACTTCAATAAAGGTTGATTCTAGTTCTTTTTTTTTTTGAAATTTGAGGTCAGGTCTTAAGATATAATTTAATTCAGATCTTATATATATAATAGTTCCTCCTTTATTAGAATGAGTATCAGTACGTTCAAAGACATAGTCATTTAAATTGATATCAGTTCTAAGTGTTTTGTCGTGATTTAAGCGAGTTTCAGATATAGCAATGATATTGGGTTTATTATTCATAAGGGAAAGCAGAAGTTTTAGATCCTCAAGGTAATATGCCAGGGATGATATATTTACATGTAAATAGGTTTGTGAATTAATACTAATAGCTTTGTTATACTCTGTAGTATCATAGTATTTACAATTAATATTGTCATTGTCAAGTTTATTTTGAAAGAGATTTTTTAGGTTAGAAGAAGTGTCATTAAACAAATTATGAGTAAAAGTATTTGCACCATTTATAGTGACCTTAAAATCCTTATCTGTCAGAGAAGAGTATGGTAGAGTGTTTTCCAAGCAATTAAGACAGTACCAATAGCCAGTTTCAGTCATCAAAGAGTTGTAGCATTTACTATCAACATTATTACACCTAGTGTGTATCCACTTATTGCAAGAGTCACATTTTATAGCTTTTTGATTGCATGTTACAGTTTTATAACAAACACCACAAGGAGACTTAACAACCATATTATTCACTTCAGCATTTAGGATGATGATAATGAGAAATGGGTATTTGGTTGAGCTAAATGTACATTTGTATTTTTATTAGGTTTTTATTTTTATTTTTAATTTATGAGTTTTATATATATTTTTTTTATTTATAAGTTTTATATTTTTATTTCTATTTTCTGAATTTTTTTTTTTTTTAATGACTTTTATATTATTATTTTATTAGAGTTTTTATTGATATATTTGGTTTCAAATTTTAGTTTATATAGACTAAAAAAAATATATAATATTATATTTTATATACTAGTGAGATATGCAACACTGTGTGTGAGTATTTTGGTGAAAAGTAAAGAATGTAATAGTATTTTCAAAGTAAAGAATGTAACACTTTTGAAATTTATAATAAGAGATAAGGTATTAAATATTTATATTATAAAATATAGTAAAATTTCTAAATAATAATAGTAAAATTTTTAAATAAATATTTATACTATAAAATATATTATAAATTAACAAGTCAAACTTATTTCTTTTTTCTTTTCTTTTCAAGAAGACTGCTGACACACTTTTTCTGGCTCGAAATATGTTTTCTTTTTGTGTTTCGGTAGACAATTATTAGAATAAAACAACAGGATGAATATTTATTAAAAAATTATTGACCCAATTTATAAGAAAAATATGTTTTTTAGAATGAAAGATCAGCAACAGCTCGCTTAGAGTCACTAAGTATTAGTTTTCTCTTTTGTTGTTGACAGATCATGCTAGGTTGTACATATATAATAAGTGTATCCATCAACTCAATTATTACATTAAAGTTAAAAATTTTAGCTTAAGTATTTGTTTATTCATTTTTTAAACGCTTATTTTTAACTTGCAATGAGCTGTGACTAAGTTGTCAAAATATTATAATCGTGGTCATGTAAGGCAACCACACGTGTATCCTAAGAAGGCTTGATTAATACAATGTTTATGATTACAGTTCTAAATAGACAAAAAAATACAAAGAAAAATAGTGACAACTACTCTTTCAAAGGATTTGAACCTTATGATTACCATAAGAAAATCTAAACAATTTTAAAATATTATCTAAAATCACAGCAATCTAATATTATTATCCTTTAGGTGTGTCCATACCCTGAGAGCATTGATGATACATATAAAGGCCAACTTGATGAGGCATATTTCATCATATATGTTGCCTGTTTCTAGTAGAATCAATATATTCAAGCTTTTTTGGGAGTACAATGCCTAACTTAAAATTTGTTGGTTTATGTAGGCAATAAAAAAACCTTCAGAAAATATAAATTTTGCTTAAAAAAGCTGATTATATTATACTTTTTAGGTTGAGTCCTACACATATCATTTTTAACATGTTTGCAAACAGAATATGTACAACAAACTTAGTCTATCTAAAATTAAAAATTTTAAATTTAATTTTCATTAAAAGTTCTTCATTATTTTATAACTATATAATAGCTGTTTACAATTAGAAAACAATGTAAAAAAAAAAAGTTTAAATACACCTAAGATAAAAAAATTGTTATTGAAGAAATTAGAAAAGTTTAAATTTTTATTTTTTGCTCCTTTTTTTAACTATAATTATTAATAAAGCAACCTCATTTATTAATATGCTAACACAACTGGTATAAGAAATGCATTAAAATTTAACCTTTGTTTGTAACCGAAAATCTCTAACCAAACTTGTTACCGTGGGCCAAGACCGACATTAAATAGTCAAAAAATTATACCTCCTTTATTTTTAATGTTTTTAGATTGAAATATTTTTTAGTGACTGTAGTCTTTTGTTTGTTTTTAGAAACAGTTTTTCCTAGATTCAAAGCATTAATTAATCAAAATGTTTGTTGCAAGTTAGACCTCTTTTTATAAACAAAGAAACATTTATTTATTAGATTTTTTATTAGAAATCAGAGTAAAAAGATACAAAACTTAAAATTAATAAAATTTGCAAAAAAATTAAATACAATCTTTGTTAAGCTTAAGTTCTTTAATACATCTCAAACTCTTCGAGAGCTTTAAATTGCCAATAAATAAAATGCTTTAATCCTTTAACATGTTTTTTTTTAAAAACGGTCATGATTAGTCCAGCTTTTTTTTTTGAAGTGGTCTCTAAATATCCCGTATTTTTAAATTCATTGTGTTTTTTTACTAATAGAATAAAAAATGTTTTTTACTACTTTTAACATTATTAAACACTACAAAATGTTACTATTCAAGTTTAAGAATACATAAATCATACTACATAAACATAAAATTTTTAAAAATGTATTCACTAATATTCACTTTTTGTATGATAATTGTAAGAAACAAGGAGTTGCAAAAAGTTCTACATCACATTTTACACATTCATATCCTGAACCTTTTTAAATATTGTGTTAGTAACATACCGCACACCATCTTTGAGCATTAATCTTTTATTTTCATTTTAAATAAACATTCATTAAATATATCTTTTCATTGTTGATTCATCAAATGTATAAAACTCTATCTTTTCGTGAGTAAATGTTTACACTTTGATAATTATTTTTGCACTGAAAGAAACTCCTTATTTGTCATGTTTAAAATTAAATTGAATATGTTTAAAAGACAATTATTGAAACAAAAGCTCTGTAATTATATATTTATAACTTTTGTGACAAGTAGACGTATAATTACTGATGAACAAGAAGGAAATATAAAGAGATGCACAAAACCGTATATTACGGCATGGACATTTAAAAACCACTTTTAGTTTGCGCAATATTATGGCATGGACTGTTAACGGGTTAAAGTATATTTTAAAAAAAGAAAAAAATTAGGAGAAAATTTTAAAATTTTTTCTTGTTTTTAGTTTTATTATTACTTTTATTAACAAAAAAAAATTTAAATAATTTTTAAATATACAAAGTTGAAAAGAACAACAACTATAATTTATTAAAATTAAAATTATGAATATTGTTGTAGAGTTACTTTATTTAAAGTTCAAACAAAATGATTTTTTCTTAAAGTAATTAGAAACACATATTTCTTTCCTAACCAACATTTAATTAAATTAAGTAAATAAATTTTATTGCACCAAGTAGCTAAAACTTCATACTTCAAACTTTTCAAACAAACCACTTTTTTAAATTACTATTTCTAGTTTAGTAATTACAAAATCCTCAAGCCAACCATTTTTTACACAGTTGCTATTGGTTTTAACAAAAAACATACTTAGACACTATTGATTCATCTGAGTCACTTTCGATTTCTTTGTTTGTACTTTTCTTCAACTTTGTCTAAACATTAATATAAACTAATTTTTTTCTGACATATATTATGTTAATATTAAGCAATACCACAAGCTAAATAAAGTAATACCATATTAAGTAATACCACAAGCTAAATAAAGTAATACCATATTAAGTAATATTACAAGCTAAAGTGAAATAAACTAAAATCTTTTTTAAATATAAAAATTCATTTTTATTAGTTATTTAAATTAGGAAAAAAAGCAGATTTTTTTTTTTTAAACTCTAAACAAAAAATAAAAACAACAGAGAGCAACATTTTTTTTTAATCTTAAATAATGCACAATGGAAGGTTTTAATTAAATTCTAAATAAAAAAGAAATTTAAAATCTCTCAAAAAAATAGCTAATGAGACAGTAAATCTTGCTATAGCTCAATTATTCAAATAGTATTCAACAAAATCATTCAACAAATATATATGGGTGTTAAACCATAGTTTTGATCAACCTTAATATATAGTAAAATAACTGTGTACTAATTTGTCTAAATCGGTGGTACCAAGCCTAAAGATTCAACATGCCTGCAAAAGAACCGATCTGAAGTTCACATAAATATGGCAGAATTGGACACCATTTTACATGGTTTCAATATGACATTTAGCATCAATATCGTAATTGGCATGGAAGCTCAACAAACTATGGATATTAGACTCTGTAATGGTTTTCCACTGGATCTCTGACACCTTGACATGGAAATCAGCACTGAAGTGGAAAGCATCAACCAAAATGTTAATACGGAAGAATAAACATTTTCCGGAGTTAATTGACAATTATAACTTGGAGATGATATAGTTTAGTGAAACTAATAACATTCGAAAATAACTAAACTGATTCATTAAGGAGAGTACCCCTTCGGTGGATGAGAATATTGAAATTTGACAGCGCCACAAATTGTGCCAGAATCATTGTAACAAATGAGAAATTTGTGTTGGAAATACACCAACAGAGCAGGCACTTTGGAGTCAGATGAACATTACCTTTTTATTAACCTACCACCCCTTTTTATTAACCTACTTGTGGTTAATAAAAAACTTTGATGTTTTCACATAGAATGATGACTATGATGATAAATATATGTATATATATATATATATATATATATATATATATATATATATATATATATATATATATATATATATATATATATATACATATATACATATATATATATATATATATATATATATATATATATATATATATATATATATATATATATATATATATATATATATATATATATATATATATATATATACTCTTGCATGGTCGTCTTTAAGTTATTACCATAAAATGTCACCTTCAAATCTTTTTTTAATTTTAAAGACCGGAAATATTTTTTTGTTTGTTTTTTGTTTTTTAATTATTTGATAAACTGCCTGCCAAAACAAAACCCTTAGTTGATGTAGCAGCACACAAGTTGCAAGTCAGGCTATTTGTCAGTCGATGTAGCAGCACTCTGTTGCAATTCAGGTTATTTGTCAGTTCATGTAACAGCACTCCGTTGTGAGTCAGGCTATAAAATTGTTGATTTAGCAACACTCCGCGCATGTTTTACAGTTAAAAAATAAATAAAAAAAACATTCAGAAAGTTTTTATTTTTTAAAAGTAAAATAAAAACATTTATAATATTTTTCAAAAACATTCTAGTCTTTTAATTTGTAGTTTTGTGGTTTAATTACTTCCTGCAATTAAATTAATGCATTTTGACATAATGCATCCTTAATTTTGTCAACTTTAATACCACAAACAAGCTATGAGCTGTTTTTTACCACAAACTGAATATCTTAGCCCTTTACGATAGGTGTATATGTATATATATATACAGGGCTGTGGAGTCGGAATTGGAGTTGCGACTCCGACTCCAATAGTAAAACTTCTCGATATTGCACGTGCATGTACAAAACATTCAATTAACCTTATGTTCATACTAAACCTCAAAGAACGTTTCATAAATTTGTCAAAAAAATTTTTTTTAACTTATCAAATAGGAGGGCTGCTCGTCTCGATGATCTTGCGTGGGCTTTTGCTAGCTTTAACATTCGTAGTGCCCTCTATAAATGCTAATACTGATGACTTTGCAAGACCTTTTAACTTTAATATTGAATACAAATCTTACACCATAACTTCACAACAAAAATTGTTTCATTCTCCACCTCAGTTTCTTTTCCACAGACTCCATCTTTTTTATAACTTGGAGTTTGCTACCCATATTAAAATTATGTCTTCAGAGAAGTTTTAAAAGAGTAACTAAATAAAAAAACATCATAATATTCACCTTTTTTTTTTACACAAAATTTATGTTTGAGACGGGTTTATTTTGCCAGTCTAAACTGACTTAGAGGGGTGCGGAGATGGGCAAACCATAGTCCCGCCATTCCTGCCGAGGCCTGTATAAATATTTATATATATATATATATATATATATATATATATATATATATATATATATATATATATATATATAAATATATATATATATATATATATATATATATATATAATATATATATATATATATATATATATATATATATATATATATATATATATATATATATATATATATATATATATATATATATATATATATATATGGACGAACCAGCCCAGTTTTAGTACCGCTGGAGTGATATGGGCGCCCAAAAAAAAAGCGCCCTAAAAATTATTTTAATTTTTTAATTTTTGTTTTGGTTTTTTATTAAGAATAGAAAAAAAAATCAGTTTTAAATACAGTGTATATAAATAATATTGAGTTTATTTTAGCTATCTTGTTTATTCTTCAGATCAATAAAATGAATTTAAAAAAATTGCTTTTTTACATAATGACTTAACTGTCCTTTGGTTACAAACTGAACGTTAGTTTAAAAAAATTGAATCTTATTACAAAACTTAATTTTTAAAAATTTTATAACAATGAAATGTATAAAAAAATTTTTTTTTGATATTTTATAACAATGGAATGTATAAAAAATTTGCTTTTTCGAAAGATAAAATAGATTTTAAAATAGATAAAATAGATTTTAAAATATCCATTCAGAGTTAAGTTAACTTTTGTTTTTGCAAATTAAAAGTAACCTGCTTTTGAAAATAAATGAACTAAAGTACAAAATTTCAGTCTTAATAAATAACACGCAAGTTTAATTTTTGAATGAATGTTTTTTTAATTTTATGTGATGAAAACAAAAAACCGTAAACTTCTCCAGGAAGTTTTGTTTCTTTTCTGTATTCCTTTTGACTTTAAAAATAATATGATTACAATAACCTAATAAAAGTTTTATTAATATCTGTTTAAATCAACTCATTGTAAATGTAACATATTTATTAAACATAATTTTTTAAATTAAACTTAATGATTAAAATATATTTTTTTTAAATATGATATCTTTTTAAAATATAAGATATTTTTTAATCAAAAAATTTGATTAAAAAACATCCTATATTTTAAAAAGATATTATATTTTGAAAAATTTCACATTTTTTAAATTATGTTTACCATAATTGTCTCTTCTATAATTTAAAAGGCACCTTAAAATCACTTTAAAAATTATTACCTTTTAGTAAAAGTTAAATGAACAGATTTTCTAATATTTAAATCAAAATTTTAAAATTAAAACAAAAGTAAACACCTTTATTAAATGCTTATGTTTTTTATTTGAATAGTTAATCAAATACAAGACGTAAAACTATTTTTTAAATGTTACATTATTGCACAATTTAATATACTGTCATGCTACTTGAGCTACCCGGGTTTACTTGAGCTACCCGGGTTTATTTTTTATAGAATTATTTGGTATGAAAGTAAATAAGTTAATTAACACTTACTCAAATCAAGTAACATAAAAAATAAAAAAGGGTTAGATTTTTTTGTAAGAAGATCAAAAAAATATTTTTTTTAAAGGAATCTACAATAATGGTATAAATTTAGTGTAAAACTTGTTTGTCCAGACATAACCAAAAAAGATAAAAATTATTTGACAACATTTATTAAAAGAAGTATAAGTTGCTACAAAATGCAGCAATTATAATTTCTTTTATTTTTATTTTTTTGATGAAAAGATTGTATTTATGTTTGAAGTTTAAAATTGGGGCTACATGAACCCACATGTCACTGTAGCAGCTTATGTTTGAAAATGATTAAATTTGTTTTTTATTAACATTAAACCCCAAAGTGTAAAAATATATGTTTAACGAATAACCTAACGAATATTAAAAACCATGTTTTTAATATTCGTTAGTTTATAATATGTATGCTTAATTAATATTGATGGTTGGTTAAAACTATTGTTATACACCTTTTTGGGCATAATTCATGCTATCATAACTGGTTCTACCAGAATGGTTCGCAGATATAAAAGATAATTGGGATCTAGAGCTTACAAAGTCCAATCAAAACTTAGAGCAAGCCTGTATTCATATTGAACGTAGAGTCAACGATTTGCTAAAGAGCAGTATAAAATCAGCAATTTAATGCTCCAGCATTAAAAGAGCTTTTCGAAGATGATGCCTTACTATTACAAAGAAACATGCAGGGCATCCAGCTGCCTCTACACCTGAAAAAGAACAGTCATTTTGTGATCACTTGAATAAAGCTTCAACTTTTGGCTACCCACTGACCTCATTTGATCTTCGAATTATTGTGAAATCCTATCTAGATTGATTAGGGAGTGATGTTCAATGTTTCAATGAAAATCTCTCAGGTGTCGAATTGGTAAACGCCTTTATTAGAAGACATCATCAGCTATCCCAGAGATTGGCTGGAAACCTCAAAAGGGCAGGGTTTTTTACACTATGGGTTCAAATAGCCCCATAACCGGGGCTACGTGAACCCATAACCCCATAACCAGGGCTACGCGAACTAGGGCTATGTAAACTGGGGCTACGTATCAAAAAATATATTTGGGTGGACTTCGATCTCCCCAAAAAAGGGGGGACCAAGATCCACCCAAATATTTTTTCTCTACGATCATCATTACTATTTCATAAGTCTATGAATAAGCAACAAGTTCTTTTTTACATTGACATAAATATTAGAGAGAACCACAAACATCAAATATGTGTCAAATTTGGGTCCAAGTAAAACGGTATATAAATATATTATGTAATGTAAATATTAATTAATAATTATTAAACTCTTTAAACATTTAATTGCTTTTTGTTTAACATTAATTTTATTAAACATTAATAACTACTAAAATTGAATTTACTAAAATAAATGTTTAAAATACTTTGAATAATTTTCATTAATTATTTACTAATATCACATTTGCATTAAAAGCATTTATTAAAGTCTTTAGTAAAATAGTTTTCTTATTATAACTAAAATAGCGTCACCCACCAGTAATTGATGTATTTGAAAAAAATGTTATCATATCAACTCCTTATCTTAGGATAAAACTAAACTAAATAAACACAAATGATAAAAATGATGATTTAAAAAATGATGATTAAAAACAATTGTCACGACTTTAACTAGGGGAGAAGAAGAAGAAAGGAGGGGGGGGGCAAAAACAACTCTTCCCCCTTAAAGTTGCCAAAAAAAAGTGGTATCTCCAAATAAACTTTGGGTTCTTTACTGATATATATAACTCACAACAAACAAGCCTGAAAGCAACCACTGCTTAAGTTAGGAAACAAAGTATATTATTAAAGAACAGGAAAACCTAAAAACTGAAAAAAGTTCATATAAAAGGTGATAGAAATCTTACAAAATTCTAAATTCTATGAATCAAGAAAATATAATTAGGGGAGAGTTCACGGGCATGGATGTAAGAGGAAAACTAGATAGAGTAAAACGATGCAAATGTCTGAATGATGAGTCTAAATTAAATTTGCTTAATGATTAATAATTTGCTGAATGATTTTAAAAAAAAAAGAAGGGAAAAGTGATTTAGTGAAAAGATGCTAAACAGAAGCGCACAAAAAAATGTTTAGAAGATTCCAACCTGATTTCACAATAGGTGAACTGATATATGGGTATATGGCCGTACCAAGTTTTGTGTTTATTGAAGTCTTTGCAAATCAAAAGAAATATAATAAAGATAATAGCCTTAGAAAGTCTCATAAAGAACAAGCACGCTTGGTTTACAAGAGGTAAGATTTAACTGATGAAGGTTATTTCAAAGATCATGAATATTGGTACTCTAATAAATGATGTGTAGTGTATGTATTTTACTATTTACAACTATTTGCTCATTTTATTAGTATTTTAAATTAAATTTAAACAAAATAAATGGTTGTGTAGAATGAAACAAGAAAAATATCAATAAAACAAAAAAAAAGCTTTTCAACAGGAATATGTTTACAACAGTTTATTTACATAATTTAATTTAAAAGTTTATTTAAATTAAGTTAAAGCATCGTTATAAAATAATTATTCTAATTGTAAACAAACCTAATACATTAAACTTGCTTACTGCATTAGACTTGACTGTAGATTTTCTCTTTCTATCTTTCTTATTTTTTAAAAAGAATCCAGCCATATTCAAATATTTAATTTATATTTCTTTAACAATAACAACAAAATTAATTTGAAAGCATATATTTACACATAAATTTAAAAAATTTATGAAATTTTGTCTAGTAAAAATAAAAATTAAAAGGATAAAAATCACTTATCACAGTTATATTTTACAATCAAAACAGTAAAAACATCTTTGTCACCTATTTATGTATCGGTAATGCTGCTGTAAAACAGCACTTGTTAGTATTGAAGAACCAAACTCTTGTTTGATCATTAAACTTAAATCATATGGTATCGTGAGAAATTATCTATGATGGATAGAAAACTTTTTAACTAACAGAAAATAGAGAGTGATCCTCAATGACACTGTCTCAGATTGGCTACCAGTTATCAGTGGAGTACCACAGGGATCAGTTTTAAGACCATTATTGTTTTTGATTTTCATTAATGATTTGCCAGATCAAGTAAAAAACCCTATCAAACTTTATGTTGATGATAGTAAAATATTAAACATAAAAAATTTAATAATTATTTTTTGCCTTCAAAGTGATATAAATAATATAATGGCATGGTCATCTATCTGGCTCACAAAGTTTAATTATAAAAAATGCAAAATTATGTATATTGGAAAAAAAAATGCAACAGAATGTTAGGTATCATAAAAAGAACATTTAAATATTTAGATGTAAACATAGTAAAAAAGCTCTTAAGTTTGCAGTCTCCATTCCTACAACAAGACAGATAAAATTAAGATGACCCAAAAAAGAGCAACCACTAGTACCTACAATTAAAAAATTACCTTATGAAGTTAGATTAAATATTACGCAATTAACGACTCTAGAAGAATGTAGACTACATGGAGATCTTATTCAACATTTTAAAATTCATAATGGCCATGATAAAATAAATTGTGTTACAAACAATTGTGTTACATATTGTATAAATGTAACAATTATCAAAACACATCAAATGAAGGTCCAAATTTACGACAACACATATTCAAAATGAAAAAACCTTTTTGCAAAAACGCCTTCAGATATCAATTTGTCCAAAATCGAGTTGTAAATGCATGGAATAACTTACCATCTTACAAGCTGCTTCAATAAATAACTTCAAAAATAAACTAGACAAATTTTAACTTTTTATTAAAACATAACCAAAAAACAAACTGAGCGCTGTTACAGTGCAATATCTACCGTTATTCCACTTTTCAACTCTTAACACCAGTTGTTACAGCTATACCTTATTATTATTAGCAGTAGTAGCGATCTGAAGAGAGCAAACTTTGCTACCGCTATATTGCAATTAAAAAAAAAAAAATGCAAATGCTATTAGACACTAAAATGCTATATAATACCATTTTTATACTGTTGTAGGGGGAGGGGGAGATGTTGGTGGTTTTGTGATGACTCATACTGGATATGTTATTATATTTAACAGTTACAACATTGTGATGAGAGGGAAGAGATCAATAACAGTCAAAAGTTGCGTGACATAATCTATGGGCCTTATTAAGAAGGGAATTGTAATCTTTATATTAAAAAACCATCTACTTGATTTAAATATCAACAACTATATAGTTCTGAATATTCAATTTGTGAATGAGGGTAGGGGAAGCTAATAACTTTCCCAGTGATGGTATTACAATATTAAATATTGGCTACAATCTATTTGTAAAAATGTTTTAAACAAAAAATAAAACTGATATGTTGGTGCATATAAACCTAATCCTTAAAAAGGCTATGGTAATAATAGTAATAAATAATAAATTAAATAGAAATAAGTAATAAATTTGATTATATAGATTTCTTAAGAAAACTATTAAAAACTTTGAAATTTCTGATTTAGCACACAATAGTTTCATGATTTATTGTTTATTTTCAGTTAATTTGAATGATATGTTAACAATAAATATACACCAACTTAATTCTGTAATCACAACAAAGAAGCCTCCACGATTGTTGTGGCCCTCTTGGTCCTGGCAAGGTTAACAGCATTAACAAAAAAAAGCCAACAATAAAAAAATTAGATAAGTAGATTAGACAAATAATTCAACATGTCTTAAATACTAATGCACTTACATTCTTAATATTGATTATATCTTATCACTAAGTTTTTAGAGCCTTTAGTTAACAAACTTTAATATTTCAAACTTACAAATTTTAACATTTTAAATTTATTTACTATTAGAGTGGAGTACAAAAACAAAAAATAAAGCCAAAAAACTTTTTTTTTATACAAATAAAATTTTGTTATACAAATTCTCCTATTATTAATATTATTTAACATTTTCTGATTAAAGTTATATTAATAAATAAAAAATAACAAATAAAAATTTGATTTAAATAAGTGACTATTATCAAAATAACTTAAATTTTATTACATTATTAATTAAGTAGAATTATTATTGTTTTTTTTCATATATGTTAAAATTTATAAATTTGTATCTCTCTTTTTTTACCTGGATTAATGTAATTTATAATCAGCATAAAAAGAAAACAAACACCTAGAATTAGGTAAATTTTACATTTAAAAAAAAACAGCTATTAATATATATATATAATAAATTAGACTCTTTGAATAAAAAAATAAATTTTATTAATAAACTATTTAGTTCAATTTTTAATGTTGTAAATAATTTATAAATTTATACAGTATGAAATTAATTTTGAACAAAAATGTTAATTAACCTTTAATTACATAGATTTATACTATTTATATAAAAAAAAACTTAATTAATAAAATATTATTTCCATTTTTAATTTTTTAAATAGTTCAAAAACTTTTACAGTCTGAAATTAATTTTGAACAAAAATGTTAATTGTCCTATTTAGATTTTATTATTTATATAAATCTATATAATAATAAGTTAATTAACATTTTTGTTCAAGATTAATTTCAGACTGTAAAAATTTTTAAATTATTAAAAAAATTAAAAATTGGACTAAAAAATCTATTACGAAAAATTTATTTTTCTTGTTTTAATAGTCTAATTTAATATAAGAATACTAAATAATGTATTTTTTCCACATGTTTTTTAATTTCCGTGCATTACCGGACGTAAACGAAACACTAAATATTAAAATAAACTTAGCTAGTGTTATTCTCTGCACACACTCACAAAATCACGAAGCAACTTTTAAATAAAATAAATATTCTGAGTATTTACATAAAGATGCAAAGTATGTCTGACCGCTTTCATTACATTGACACAGTTCGGAATTCTTAAAGGGGAGGTTGAAGTCAGTAAATATGTTTTGACTTGCGCTATCCTTGTTCTTATATGGTCATTTACCTGTAGTTGCGATATATGTATATTTTTCTTGTTTACTATTTACATTTCTAAATCTATTAAGTTATATTATATATTAAAAAGAAAAAAAATAATAATTCAAATGGGACTCAAGCCTCTTGAGTTTAGTGAGTGTTTGTTGGATACACCCTATTTCCGTGACAGTATATATGACCATGAAAAGGAGCTTGATCAGACTAACGATGCCATAAAGTCTCTAATTAAAGAGTGCAGAAACTTAATTAAAGCTTTGGACAGTATGTAATGTTTATATTCTTTATATTATAAAGCATATTTTGTATCATGATTATTTTTTTTAGATCTAAAATAAAAAAAAAATTATAATCAGGGTGTTACTGCATAATACTTTTTTTATAAAACCATATTTAAACATTTTTCTGAATAAAAAAGAAAAGTTCTTTTAATTTAATGCTTTTGGTTTTGTTAAAAAAATTTGTTTACATAATTTTCAATAAAAGCTCATGTATTACATTGTTTTTTGAATATTAGTATTTTTTTATTTTTTTTTATTTTTTGACTTTCACATAAAAAAAATTAGAAAAATATTTTATTATTCCTAGTAATAATAATATTAGTAGCTTTAAAAAAAAGAATGTAATACATAAACTTTTTTTGATAAATCTGCAGTTAAGAAGTATAAAATATTATATCTTTTTAAAAAAAATCAACAATGGAGAGCATTTTGTTAGATTGTTTATAAATAGTTAAAAACTAGTTTTAAAATGTAAAAAGTACTAAAATATAATTGTTTAAATTCTTTCACAAACAAAAGATAAGTTTTCTTTAAGTCTACTTTTGAACAATGTCAAAATGTCGAAGGCTCTAAGATAAGCTCACATCCAAGAGTCTTTGAGAGTGCATAAGGAAAATATCATATTTATTTTAGATTGCTTAACTGCAGATTTACTCTTTTTTTTTTTTTTTCTTTTTTTTTTCTTTTTTTTTTATATGTAAATTATTATAAAATAATTTAATTTTAAATCTAAAAAATGATATTTAAGTATTGTAATACATGAATTTTTATTGGAAAAAAGATTTCATATAAATGTTAGGTCAAAGTAAACAGAGAAATTACTTGTAGTTGGAATTACAAGTTAATATTTATATTAATTTTATTAATATTTTGTACATATATAAACTATTTCTCATAAACGCTGTATAATACACAAGGAACCTTTCTTGACTTAAGTATATTGAAAAATTAAGCAAGATATATTTTATATTTGTTTTAGGAAATTATTTATTCTAAACTTTAGGAAATAGTATGAAAACAAAAGATAATTATTATTAATTAGTTTTAAAGTTTATATAATAAAAATTTGTGTTTTAGTTGCATTATTTGCATCATTTAGTTGCAAGGAAATTATTTATGGTGTAGCACGCTACAATAAAATTTATCTTTGATAAATATTTAAATACACAAAGAATCTTTTTTATATAAAAAAGCAATTTGATAAAAGTCTTGATTTTTACTGCTATTTAAAAAACATGCTGCTAATTAATTCTTCATTTTTCGTGTTGTAACCTAAAAAAATGATGTACTTTATTAACAGATTGTTACAGTGCGTACAATTATGAGCATTTTCAGTTGCCTACCCCTATTATTTTATGATTGATTGCAATAGAGAATTTTATGCTGATTAGGAATTATTTAAAAGCATAGATCTAAAAATTTGAAGAAAATTTAATGTTGAAGTTTAAAAATTTATACTAAAAGGGCTAATAAATGACTTTTTTTTTTGTCTTTTCACCCTGACATTATATGACATTTTTTTTTGTCTTTTCACCCTGACATTTTGTCTTTTCACCCTGACATTTTTTTGTCTTTTCACCCTGACAGTATATTTTGTCTCTTCACCCTGACATTATATGTTAGGGGTAAACAACTGAAGCAATACCCGAAATTATACGGAATTTAATGTATATTTTCTGTTTGTGTGTTTTTTATGAAAATAAAAAAAGTCAAAAATAAATTTAAAAATTGGAATCAGTTAATTAGCACTTACTAATAGTTTAGCAACAGTTGAAGTTCTTAAGAAAACGACTATGATAAAAATCTTGTCAATCTGTTTAACTGGATTGGCAAGAAGAGTCATTAGATTCAAGATTCAAATTAAAGGAAAAGTTCTTTACAAATAACTGTCTTTATCTAGGGAGAAGATATAAGATCAGATCCATGAATTTAGAATAAGTCTTAGACCTACTAGAATCTAAAATCAAACATCTGAGATAAAATACAAGATTTAGTAACCTGAGAATAACTGAGCTTAGCATCAGACATGACCTTTTTTAAATTAGTTTTTTGCAATAATAAAGGAACATTTATTCTAAAGAGAGATGTTTTTGTAAAAAAGATTAAAAAAATTATTACGGTTTAATAAAGAAACTGCTCAAGTTTCTTTATTAAACTTGAGCAGTTTCTCTTTATTAGTGAAAAATATGTAGTAGAATGAGGTTTGACTTAAAACTTAAGAAAAGGAATAAAAGCTTCCAAATCTGCTAGGATCTAGGTCAGGCAAGATACACATTTATACATACCTAATACCTTTCATATAAAAAAAGTATACTTTAGGATGTATCAATGTTTATGCATCACCAGTCACAAACTGGCCTAGATTATTTTTTATCATACCTGGTCCCTATCAACTTTTAACCCATGTTGCTTACTAGCCAGAGGTTAGCGAAAATGCCAAAACAAAAGGTTATTTAATGAGTTTTTTAGTAATCTGCAATCAATTTACATACAAAAACGACAAGAATGTTTATTTCATAATGTAGTTAAATAATTTGTTATACCCTTTAGGGTGCCTCAAACTCAAAAGGTTTTTAAAATATGTTCGAAAAACCTGAAATATCTGAAAATGTTGCTAATACAGCTGTGACTTTCAGAATAAATCTATCCTTGTGGAATTTTAAATTATTTCTCTATACTTATCTATATTTTAATAATTATTTAAAAGAACCTCGTTCTTTCAAATAATTTTTGCTTTCACTTTTTCAGTAGTTTTTTCTACATTTTAAAAATAAATTTTTTACAGTTTTTAATCCATAAAAAACTTTTCAGTTATTGATTTAAGTGTTGGTAGTATGAAATCAATTTTTAAAGATACTAAGTACTTTAACTAACATTTTAACACACTTAGTGAAGCTATTCCTATAAATATTTACTTCTGAAGGATGGATCATATTTATCGAGTGCCTCCTCCATATCTCATACAGAACATCTCATTCAACAGATTTTGAGAAACAGCTGTGATAAGGAAACTAAACTGAAGTAGAACAATAAAAAAGTATTGGTTTAGACAGGATTGAAGAAAAAAACTGGATTGGTAGTTGATGTTCTGAGATACGAAACATCCAGTGATGTAATACAACAAGACGGTTTTTTAAGGTATGTGTTTAAGAATCAAATTAAAAAATGCATGAGGTATAAAATATTTATAAATAAAAATGTTTCCAGGATTATTCTCTTTTGAAGTTCTAAAGTACTGGATACTGATAAGGAGCTATACAAATATTGTACAGTTTCCTGTATGGCAGAGGTAAACCCGCAGGCTTTAGAGATATATTGCAAGGAGACAGCCTATCATTTTGTTCAGCTCTACCCCAGATAATAAATCCCTCAGGGTTTACACAAATTGTTTATACTTTTACCAGGTAGCTTGCAATAAAAACTTTTTTTTGGTATGCATTCTTAAGAAGCACAGAAACAAATATGTAAAAAATTTTTTATTTAATTTCCTGATCCAAAAATATAGTATATAGGTTTATAGGTTTATGCCAAAATCATGTAAGTTTACCTATAAAAACTGTAAAGCCCCAGTGCCACCACTTGGATTTTTACTTTTTTTTTTATTTTGCCACTTTCAGGCATTGTGCACACTTATATACAATCTTACATTAAATTAGAATGCTTTGCAAATTGTGGTGATTTGAGCATAGAAACGAAAATACTTTAAATCTTGGTAGAATTGTTCTATCAAATTTAAAACATATTGATAAATTTAAATTTTGTACAAAAGATAAGATTTTGTTAAGATAGTACAAAAATATTTTTATCGTTAATTGTCCATCCTTAATAAAAGTGTGACTTTTAGTGAGGTGTGAACCTTTTAGGATATTTTTGTTCTTAGGCTGCAATTACCAGGTATTTCTTTTACAAAACATTCTGATTTGATATAAACATGAGCTAAACTAAGTTTGAAGCTAGCATTATTTCTGGAAAAATTACATCTGAAACACCAAAAAATTTAATTAGTGCCAATCAGAGAAGTCAAAACACAATTTAAATGTCAGAAAAGGATTCCTTAAATGTAAAACTGAATCCTGGCTCATACAACCTACAACTTTTCAAGTCTTCTGTCAACCATTTCCTTTTTCTTTAACTCTATTCTTTATTTTCTAGTTACTCCCATCTTAATAGTGGTTGTTTGCAGTCTTGGTGGGAATAAATCAGAATAAAAAAAAAGTTAAAAAAAGAAACCACCCACAACTAGATGTATAATATGACTGTTTGGATATTGTTTTGTTTTTTTTCTATTTGTGCTAACTTGTGGTATATTCATTGTGCAGTTGTGCAATTGCAAAGTTATGTAAAAAAACAACAGTTTCTTTTTTTCCAGTAAAAGTTTTTTTTAATTTTGTGTATATATTTATATATATGTATATATATATATATATATATATATATATATATATATATATATATATATATATATATATATATATATATATATATATATATCAGGTCTTGTTTTAAACAAAAAATGTCTAATGCATTAGCTTATTACAACATTTGGCGTCATAAAATTCTCTTTACTTTTTTAATTTTTAAAGACATTAACTTTTTTAAATTACTACAATAATATTAATTACCTCAAAACGACTTAAATGTTATTTAACACTATTTTTATTATTACTAAAAGGGAATGTTTGTTGTATTATATTTTTTTTAATATTAAATAATTAAATTTAATATTGCATTTTTAAAAATGTTTCATATTAACAAATTTCTTTCTTTTCTTGACATTTGCATAAATGAATTAATATGTGTTGAACTTTTGAATTTTTAAAATGATTTTTTCTTAAATTTCTAATTGCAGCTTTGCAACTACAATGGTTTTTTATTTTTAAAAAATTAGCAAGTAACAAATAAAAAAATTATGTTAATTTATTTACTTTATTTATTAAAAGTTTATTAGTTTATTATTTTATTATCAAAATGATTTTATTATCGCTGTATATATCGTTTATTAAAAAATAATCACTGCGATTTAACTTGCGTTATAAAAAAAGTTTTTAACTTAGTTTTTTAACTTAGTGCAAATTTACCGTTTATTTAAAATTTAATTTTGAGTAAAAAAAAAATGTGTAGGAAGGATAACTGAAATAACAATTGCAATAAAAATAAGCTAAGATGTTTTAAAGAACAAATAAAATTTCAATATTGAGTAATATTTTAAAATAAATTTGACAGTTATATAATTTAATAAATTTAGCTTGTTTAAATGCTATTTAAAATCACAATAAAAATCACAATAAAGAGAGTTCAAATTCCGCGAAACTACTATTTATAAACACCCCTTTTCTTTTATGTTTCACAATTAAATTCTTGAATCCCTTCTTTTCAAGCAACTTTAATTCATTTGTTAATTTATCGTATAATTTTTTCCTGTTGCAAAGGATTGATTTTTGTCCACTTTTCTTTTTTTGAACTTTTAAGTGATAATTTGCTGCATTTCTTGTGCAATAATTATGTATTTCATTGTTTTTTATACTAATTTCTTGGAAGGCATCCATTTTATGTAGTTGAATTGTATTGTGTATAAAAATCAATACTTTCACTTGAATATTTTCTTTTACAGATAGCCATTCTAATCTAAACAACATGTTTTCACTATGTGTGAACCAGTCACATTTCAAGATTGTTCTCATAGCTTTGTTTTGTAGCTTCTGTAGTATTTTTATATCATTTATTCTTGTATCTAAGAATAATGAGGCACAATATTCAAAATGAGGTGCAATAACTGTATTAAAAATTAATATTTTTGTCCACCTTGACGAATATAAAACAAAGTTGACTAACACCTTAATAGTGCAGTTTAAATAAGTAGAAGCTTATAACTTGCTTATATATCCTTTTTTTTTTTAAGTTGATTTAAGTGCTCCAAGAAGTCCTTACGGTCTTATGATCTTAGAGCACTGTGGAAGAGCATTTAATAGGAAATTCACGCCTCCTTCCCAACCGATGTCGCAAAACTTGCCCAGAGATGGGGTTTGAACCGCGGATCTTATGTTTCTGAGGCAAGTGCGCTACCACTGCGCCACAGCTGCTGTTAAATATCCTTATATCACACCAGACAATTGAAGCAAGAAGTATCTATTGATCAGCCCTCAGAATTAAGTAAAATGAGGTCAGCAATAAATTGCCAAACTTAAACTGTTAGAGGTTTGCATCAGGTCGGCAAAAAAATTTTGCCATAAAGGGTTAAACTAAAAACATAGAATTGAGATGGTTTTTTGCCCACCTCAAACACTTATAGCTTTGCAGTTAGGTCAGCATAGATGAATGTTGACCTTAATTCAGAGAGCTGATTGATGTATGATGAGAATCAATGATACATTATCATTTTTTTATGTCAGGAATCATTTCATATTTTCATCCAATTACTGGATACATGCAACCCAAAACCTTTTTGTTCTTATGATACAAGCATTAAAACATAAATATATAAAAAGAGATATCAAATGTGAACAGCTAAATCTTTTCTCAAATATTATCTATTAATTCAAAAACAGTTATTAAATTTCAACATCTGAAAATCACAACCTGTGACATATCCTGCTGCCTTGTAATATTTGACTTTTTGGACAAAGCTTAGGAGAGTTCAACTCATTTAAAATACTCCTTTAGGTTGGTGCTTTAAGTTGAGTGAAGGGCAGAGATAGCGTCGCAAATACTGATCTAGGGTAGATATAAACTGTACCTAAATAACTAACTACTGTTGTGTGGAAGATATTTTATTAATATAATTACTTGCTTTCAAAAATTGTTGATGTTTTTAAATCACCAATATAAAAACCTAATAGTTGCAATTTAAGTTGAGACTAAATTTTTATTATTATTTTTTTTGAGCTTAGATGTTTATGTTGCACAACTGAGCTTCTGCACTATGCTGAGGAACTTTAAACTTCGCTATATTGGTGAAGTTGACTCAGATGACGATTTAGAATATGGTAGTTAATTTTGATTTTAATTTCTTTATGCAAAATTGTTGTTTTTAGTTATAAAGTTTAGTTTCAGTTCAGCTAAATTAAAGGTATAAAATATATATGTGTTTTATGTTGTGATATTATCTTGTAATTTAGAAGAAACATTTCAAGTATTTGCTGAAATTATTGAAAGGGTAGAAGAAGAAAGGAGAAGAATGGTAAGATTAATTCTTTTACTGAAAAAACTAATATAGTTATTTTTTAGCAAAATATACAACAACTTTTTTCTATTAAAATTTAAAACACAAATGAAAAACTTTTGGGTCAAGTTATAGATTTATATATATAGTATATAGATTTGCCAACTTTTTTTGATGATCACAAAATATGAAAAAAACAACTAACTTGCATGTTCTTTTTATATTAGTCAATGTGTGTATTGAAGCCCTTGCATCCCTAAATCAGATAAAAAACATGTTTAGATAGCTGATCTAAACATGTTTTTGTTGTTATATATATATATATATATATATATATATATATATATATATATATATATATATATATATATATATATATATATATATATATATATATATATATATATATATATATATATATATATATATATATATATATATATATATATATATATTCAATTTATGATATATTTTTGGGACACCCTTATATATATATATATATATATATATATATATATATATATATATATATATATATATATATATATATATATTCAATTTATGATATATTTTTGGGACACCCTTATATATATATATATATATATATATATATATATATATATATATATATATATATATATATATATATATATATTCAATTTATGATATATTTTTGGGACACCCTTATATATATATATATATATATATATATATATATATATATATATATATATATATATATATATATATATATATATATATATATATATATATATATATATATATATATATATATATATAAAGGGTATCCCAAAAATATATCAAAAATTGAATTTCGATATGCAGAATACTGCATTTAGCATCATTTTGTCTATAAATACCAACAACAACAAAAATTAAATTTCTAGCTGAAGCAAAAGGTTATTTAGGTGAATTTACTTTTATTTTATTAAGTATAATTTGACTTTATTCATATTATTCCGATTATAATTGTTACCTAAACAAACAAAAAAATTGGTACCTGTTAAACAAACAAATGTTTTATATAAGTGAATTTTTTTTACAAAATAAATCATCAATTTTAATAAGAAATTTGTTTTAAATACAACTAAATGAACAGCAAATAATTTTAAGAATGCAGGCGCATGCACTGATACAGCATTTTTTAATGATTGATGTTAACTTCCAGACATAAAACAAACTCCAAACATATATGCTTATACTTATGTCAAATAAGAATGCTATGCAGAAAATTGCAATGATTAGAGCCTGGGAACAAAAAGTGCCCTAAACGTAAGAGCAACAAATTGATAAATTATTTTTTTTACTATTCTCAACTAAATCTAGATTCATCAATCAAATTCAATATTGACACAAAAATCTTTTAACGTTCAAAAACTATGAACAATAAAAAGCTTAACCTCCCCCCCCCCCCCCTGAGGGAATTACTCATTTTTCTCAAACAAAAAATCACTTTTTTCAAACAATAAAAAATAATATTGAAATATACATTAAACCAATGTTATTAATAAAAATAATATTCAACTAAATAATTTTAAATTTTTTCTTTGTAGATTTCTTTGAAATACTTTGCCAGTTCCTCTGAACTACCTAAATTACAAATACATAAATTTATAAAAAGTACTACTTATACATTACCAATCATTATTATTAATAACAACTAAAAATCACATTTATATTTCATGTTATTGAACAATGAAATCTTGAATTAAGTTAATGTGGCGTTCTGCATGGTCATTTACAATTGCAAGTGTTCTTACACACAAGACTGGAAAACTTCCTCATTTTCACATGCTTTGATGCCTTTTTTTTTCCATAGCAGAATTTCCTTCTTGGAGATCTCCAATAGCAAGAACAAAAGGTAGGACTACTTGTTAACAAAATTTTTTGATTTTGCTGTAGGAAGAATTTCAACCTTGGTTTCAACCCTCTTTTTAATCAGATTTTTTAACTCCGGGATTCTTTTGATGATTGGTTTGAAACCTTGGTTTCAGGCCTCTTTATAATCAGATCATTTAACTCCTTATTTAAATCATAAGAAGCTTGTTTAACATGTTGGTCTTTACTTTGGTTTTCAGATCCTTATCAACAAGAGCGAAATGATTTGTTGCAGAGATAGATTCCAAGTATGACGCTTAAGACTTTGGTAAAGAAATTTGCTGCAAATTCTTTAAACTCGTCTACTGTTTTTTGCTTAAAAGCAATATCAAACGTCATTAAATCATTTAAAGGTATTTGAGAAGCATTAGGGCTTTTTAGAAAGAAGAGTTCATGAAAAAATACAATGTAGTTGGTTGCAGCTTTCAGATGGTTTATTGTATTTTTTCTGACTGTCTTGGAATCTTGGTATCAAAATGTACCACAATTTTTAAACTTCTTATTTTATCTATTTATCTATGTTTTCCTTTCTAATTATCTGTACCTCCACAAAATTATGAGTTTTCCTGTTTAGAGTTGATCTTGATATCGACATATTATCAATATTAATGTTACCAGCCTTGTTAAGAAAAGACAAAAGACACATACCCGGCCTAACTCCAATCCCAAATCTGGTCATAATTGGGATTCAATTGTTAAGAATAACTTCCATACTTAACTGAAGCAAACTTTGATGTCACTCTGAAACCTTTCCTATTTTTTCTGGACTTTAGCTGGAGGTAAATATAGTTCGTCGCACTCAGTTTGACTGGCTTTATCTGTACTTGAAAAGTCACCGTTCAAAAAGCTACTCTCCTTTTTCCTTATTTTTATCTTCATGTCTTTGGATTTTCTCAGATATCTAAATTATTTTTTTTGTGCCCTGTGAGCATTTTTACAAAATTTTATTGTTTATGTTATCGAATTTGACCCTATCCCCTCTCAGACAAAGCCTCAAGAATATTATGTCTTCCATCTTAGCCTCATCATCCCTATTTCTATCACTTTTTACTAAATCAAATATGTTTGTTTTATTAATAAAGAATCAAGCACTGCTCTCTTTCAAAAAAGTGTTGACCTTTTTGTAGCTACCCTCTGGTTGTTCTAGTGTTTTTAGAATTTTTAAAGTGTGTTATTCTTTGACTTTCTTGGTAATTCTGGTCTTGATAGTTTGCTCCGTCACAATGAAAAAATCGTTAAACCCAGCTTGATCCCACAAATAAAATCAATTTATTTCATTAAAAAAATCCTTATTAGATGCATTTAGTTGTAGTTGATTGAATCAGGATTATAGTATACAACTAATAATGAAAAAGTAGTGAAACTAGTAAATATGTTTTATATACAAGTTCAAATCTGTATTTAAGATGAATTGCAAAATTAGCATCTGTATTTAAGATGAAATGCAAAATTAGCATCTGCTAAGGTTGCATCTCTTTATCGAGCTCGACACTTTCTTACTCCAGATTCTATTCTCTATCTCTATAAATCTCAAATCCGTCCCTGTATGGAATACTGTTGCCACATCTGGGGCGGATCTTCTAATGATGCTCTTTCTCTTTTAGACAAGGTGCAAAAACGAATTGTAAACATAGTTGGACCTGCTCTGGCAGCCAATCTCCAACCTTTGTCACATCGTCGTAATGTTGCTTCTCTTTCTCTTTTCTACAAATACTATAATGGGCACTGCTCTAAAGAGCTAGCGTCCCTTGTGCCATCTACTAAAATTCATTCTCGTGTTACTCGCCATTCAATTAAGTCTCATCCTTTTTCTGTGACTGTTCCTAAGTGCTTCAAAAACTCTTATTCTTCTAGTTTTTTTCCTCGAACATCAGTTCTTTGGAATTCGCTTCCTTCATCTTGCTTTCCTGATTCATATAATTTGCAATCTTTTAAGTCATCTGTCAATCGTTATCTTGCTCTACAGATTTAGTCTTTTCTCTTCCAGTAACTTCCAACTCTTATAGTGGTTGCTTGCAGCCTTGTTGGAAGTGAAGATGTTAAAAAAAAAAAAAAAAAAAAAAAAAAAAATTTCTTGGTTGAAAACAACTATTAAACTTGATTTCTACTTTAATTATATATTGACTTAAGTTAAATTTAAGCATCATTAGTTTTTATTGTTTATAAAACACGCATTATTTATCTTATTGTTAGCCATGCTTTTGTCAAAGCATAAATAAAAATTGACTCAAATAAATATCAATTTTAAATCAAAAATTTTTTATTATATTAAAATAAATTCACCTAAATAACCTTCCCCATGAGCTAAAAATTTAATTTTTTGTTTTGTTTTTCTTTATAAGTAAAATTATGCTAAATGTAGTATTCCCCACATTAAAATTCGATTTATGTATTATAAAGAACTAGTTTTCGAACAAAGCAATTAGTTAAACAACAATTTCAAGTGCAGTTAAAACACACAAAAACTAAATCACTAACTAGACAAAACTAAACTACTAAAATAAGTCAATCCTTCCTGGGAAAAGTCGTTGCATGCCTTGTTTGTCCACATTTAAAGTAATTTTTTTAGACAAACTGACCATGGCAGTTCACATCTTTTAACTTATAAAGCATTTCAATAATTTGCGACAAAAAGCTAAACTTACCTTCTAAGAAAAAAAAATCTTAAAAAAGGTAACAAAATTGTAACGAAATATAAAGTTTAATTAAATAAACTAGAAAGTTCAATAATTAAAAAAAAGAAAGTTTAAAAAGTTTTAAATTTGTAATGACGGAATAAGTTAAATAAAAGAATAACATGGTTTCTTTAATAAATGTATAGACCGGATTTGATGCATGTATGAAATCAGGTTTAAATGCACAATTTGGGTAATTTAACAAAAGTGCAAACAATTTAAATGGGGGTATTGAAAACAACCAAATATTTTATATTTAAATATTATTATTAATGACTTTTCATTTTTTTATATGGAAAACTTGTTTAAATAAAAAAAATTTTTACAAATAAAAACCAATTAGTTTTCTCACTTTTCTGTGCATTGATAAAAACAGTAAAATTTAGTAAAAACATTTGAAAAACAATTTTTAAAATTGTCCTTGTTTCTAGCGCAAATTAAAAAGTATTTCCTTAATATATTGACTGAAAAAAGTCCGGAAAAAATTGTATCAAAAAATGTTTTTATTTTTGTTATATTCTTATTTGCTTTTTTCCTCGACTTGCATCAATTTTGGCAGTGGAAAATAACAAATGCCCTAAAAATAATAAATCAAAAACAGTAAAATATTTAGGTATATTATTTTTTTGACAACATTTTTCTTTTTATAATAAATTTTTTTTTGCTTTTTTTATTTAGATTTTTTATTTTGTATAGTTTTCATTTCTTTTCTTTAAGTATTGCTGTTTTATTCTCTAGTTTCTTACAGTTTTATTTTGCTGCAAATTCTTTTGGACTATTTTGGACTTTTTTCCAAAATAGTCCATAAGCTTCTTTACATATTTAAAACTCCTAGATACCAAAAACCATAAAGAAACAATCTTTTTATGACTTTCAAATCCTTTTTGGGACTCTTTCATTAAAATAATATAGTTAAGATACCAAAATAAGTATTAAGGCCGAAAATATATAAAATTATAATTGTTTTGTCAATGATATTAAATATAAATAAAGAAGAAAAAATATAGTTTTGTTATTTAATACTTAATTTTTTAAAACAAAATTTTGGTTGTATGGAATTTTTTAAATCCCAAAATTATTATAAACTTTAAAATTAATATAAAATTAAAAGCATTGCTGAAAGAATATAAAATGTTCAGATTTTCAGGAGTTATCATTTTGGATATTTCACTTTCATTAGTCTCCTCTAATGTCTCTTTTACACAGAAACAGAAAAATTTATTGAAAAGGAAAGTATTTTTATTTTTTTTTTACTTAAAATACAACTTTATTTATTTCTTTTAACTGAGTTAAAAGAAAGAGTCTCCCCAAAATTAATAGGGCCACTACAGTCAAGGAGGTTACTTATTGGTAAAGGGGAAGTGATAAATTTAAATAAGTTAAATGTTGTAAAAAAATTATTATGCATTAAATACCGCTTAAATATCAATGGAAAAAGTTGGCAAAAATTTACAACCTTTTATAAAGAGCAGTCTATGAGACAATATATGCCAAACATCACCATAATTTCAAAACATTTTGGTATCAAACATCACCATCATTTACTTACAAGAAAATGTTTAATTTCTGAAATTTCATTACTTAGTTGAATTTATGTTAATATATTTTTAGTTAGACCATGCCAATTCTCAGTTGATTGATCAACTTGAAAAATTTCGCAAAGAGCAAATTGGAAGTGCAAAAGTAAGCATTTACGTTTATTTATGAGGAAAATTATAACTTTTAGATAGTCCTCCTCCCCTAAACATTTCCATTGTAATTTTAGGTGGGAAAATTATCCTTATTTAATATTTTGTTGATAAAATTTGCTTTCTATTAATTGGGAGAGACAATTATTGTAGTTGGAGAAATGAATTTTTATGATTGTCATCTATTTCCGGCATTGCATCAGCATTTGCCATGGTAATGGAATTGGTCAATCACTTTTTAATACGGCACTAATTTTTAGTTACGTTTATTTTTAAAATCATCTTTTTCAATTATTTGACAGGAAGAGAAAAAGAAATTTGATAGAGAATCAGAAAGAGTGTGTAGTTTACTTGATAATCATTTAAAGATATCTCCAAAGAAAAAAGATATTGTTTTAACTGAGGTTGGAAAAAGTTTGTTTAAAGATATATATAACCACAAACTAATTAAGTTCTTTTAATTTTTTTAATTTTTATTATTTTTATCAAATTTAAGGCTGATGCTCAACTAGAACACGAACTTGCAAATTTTCGACAGATGTCTTTGGGTTATGTTTCAAAGTTGCATGAAGTAAATGAAAAAAAGAAATTTGAGTTTGTTGAGATTGTACGTACTAAGTAATGCTATTGGATTCAATGCTTAACTTGATAAAAATAACTTTTTTTCTAGTACTCTTAATATTTAACTTGTTTTAGATGCTTGCATTTATGTATGGTCAGTCAACTTTTTTTCATACAGGTAGTTTTTTTATTATCATTATAAATTGTGTTTGCTTTTAATTAAAAACTTGGATTGCAGGTTTTATACCAGTAACTTGACAAAGTTTTTATATTGTTTAGGACATGATGTTTTCAATGACAACAAAGCCTATTTAACAGATTTACAATACAAACTGCAAACTGTGAGTGTGTTTTTTTTTTTAATTTAGTTTTATCCATTGAATGTTTTGTAAATTTTATTTTGTCACTACTGGGCAATTCCACATCAAAACAGCCAATCAAATTCCACATCAAATCACCCAATCAAATTCCACATCAAATCACCTACTCAAATTTCATATCAAATCAGCCAGCCTATTGAACCTTGTGTTTTTATTTTTATTTTATGTTTTGAGACGTAATTCCTATTTATAAAAAAGTTTAACAAATAATGAGTAGTTGACAGGAAACCAGAAGTTTAACATATTTAACATGGACATTAACATAACAAAACAAATTTAACATTGACCTGGTTTTCTAAAATGACCCATTTTTAATGAAATTTTGAAATTAATGTTTCCCTTAATAAAATAAGAAACAACAATGAGAAAAATATGAAAATAAAAATTTATTTTTTTTGACCATAAATTCACTATATGCATAAAATGCTTAAATCTAAAGAAAACATGCTTAAAAATTACAAAAACGACTTATTTGACTAAACTCTGGAGTCTAATCTTTCAAAACACCCTTGTGTAGATTTTTTTATCTGGACACCAAAAATTGGAAAAACAACAGAAACATTTAAAACTATAATTTTTAAGATATCATTTTTCAAGAAATTAAAAAAACAAATTAAAAATATGTTACTTAAAAATATACTACGTTTTTTTGATTGTAGTTGTAATTGTTCACTATTATTTGGTATGAACAGTAAGAAGAAAGCAATAATAATAGAAAGCATTTCTTCTTACAAATGAATAAAAATTTATCTTATGAACAGTAAGAAGAAAGCAATAATAATAGAAAGTATTTCTTCTTACAAATGAATAAGAATTTATCTTAGTTACTTAATTTTCAGCTGAAAAAAATTTGTTTTTAGATCTTTTTAGATTTCTATTTTAGTATGTTTTGCACTTATAGATATTTTTAGTTTTATTTAAACAAGGTTTTACAAATAGTTTTTTTTTTAATCTGAATTTTGTATAAACTTTGCAATTATACTTTGTATAATTGCTAAAACTTAAAAAAACAAATCCATATCAATATCACACTTAATGAGTTTTTATATTTAAAAAAAAAAGCAGGATGTGATTTTTAGTTGTTATGTTAATTGTCTAGTTATGTAAAACTTTCTTAAATATAACATAATTGTTTTTTTGTTTTTTTTTAAAAAGTTTATAAACCAAATTTAATGCTTAATCATAATTTATTTTTTTATTAATTAATGGAGAAAGTATCTTTATTTTATGTTTAAATTATAGTACTGTATGTTTCATTTGTTTTTCATTAGATTTTTTGTGACAAGTAAGATTACGAGTAACTTAAAAATATTATAAGAAAAATAAAAAATTATAAATATGGATGTTTTGAGATGTTGGACTCCAGAGTTGAATTAAATAAATTAATTGTGTTTTTTTATTTTAAGGCATGTTTTCTTCTTACTTTAGCATTTTAATTATAGGTTTACTGTATATAAATTATACATATCTGGCCAGATACCATGTATACTGGATATGTTTATTTATATCTGGCCGGATATAAATACTGCTAAAAAAATAAATGCTGAGATACATGGGCCAAGGCATGCAAATAAATTAGGGGGGGAGGCAAGACCTTAAAATGAAGTACTTGTTTTGATTCCAAAAGTTTTTTTAAATGTTGGTTGGGCAAATATTGGTGGGGTGTTTAAAATACTGTAAATTGTATGGAAAAAAAAAGATAGAAGGGAGTTCCAAACATTGATGTGAGAGTAAAGAAACTAGATGAATAAAAGTTTTTGAAGTTTTAAGATAAAATAGACAAATAGTATAAAGAGACAGATAAAGTAAAAGCATGTAACTTTGCTAAAAAGAATAATCAAGTGAGAATGAGTTTTGGATGATGGAAGTAGAAATAATAGCTTGCATAAGCAGCAACCGTAATAGTATTTGTATAAAAATAAGAGATGCAACCTTGCAATGTTGGGATAGTGCCATAAGCTTGGCAGAAAGAGCAGATCCAACTATATTTATAATATGCTTTTGGATTTTTTCAAGAAGCGAAGTGAAGAGGGCAACTTTAGAAAAACCAGCAATAAATATTACAAAAGTATTCAATTGCAAGCCCTAGGTTGTTACAGAGGAGAGATCAAAGACAAGATCTGCTGCTTTTTCTATGCAATCAAAAGTAATGACTTTTTATCAAGGCAGGAGTATATAGTTGTATCGTCTGCACATAGAGCCACTTTAGATGTAAAATTGCCAGTGAGCTCATTATTTAAGATGAGAAAGAATACAGGATCCAGGAAAGAACCTTGTAGTTTCCCAGAAGTTACTTTTTGTCAAGACAGGAAAAAAGAGATTTCAATAAGAGTATTGTCATTTATCAATATCAAATATGAGGAATATCAAAAGTATTGTGATAACTGTTTGAAGTAAATTTAACTGGAGTTAAAATTAACAAGCCACTGCAAGCCCCAGATTGTTACAGAGGAGAGGTCAGAGGAGAGGCTACCTGTTGCTATTAGACTTAAGGTGTTTGAAATTTATTGATTAATGGTTCAAGGATCTTGCTAAGGGTAAATAGTACAATAATAAATAGGGTAAGTCTGAGGGAGAGGTACAAAATAAAAGAGAGATCATAGCATAGTCTAATTTTCTAAAAGAGAACAAGGACTGAAACTGAACATAAGCTAGGGTCAGAGACAAGACAGATATTAATGAGTAAAGGTAAGTGATTAGGGTTGTCTAGAAAATGAGGCACAAAGTTAACTAACAACTCTATGTCACAAATCTAAGTAGAAATTTTGAGAAATCAATTATTAATGATGTTAGACCTATGTGTTGTAGAACATTCAGTGTGATGTTAGACCTATGTGTTATAGAACATTCAGTGTGATGTTAAACCTATGTGTTGTAGAACATTCAGTGTGATGTTAGACCTATGTGTTGTAGAACATTCAGTGTGATGTTAGACCTATGTGTTGTAGAACATTCAGTGTGATGTTAGACCTATGTGTTGTAGAACATAGTGATGAGCATTTAATTCACCAATAACAAAATTGTTGGCTGAGAAGTCAATTTAATCAGAAATAAAGTTTCTGATCAGAAGTGCAGTCTTGAGAAGAAGGTAAATAATAAAAAACAAAAAGAGAGATGATTGAGTGAAGAGGTAATAAATGAGCACATAAAAGAATGATCCCAGGGTTTATACCTAATTTCATGATAAAAAGGTTATTTGATGTGTAATAATATGTCCAGAACAAGCATGTCACTATTGAAATCATTGTGAAACAGACCAAGCATGTCACTATTGAAATCATTGTGAAACAGACCAAGCATGTCACTATTGAAATCATTATGAATCAAGGGATAACAGTCATCCACACTGAGGTCCAAAGGTAAGCACCCAATAAATTCATCAATAACAAACCCATGAAGTTTGTTTGTCGAGTAAATATTCATTAAACTTCAAATCGTTGAACTTTTGCAAAGTTCAACGATTAGTACTTTTTAACAAATACAATTATTTATAATATAAATAACTTTTCACAAATAGTACTATTCGCTTAACAAATAGTACTATTGGCTTAACAAATAGTATTATTAGCTTAACAAATAGTATTATAGGTTAACAAATAGTACTATTTGTTAAACGAATATTACTATTCGTTAAACAAATAGTAAGCGAATATTGCTATTTGTTTAATAAATAGCTATTTGCTTAACTATTCGTTTAACTAATAGAATTAGATCCTTATAAAACTTAGTCATTAAATTCCATGTCAACCATCTCAGATTATGTTGATTTTTATACAGTTGAGATTACTTTGTAAAAATTTTTCCTTAAAAACTTTAGCCTGTAGCTCCTTTCTCAGTTCCAAGAAGATCCGGAAATATGGCCATTTAACTTAGCAAAAGTTTAAAAAAATTATTATTAATTGTTTGTAATTACCAATATAAGTAAATTTAGGCAATTTTTTATATACCTGTTTTTAATGCTCAAGAACTTTGATACCATCAAAGCCACATGGATGGCTTTGATAATATCAACAAAAAAAATTTAATACATCATTCTATATTCATTGATTTTTCAGAAAGTATAAAGATTTTGATCTGCAAGTATATGGATTTATATATATGGATAAAAGGGCATGGTCCCCTCTTTTTTGTAGCAGAATATTACAAATGATTTTCCACTACCTTCCAGACTAGCTGGAGCTCTGAAACTTTTGACATTTCTGTAGTACTGATAAGTGTGCATGTTAAAATTAAATCCAAGGCCCAAGACACAGAGTGGGGGGAGTGTTAAAGGGGTGGCTTGTGGGTGTGTCTCACTTTTTATTAGTGTAATCTTGAAATCGATTTTTCACTGCCTTTTAGACAAACTGAAGCCCTGAAACATTCAGCAGTTGCGTAGTCCTAATGAAAGTGTGTTAAGAAAGTTTCCAGGGCAGACAACTGTGAGGGTCGGTGAGACTGGGGTAATTTACTTTAAATTATTGTAATTTTCTTTATTACTAATTTTAAAACAGCAAGTTTTTAAATAAACATGCTAGTTAACGATTTCGCATTAAAAAAAAAGAAAAAATATTCGAGTCTTTATTTAAACAAAGCATTAATAAATGCTTTGTTTAAACCAGTGGTTCCCAACCAGTGGTCCATGGACCCCTGGGGGTCCATAAGAACTTTTTAAGCGGACCACAAGATAAACGTAAATTCTAAATATTTTTTGGTAGTGAAACTTAATTTTGATTATTTTTTTCTGTTGAAAGAAACAAATTAAATTTTAAATTAAAAATGTAATTTATGCGAGAAAGCTGTTACACAAAATTTGCGTTAACTAATTTCGACGAGGACTTGCGGACCTCTACGAAGTAATAAATGCTATATAATATCATTTTTTATCCATAAATTTAAAATGTTTAAATCTTATCTCATGGTAAAGATAACCTTACTGATTTGTTTGAAAGAACGTAATTTGTGTTATTTTCTATAAAAATTCGATACTATACTACTCTTATCTATAGATGCTTTTTATATTATTTTTTAAATACTTTAGATGTCTAAAAGTAAAAAAAGGTCATACTTAGATGAATACATGAGATATGGATTTACCTACATGCTTAAAGAAACCATTAGCTACCCACAGTGTGTTATTTGTTATAAAGTACTAGGAAATGACTCTATGAAACCTTCAAAGCTTGCTATTCACTTGAATAAGTGCCATCCTGATCTCCAAACAAAAGATACTGATTTTTTCAAAAGAAAATTTGAATCACTGAAGAGATGCAAATTGGATAAAACTGGGATTATTTACCAAACTCAACAGAATATAGTAGAAGCATCCTATAAGGTTTCATATATAATAGCACAGAACAAAAAAGCTCACACATTGGCTAAAGAAGTTATACTTCCATGTACAAAAGAAATCGTTAGATTATTATTTGGAGAAGAAGCTGCAAAGAAGGTAGATAATATATCTTTATCAAATACTACAGTCAAACGAAGGCTAACGGATATTTTATCAAACATTAAAGAAAATGTTATTAATGAAATTAAAGAATCCCCATATTTTTCTATTCAGTTGGATGAGTCCACAGATAGAAGTTCAATGGCACAACTAATTGTATATTGTAGGTATATTCACAATAACAAATTTAAAGAAGAATTTTTGTTTTCTTCTTGCCTTAAAACAACAACAAAAGCAGCTAATATTATGGAACTTTTAAAACAGTTTTTCAATGACAATCAATTACAATAGAAATATTTGTTTGGAATTACTACTGATGGAGCTCCTGCCATGATGGGTTGTAAGTCTGGATTACAGACTAGGGTGAAAGAGATTGCTCCAAATGTAGTTGGTGTACACTGTTTTATTCATAGACAGGCTTTGGCAACCAAAACTTTACCAGGTAGTTTGAAAACTGTATTTAATCAATTAGTCAAGTTGGTCAATTATATAAAATCTTCTGCTCTTAACACTCGCCTTTTTACAAAATTTTGCTCTGACCTAAATGCTGAACACAATAAGTTATTGTTTTATACTTCTGTGCGATGGCTATCTGCTGGAAATTTTTTGCAAAGATTTTTCATGCTTAGAAATGAAGTGAAAGAATTTTTATGTCAAATGAAAAGGGGACTGGTAGAATATTTTGAATTTGATAATTTTGAAATAACAACTGCTTATCTTGTGGACATCGTAGGTTATTTTAACAAGTTAAATTTGCAACTTCAAGGCAAAAATGCTAATGCTATTACACATTCAGATAAACTGAAGGCATTTATTGAAAAGCTCAAACTGTACAAGACTAGAATTAATAATGGAAACTTGATCATGTTTCAAAATTTAAATAACATAATTGGAGTTAACATGCTTCCTGAAGTTATAAAGACAGAAATAGTTTGTCACCTAGATAATTTGATTACTGAATTTGGTAACTATTTTCCAGATATGAATCTTTTGAGCAGTGAAGTTATTATATCACCATTTTCTTGTGATGTGAAAAATGTGAAAGCACAAGAAGAGTTTATAGAGTTAAAGAATGATACCACGGCTAAGGATCACTTCAAAGTAGCACCATTAAATATTTTCTGGTTGAAAATGAGGAATTCATATCCATTGTGTTCATCAATTGCACTCTTAAAATAAAAAAAATCTCTTAAAATAAAAAAAAGAAATAGACTTGATATTGATGCAGATATTAGATGTGCTCTATCAAAAACTAAACCAAATTTTCAGATATTAATTGCTAGTAAGCAGTGTCAGAATTCACACTGATCTGTTCTTGTATCATACATAAACTAAGATAAAAAATTTTTGTGTCATTGATAAATATTGATTTTGTGTCTAGTCTATTCAAAAATACCTTAAATAAAATATTATCCTTATGAATAAAAGTTACATTATTAAAATGTTCACCTTGTAATAATTTTTAAAATCAAAGGGGTCCATGAAGATTTTAGGATATTTAATTTGGGGAACGGGTTAGAAAACGTTGGGAACCACTGGTTTAAACAACATTTTTCAAACATACATTTATTTGTTTTCTTTTTTTCTTTTTCTTATTTTTAATGTTTTTTTAAACATTTATCATAAAAAGTACATAATTATATATAAATAAAAAAAAAATCTATCATATAAATTAAAGTATTATATTCAACTTTTATTGATATTTTAATATAAGTAATTTGTTACTTTATTTAAAAGGTTTTGCTTATATAAAAATTATTAGTAAAGATAAAAATTTCGATGTTATTTATTTCTAACATATAATTCTAACATTTAAATATAATATAAAATCTTTATTATTCAGCACATTTTTAAAATTTAATTAGTTTATAATTATAATTATAAAATATAATTAGTCATGGTCAAATTGTCAAAACAAAGTTTTATTTGTGTGGTCATATAATGGCACGCCTTCCTGGAAACAGTTTTAACACACTTTCATTAGGACTACACAAATGCTGAATGTTTCAGGGCTTTAGTTTGTCTGGAAGGTAGTGAAAAATCTTTCAGAAGATTTCACTACAAAAAGTCAGCACATGCTTTAGTCCCCCCCCCCCACCTTTCTCTCTCTCTCTCTCTCTCTCTCTCTCTCTCTCTCTCTCTCTCTCTCTCTCTCTCTCTCTCTGGTGTCTTGGACCCTGGATAGAATTTTCAAAAGTTTTAGCTAGTCTGGAAGGTACTCAAAAATCAATCGCAATATTCTGCTAAAAAAAAGTGGGGATCATGCCCCATTATCCATATATGGAAATCCATATACTTGCAGATCAAAATCCTTATATTTTCTGAAAGATCAATAAATATGGAATGTGATTTTTTTTTTTTTTTTTTGATTTTATTAAGGCCACATGGATTTCTTGAGCATAAAAACTGGTATACAAAAAATTGCCTAAACTTATTTAAGGGCCTGGCCAAAATCTGCTAAAATGGTCATATTTCAGGATCTTGAAGTTAGAGGCTAAAATTTTCAAGGAATTCTTTATTTACCATGTATTATCAATTGTAAAAAAATCAACAAAATCTGAAATATATGGTGACATTTTTAAAAATTTCTGGGTCAAATGAGATGGAATTACCCAAGAGCCAGTTTGAGTTCTCTACTTGAATTGTTTTCATTCTCTACTTGAATTGTTTTCATAATTCTTCTAGTCTGAGGGTAATTGAGAATCCTAATAATAGTTCAGCGCTTTTTTTTGGTAAGTCTTTTTTGGTCAGTCTTTTTTGGTCAGTCTTTTTTGGTCAGTCTAGTATTTGATCTCTATCAGTGATTGAGATTGGGTAATGATGTTTTTTATCATGTTAAAAAAGCCTATCGTATAAGATTCTTTGGAAACCTATTTGGATTGACTTTAGATGGCTTAGATGGTAGTAAGAATTCAGTTGTGTCAAGATGTTGTTGTTTTTTCAAAACTTGGATCAAAAAGGTTGAAATGGAATACTTTTTGTTTTGTTGTATGTAGGATTCAACGTTTTTGTAATATTTATTGCTTGCAATTTCATAAGTTGGAGCAAATAGGGCATGGTGTTTCAAAAACTAGCTTCATTTACAACTGACCATGGTTGCATATCAAGAATAATTATTTCAAAGATGGACTAATGAAAATTTTTCTGAGTTTGATTTAATTTTTGTGCTGATTTAAAACCAGTTGGGCATAGTATATAGAAGCACTTGTACAGAAATTGTTTTTGTTTGTTTTGTTTTGAAACAGAATCACCTTTCTCCCAAATTTTTGACAGTTAAATCATTGAAAAAGCAAGGTTGACTTTTGCAATATAAGGATAGCGAAATTTGATATGAGACAAAAGGCTTTTTTTGTCTCATATCACTGATCTTTGATATGAGACATAAGGCTACTTTTTTTATTATAAATAAGTAGTAAAAATAATAAAAATATTAAGTTTCTTAAAAAAATATATAAAAATATAAAAAATAAAACCTTAAATAAAATCAACAGTAACAGTTGTCTGTTTAGGTTTTTCAATTTGTTAGTATAATTTTTTTTTGATTAAAGATATATTCTCCTTCATCTTTGCCTCATTCTTCCTATGTCCATTCACTGCTTGTGTGCTACTGTTCATAAAAGTTCTCCCAAAAGTTTATCTCTTAAGGATTATAAATAAAAGTAATATTAGTTTGTTTGACTTGGATTTTTGGATGCCCTAACAATTTAAAATAATCTGAATAGCTTGACCTTTTTTTTTTATGCAAGGCTCAGACATTAAAAAAGCTTATTGTTTTGTATAAAGGATTACAATTTTGTAAGTATAATTCTCTAAAATGGCCTAACATTATTTTGGTAAATAATATGTTAATATATCTTAATATATGTTATTATATATTAAAATATTTGTTTTATTGTATAACTGTTTTATTGTGAAAGATATAATTACAGGTTTAGAAGGTAGAATTTGACTTAAATGTTTTTTTTATTTTCTAATAGATAATGACTAAACACCAGGGTACTTAAGAATTCTATAACAGTTTACTTTAATTTGATTTTATTAAACATCAAAATTATTTTTATTTAGACTAGATATAGGTTTGATGTTACAAGGCAAGAAGCAGAGGAACTAAAAAACAAAACAACTAAGGTTTTTTTGTTATTTATTTGTTATGAAAACTTGTGAAAATTAAAAATTGCTTACTTAAAGTTTAATAATAAAAGTCTACATTAATTATTTAAATAAATTTTTTCTCAAAAATTTTTTTAGCATAATTTAAAATACAAAAAAATCTACAGTTAATGAAGAATTTGCATAATTTAAAATAAAAAAAATTTAGCATTATTTAAAATAAAAAAAATTCTACAGTTAATGAAGAATAATGAAGATTAATTTCTAATCATAATCATATCACACGGTCAGCTCTCTTAAGAATAAACATTTTATTGTTGCAAGAAATTAAAGGCAAATCTAAAATTCCATCTCTCATGCATGATCTGATTTTGTTATTTCTCCAAAATATAAGACAAAAGTATTTGCAAATAACTTTTCTTTTAATTCATTTATTGCATCAAGTAACCATACTATTGTCATCCCAGAGAAACAGAATAATCAATTTATAGGCATCCAAATCAACTGAGCTTCCATTGCTAAAGTTATTTCTCGCTTGAACTCTTCTACAGTTTGTTGTCCCAAAAACATTCCAGTTGCTGTCTTCTCCAATAAAAGTTTTCTCCAGAAATCTTATCTTGACTCTCATTTCTTCAATGCTCTCTAAACTATTTAACAAGTACTTGAATCTTTTTTTCCTGTCTGCTATAGATCACACTGATCCCCCATGTTATTATAGATCACACTGATCTCCCAAGTTATTGTAGATCACACTGATCCCCAAGTTATTGTGGAATGAGTCTTCTTACTATTCTTCTTTGATCCTTTAGTTAACAAAACCTATAATCTCTAAAAAACTTACTCTATAAAAATAAATCGAGGGCTATTGCTCTTGGCACTTGATGGGCTATTGCTCTTGACTCTTGATCAAAGGTTTTCAATAACGTTTAACATATAATTTTTTATAATGGTGTATTTGAGAAAGTTTTTAAAGTTGATTAATCATTCGTTTCTAATTGCAGTATTAAGTTTTCATTTGCACCTCTGGGTTACAACAAGGCTCCATCCTTGGTCCTGTGTTGTTTCTTATCTATATTAATGATTTTCCTGATAATCTAATACCTCTAATATGGTTCAATTTGTTAATGACACTATATTTCCCTATTTTGACAAATGTTTCTTGTCACTTTTTGATTGCTTAGAATAGCCAGTGGATCTTAAATCTCTTTCCTCTGACAGCTTAGGGCTTGTAGTGGCCAGTAACTTTCAATCCTAAGCATTTAAGCTTATCTGACTTAATTTGATTAGCTTTTGAAGCATATTAAGCAAAACATTGTTTACTGCTAAAATTACTACAATATTCGATGGATAAATGTTGACAACTCCACTTTATTCTACAATATTCATATATGGATGAATGTTGGCATGAACTAATAACTCTACCTTATTCTACAATATTTGTATGATGGATGAATGTTGACATGAACTAATAACTCTACTTTATTCTACAATATTTGTATGATGGATGAATGTTGACATGAACTAATAACTCTACCTTATTCTACAATGTTTGTATATAGATGAATGATAAAGTTTTAACAAATAAATCTACTTTACATCTTCTTGGATAATCTTTCATTATCGTCTTTATTTTAAAATCATTCTCTATTTGCCTTTTTTCTCTATTATCACTAAATTTAAATTGACTTCCAACTTTTCCTTAAAATAGGTTTTAGCTTTGTTTAAACGGTATAAACAGTAACTTCAATACATCAGTTGTGTTAGAAAATTTTAAAAGTTTAGCGCTCAAAAAAAATAATAATTAAAAATCTATTCTCTTTGTTCCTCTTGTTACTTTATTTTTACCTTAATGTACCTTAAATAATCTTCTTTTTGTTTTTGAATGAAATATTGTTTTCATATTTTTTTTTTTCTTGGTTTTAAGTTGAAATAAATGTGCTTTATTTATATTTAGACTGTTTTTGTTATTCCACCATGAATGAGTATCACTAAATTTTTATTTTACTAATGTCAACTTTTTATTTCTTAATATAATTTTTGAGGTACTACATTCTATAGGAATAACTTGTTATGAAAATAAATTTTTTATATGATAGTTTAATAGTGATTTTTATAGCAATTTTCAGAGTTTATTTGAAAGAAAAGCTTATTTGATGATTGTGCAAGAAATCTAAAATTTATGAAACAACAAAATATTGTTTTTATTTTTAGAAATTCAATATGGGAGAACTTAATAAAGGTTCCTATTCTAGACAGGGATATCTATTTGTTCAAGTCAAAAACTGGGGTATGTATCCTGTACAAATATTTATTATAAAAATTTTGTGTTACACTATTATTGTGGAATAGTTAAATTTGTTTTTTAAATTTTGTTCTTAGAGTTTATTTTTATTTTTGTTAAAAATAAGGTGGGCTAGGTGGCCAGTGGATAAAGCATTACTGTAGATATTCAAAAGAAAACAAAATCATGTCAATGATACCATATACTCAAACATCAGGAAAGTTGGTATGAAAATCTATTTAAAATTTTATTTAATTTTTTAAGTTAAAAAAATTTAAAGTTTATAAATATAATTTGTATTTAGAACAGTAACACAGATACATTCGTTGTCACATCGTGTACCAGGTTTGTATGTAGTTCATTCTACCAGGTTTTTATGTAGTTCATACTTTAATAATATTAGTATAAAATCTAATATTAATCTAGACAATTAAGAAATCAATCCACTTCAGGGTTAGGGGTCAAATTTGCATCTGTATATGGTAATAAAATGCTAAATTGTATTTTTTTTTTTTTTTGATATTGTATTTAATTTTAAAAAATGTGAGTATTTGAATTCGTAATTGGTTAAAATAAATTCCCAGTCCATAAACTGGGATGACTGGGAATTTTTAGGTTTTTAGATTTTTTTTTTTTGAAGGTGGGGGAGGCAAATTATCATTTATAAACCTGGTATAATTTTTTTTTTTTAACGATACTGTTCAAAAGACTTTTTTTAATTCTTCAGTTTAGCATACCTTTTTATCAATATTTCCTGGGGGTATATCTTACAAGATCTTTAATTGTTGATCAAATAGCTCCAGTAATTGTTTTTCAATTACTTCATATTAAGTCATAAAAAATTATTTAAAGAAACATTTTTTTTGTAAAATGCAGTAACAATATAATAACATTCCTTTTTTTTTATGTAGATGTTAATGTTTTTTAATGTTTTTGACATGAGAACTTTTCCTCAAATTTTTTACTAAAAATAAAAACATTTGTATTGTTCAATAGAGTAAATGAGAATAAGCTATTTCAAGACATAATAAGAAAATTAGCTAATTTAAGACTTAGTAAAGAAAATTAGCCAATTAAAGACTTAGTAAAGAAAATTAACCAATTAAATACTTAGTAGAGAAAAAGTAATGAATGAAGATAATTAAAGTTGATCATAAATAAAAATAAAAAAAGTTTAAAATATTTGTATTTTTCTCAATATAAAATACAACTTATGTTATTTTTATTTAGACAGCTTTTGTATATTTGAATTTGTGTTTGGAAATCTAGAAAAATTTTATATGATCAAGTGTATTTGATTCCAACCCTGATCCAGGCTATTAAACTGTCGATCTAGGCTACTGTTAATCCAGGCATTCAAACTGTTAATCCAAACTTTGTATTTCTCAACTTTATTAATTGATGTTTTGCTTTTTATTTAAATTTTTTTCTTTTGTTTACTCAATGATTTTTATAAGTACTTTCATACAGGGCCTGGATCGGGACCCTGGGCTAAAATTTAGTTGTGAAGCTCCAAAATCTAAATTTCATTGACCTATATAATCATATTGTAAATATGGTTGTAGTAACTTTTTTTTAAGGCAGTCTCTAAAACATTGGGGTCTGGTAAAAGATTGTCCCGTTGTCAGAGCGCCTTTTCTCTCCTTCATTATTATTAAAGTGGGGTCTGCTCTCATTTTTGCTTTGCTCTATTATTGTTTAAATGAGATGACGTTATAAAATAGAAAGCAAATATAAATTACTTTATTATTTTTATTACAATTCCAAAAAATAAATTATTTCTTTTAGTCGACTTAGTTGATTTCAAAAATGTATTCGTTGATTTTAGTAAAATTGTTTAATAAATTTCAAAAATGTATTCGTTGATTTTAGTAAAATTGTTTAATAAATTTCAAAAATGTATTCGTTGATTTTAGTAAAATTGTTTAGTAAGTTTCAAAAATGTATTCGTTGATTTTAGTAAAATTATTTAGTAAATTTCAAAAATGTATTCGTTGATTTTAGTAAAATTGTTTAGTAAATTTCAAAAATGTATTCGTTGATTTTAGTAAAATTGTTTAGTAAATTTCAAAAATGTATTCGTTGATTTTAGTAAAATTGTTTAGTAAATTTCAAAAATGTATTCGTTGATTTTAGTCAACTAAATATTAGTTGATTTAACTTTAGAAAATTTATTAATCAATTTAGTCAACAGTCGAGTTACTTAGTAGTTGTAACAACACTAATATTAATAATTATATTAATGTATTTAAACAATATAGTAATAAATAACTTTTTCTTCTTTCTAGTAGCTCTCAAATTAGTTAGTGGGTGCTTGCAGTTGCTTGTAAATTTGTTAAAAAAATAATTACATCATATAGTTATAAATATAGTTAATAATTATATAAAATTTGTTTATTATGTTACTTAACGTTTTTTTATTTTTTAATTACTTATTAGGAAAGCGACAGAGTTATCAGAACGAAGATTTTTGTTTGAAATAACTGGCCTCGAAAGGTAAAAATAAATTTACATCAAATTAGTTTTTAGTATATGAAATATTCAAAAAGTTTTTTTGTGTTACATAGACCTCAGCCAATTGTACTTCAATGCACCTCTGATGAAGATAGAAAACAATGGTTAGAGGTCATGGAGGGTAAAGAACCAGTGAGTTTTTTTTTATATAGTTTTTTTTATTTGGCTTATATTTATTCTAGAATGTAAATTTTTGTAAATATTTTTTGTGTTTCATTTTTAATTTTATTCATTTTTTATTTCTGTTTATCTAGCTTTATCAAGATTCTTTTGAATTTGTACAAAATGAAGGTACATTAATTATGTAATCATATTTACTGTGATTAACAAAATTTTTTTGATTTTTTTTTTTTTTAAATCATAAATGAATTTAAGTGTGTCAGCTATAATTTATAAGTTTTCTCTTTTTTTATAATTGTTCTATGATTGTCAAATGAGCCTCAACAAATATAGCTCAGAGAAACACTGCTTAAAGAAGCAGAGCGCAGTACTCTGTTTCTTAATTTGCACAATACAACCAAAGATGTTGTGGTTTTAAACTCAGAACTTCTTAACTTTTTAAATAATTAATAGTATAAATATCTTAATATGAACAGATTTTTTTTTAACTTTCATTTTAAAAAAATATTTACACATTAGGATATTTAATTTATTGGTGGTTTTTATTTTGAAAGTAAATGTATTTAATTTTTTATTTGTTTTATAAATTTATATAAAACAAATAAAAAAAAAATATTTGCTTGTGTTTTTTCATAGAATGTCTTTTTAGGAGTAACGAGTATTAATGAAACTGGAGTTCAATTTTTTCTGAAATGTGTTGAAGCAATTGAGGCCAGAGGTTGTCATTTATTTAACTTAGCTCTTATAATTCCAATTCTAATAAAAATTTCATATTGTTTCATTATCATTAGTCATAATCAATATTTGAGTAGAAATACTAATTATGTACATTGTATTATGTATGTATGTATTAATATCTTGTTGTCTTTACTATTTTATGTAGATAACAGCTTAATTGTCAGTTAAATGAGTATGCTCCTAACTATTCAACTATTTATATAAAGTTTTTTATAAAATTACCCTTTAGGTCTTGATGATCAAGGAATATATAGGATAGCTGGTGTCTCCTCTAAATTTACTAAACTGTTGCAAATTGGATTGGGTATGTGAAAGTATTTATTAAACATTCCAAACACTTGAAATTTAAAATTATTTCCATTAATAATCATTTTTTAGATCAAAAGCAGTTAGAAAAGCTTGACTTACTTTCAGAAAACTCTCCTTGGGAAATTAAAACTATTACAAGTGCTATGAAGCAATACTTTAGGTTTGCATTATATATATATATATATATATATATATATTATATATATATATATATATATATATATATATATATATATATATATATATATATATATATATATATATATAGTATATATATATAGTACTGATGTCGGTATATGTTATATATTAGTGTTTTGAATTATTCTTATTGTTGATTGAAATAAAATGACTGCTTTGAATTATTCTTGTTATCCGTTAAAATAAAATGGGTAGTAGTTCCAGTACTTTGCACAATATATATATATATATATATATATATATATATATATATATATATATATATATATATATATATATATATATATATATATATATATATATATATATATATCAAATGGTGTTTTGTATTTTGTATCAGTGGCGTGCTGGCTCCAAAAAGCTCATGCAGAATTTTTCTAAATAGGCCTATTCATGCCGGATTTCATCATATACACTTAATTTGAAGGCCTATTAATAAATAAATGGCTTGTTTTATAATGGCATGTAACTTAGAGTAAACTAGTTAGCATTGCGACCTGTTTTTTGTCAGCATTGGTATTATTGCTTAATAAGGTAATAATGATAGATTTCAAATGAAGGTTGGGTGTTTTGGAAAAAAATAAAAATTAATGGAACAATAGAAATCCAGGTATTACAAATACTTAGTTGATATTATAATCATTTTATAATAAGTTTTATTTGAAATAAAAATTTGCTTTATAACTGGTAAATCTAAAAAATCTTTATCTGTTTAGAACTAAAGTAACATTAAGAACTTTTGCTTCGAAAAAAAAGCTTGTTACTATTTCAACTAAAATAAGAAAAGTTATAGTAAATAACTTAAGTTAAAATAATTATTTTCATACAAAACATTTAAAAGCACAAAACAGATTCTGTCTTTTTACTTTTTTCATTTTTTTAAATAATTTTTATGTGATATTTAAAACAAAAAAAATTTTTATGTGATATTTAAAACAAAATAGTTTTTCATGTGACAACATAAAGTTAGTCTAATGGCAATTTCTTTTGTTATCTTTATTAAAATAGCGCATTTTTTATGTTTTTCTAAAGATAGATTTAATAGTAAAACTTTTTAGAAAAGCAAATTTTTAAAAATCTTTTTGAAAATATTTTGACCGCATAAAAAGTTCAGATAACAAACCTGATATTTCAACTTTAGGTGTCATTTCAATTTCAATTTTAGGTGTCATTTCAATTACAACTTTAGGTGTCATTTCAATTACAATTCAATTGTTAAATAATAGTAGTATTCAGCAAAACAATAATTAAATTTAAAACTAAGTAGTCTTGATAATTTTTTTAAATACTATTTAACTTTACAAGCTATATTTTTTTATTACTTAAATCAGCAATCACGATTTATTTTAAATAAATAATTTCAGGATCCTGAATTCCCACCTGATTGTTGCGATTGCTTAACTCGACCCATGATGTAGTTTCTTTAATTTATTACAATCGTTAAAAGCGATTTTGTGATGTAAAAATAAATATTTTTTGCAAATATTTTTGAGGCTGATTTATTGTGCAAAATATTAATGCATTTTGCTCAGTATTAGCTGTACAAAATACTAATTTCACTCAAAATTATCACTTTAAATCAGATGATTAAAGAATTTAATTTGTAAAAGCATAAATAAAGCAAATAAAAAAATGTGGGCCAGCATGCCACTGGAGGATCTTCTTGGAAAATAAATTTTGCGGAAATATTGCCGTATTTAGGCGTTTTTTTGCAAAAAAAATATTGCTGTTAAAAAACAAAAAAATCAATTTGAGGCGGTGAAATTGGGTGAATACAAAAAGGCTCTAGAATAGTCTCTGATATATATATATATATATATATATATATATATATATATATATATATATATATATATATATATATATATATATATATAAACTAGGGCCCTGCGAAGCTTCAAAATTTCGAATCTAATCAAAAATATGATTTAGATACGATTCAAAAATTTTCAAAAATCAAATCCTTACTTATTTTGTTTTTGTTGTGGGTATTTTAGATATTCTGCGCTTTGGCGCTATCAAAATAACGTTACTTATCCTTAAATACTTTTTTAATCAGTCATTAAAAAGGTTTATATATATATATATATATATATATATATATATATATATATATATATATATATATATATATATATATATATATATATATATATAAATTTGTAAACAAAGAAAATACAACTTTTTTGGTACTAATAGTTTCATGCCTAAAGACAATCATCAGTCATGTAATACAAAATCAAGAAATAAAAAAACTGTTAAAATATAAAGTTACAATGAAGTGTGCTCCGTTATCACAACAACAGACAACAGAAAGAAAAAAGAAAAAAAGAAAAAACTATAAACGGCTGCCTAATCACCCGAATCGAACTTTGAAAGAAGAAATTTGCTTTTATGTCTACATTTAGAAACTAATTCATTCCTCTTATTTAATAAGTTGTCATTGATGTAAGATATTCTGAGATTTTTAAATTAACAAAGATTGCAACGTTTTACTGTGGGATTGTAAAATCTACAACGTTTTACAATTTTCCATTCAATTCTCGATCTTACTCCACTTTCTTTTAGCTTCCATATTTTCTTAGATAATTCAGTGTCGTTTTTTTTTATTTTTTTCGATATTAAAAGATTTTGTTTGGTTAGCGTATCTAAGTTTGAATGCGGTTTCACTCACTCCAAAAAACACTTTTTCATTTCCGTCCGGATTACTTGGGTACAATGTGGCTTTATACACTATATATATTATATATATATATATATATATATATATATATATATATATATATATATATATATATATATATATATATATATATATATAATGCTCTATTAAATAAATAATCAAATCCTATTTGTTTATTATTGAGCACTCTTATACGTACAAGTTTTTGTATTTTATTTACAAATACAAAATACCATTTAATAAATATATATATATATATATATATAATATATATATATATATATATATATATATATATATATATATATATATATATATATATATAATGCTCTATTAAATAAATAATCAAATCCTATTTGTTTATTATTGAGCACTCTTATACGTACAAGTTTTTGTATTTTATTTACAAATACAAAATACCATTTAATAAATATATATATATATATATATATATATATATATATATATATATATATATATATATAGAGAGAGAGAGAGAGAGAGAGAGAGAGAGAGAGAGAGAGGCCTCGGCAGGAATAAATGAGCAGGAGAGCAGAATAAAGCTTTCCTAAAATGAACTTGGGAAGCTGTGCGAGCTGCTCCTCATTTAAATCAACACTCTTTTTTAATTTTTTTTTGCAACAACTGTGCTTTTTAAAAAGCATTGCAGTATATAATGCAATTAATTTTTTTTAAATGACATTGTGTTTTTTATTTTAGTTTCAACTATAATTATACTTTTGTGAGAAAAATTATACTTTTGCAAGAGCCGTAAATTGCTCCCGTAAACCGTTTTAGGGGAGTTGAGGTCTGCCGAGGCCTGTATATAAATGCGGTTGTGGCGCAGTGGTTAGAGCGCCTGCTTTATAAGCAGGAGATCCAGGTTCGAAACAAGCTCTAGACATTTTTGCATCACAGTAAGGAAGGAGGCGTGAACTTCCTAGTTAAATGCACTTCCGCGGTGCTCTGTGACAAGACCAAAGTTAGGTCTTCTTGGGGCACCTAAAAATAATAACAAAAAATATATATATGTATATGTGTATATATATATATATATATATATATATATAGAGAGAGAGAGAGAGAGAGAGAGAGAGAGAGAGAGAGAGAGAGAGAGAGAGAGAGAGAGAGAGAGAGAGAGAGTAATAAGATTTTATTATAATACATAAAATTTTAGCTAACTAATATATTTAAATTTTTAGTTTAATCTGAAACACAAAATTAATTTTTGTTGTTTTATAATTAAAATATTTTAAAATTATTGTTACCATTTGCTTTTGATGCAATTTGTTGCTTTTATTTGTTGCTGTAAATTTTAGGAATTTATCTCCTCCAATGCTTACATACAAGCTGCATAGCAATTTTCTTGCTGCTGTTAGTAAGTATTTTAGTATGCTAACTTCTGAAAAGAAGATAATTAAAATATTTCAGATATGCAAACCATTTAAGAATTTCTTTTGAAATTATCAAAAATTTTTAATTTAGTTTAAATTTTTTATGATTCTAAATTTAGTATTTTTTTTAATTAAAAAAATACATACATAAATACATACATACATACATACATACATACATACATACATACATACATACATACATACATACATACATACATACATACATACATACATACACACATAAACAAACATATAACATGCAATTCACCTAAGATTTTTGCATTATTATCATTGACTTCATTTAATCCTTTGATTGATTTATGATTCTGTTTGACTTGTTGTTTGATTGAGGATGATTGATGATGGCAAATAGGAAACTGTTTTCGATCTCTTATTAAACCTTTAATTAATAGTAATCTTCGATCTGCTCTTAATCAAAATTCTAATTTCAAATCTAACATAGTTTATACATGTATAGTTTATGTTAGTTTAAACTTTAGAATCATAAAAATTTATAAATGTATAATAATATCAATATTGTTTATTATTCATAATATAAAAATATTTTTTTAATGTAAGTTCACCTCCACAAGGCCACTATATTTGAGCCAGCTATTTGAATTGTGGTTACAACCCTCTCCCAACTCTATAACTCTGAAACACGAACCTTAATAAACAAAGTCATTGTGTGGAGAAACAAGTTGAGCGCAATACTACCAGGGATGTGGTAGGAATCAAACTCAGAATTTCTTGCTTATGAGGCAATCACTCTAACACTTCACCACTACCGCATTACAAATTTTAAACAAAGTTATGACCACTCAATATTTATAGCAAAAACCTCAAATCAACCAATATTTACAGAGAAAAACCATTTTTGTAATGTTCAGTGTAATACAAGCAAACATTTTAATTCAGAAAACAACATGTGCAAACATAAAGGAATAGTGAAGTTAAGTTATAAAACATTCTTTAGTGCTTTTTTTTATTATATTTATAAACAGCTAAGGAACTTTGAAACAAAATGTTTTATGTATGCTGATCATACATTAAGAAGAACAATCAGAAACAGAATAAAAACAGAAATATTTGTGTAAAGGATTCTCTATAACCTTGAAAAAAACCTTCTGCATTGTGTAACACATGGTTAAGGGAGTTAAACATCAAAACCATAGTTATGCATAAGGGAGTTAAACATCAAAACCATAATTATGCATAAGGGAGTTAAACATCAAAACCATGATTATGCATAAAGGAGTTAAACATCAAAACCATAATTATGCATAAGGGAGTTAAACATCAAAACCATGATTATGCATAAGGGACTTCAAAGCTGATTTGCATATCAACAATTTGTAACAAAAGCAAATGGCTTACATAGTCTTTTAAAACTTTTTAAATTTAAATTGTAAACAAAAAGAAATCATAAGGATCTCATTTAAATTATTACTAGAAAATAAGAAAAAACTTATTTCAAACAAGAAATATTAAGAAAAACTTTTTGAGATATCAAAAATAAAGTTGTCAAAGTTTTAAAATTTTAACTCAACTTTTTTTACGTAATTGGTAATTTCCTTTTCTGTGCATGATTTTTTTATTTTTCTTTGTTTTTACAATTAGAAACTTGGACTTACAGCAATATGCATACTATTATAATTTTCTCAAAGAACAACTTTAACAAAATATTTTTTTCATATTTTAAACTACCTGAATGGTGAAACAATTACTACTAAAGCTATGTTTTGATAAAAAAAAATTATATCATTTCACATCATTAGGCCTGTGAGAGGTCAAAATTTGTGTTTTTTGATGACACAAATTAATTTATTAGTTTTTAAAGTTGATAAGTTTTAAGGTATTTTATTAAATGCATATCAGTAAGTAACATATTTTACTTCATTAGACAAAATCATTGAAAAAATAAGTTGTTACTAGAAATAAAGCGATTTTTTTTTCTACTAGCAAGTATGGGGTAACTTAATACAGCATTTGTGGTGGGGCCCTAAAACTGTAAAATAGTACTCCACTATGTCATAAACAATTTCTATATATAATACTACGAGATCCAATTTTGATAGAAAGTCATTATCATTGGATGACTTTGTATCAAAATTGATTGGTCTTTGTATTGAAATTTGATACAAAGAATATTGAATGCATGATTTGGGTTATAATTATTGATATGTTTGTCTTTCAAGTAAAAATCTGCCTTTTTTTCTTTTATATTTTTTATTTACTTTTTAAATGATGCTCATAGTTTGTATCAAATTACCCCATTGGTACCTTGATAAAAAATTACCCCATTGGTACCTTGATAAAAAATTACCCCATTGGTACCTTGATAAAAAATTTTAATTTTACTTTAAATATTTTTACATGTTTAACTTGTTTTGTTTTGGTAATTAATGAATTTAATTTTGTAGATATAAATCTATTCTGCAAATTAAACCAGTTGCCTAAAAAAATGGCTTATTAAAAAATTTGTTACAAAGCAAAAACCAAAAGTGTATCATGGTGCCCCACAGTCCCCTACTTCTAGTTGTTCTTTAAAAATAAGCCAGTAAAAAATAGCTTTAAATACTCAATTCTATCTGGCAGTCACTAAATGGTATAAGTTTTTAGTAAATTAGTTTTACAAATAAAACACAATAAATGCTTTTTATTTGATGTTCTTTATATATCAATTTAGTTTGACTTTTTTAAATCTTTAAAGTGAAACACTGTGAATTAGTTGTAGAGCAGTTCATATCATGATCCAAATATTTTCTAGTATCATTGTATATATATTTTTTCCTTATTTTTTATTGTGGATTGAACAGTTTCTACAAATCTGTTTAAAATTGTTTCTGCTTAAACATCTATTAAGAAAAAGACAAAGTTAATTTTATTTCCTTTCTAACATTTTTCAGAACCACTACTTGGCATTCATTATGGTTTAAATATTTTCCATTAAAATGAAGACACCAATTTTCGTTCTTCAAATTTTTTTGGTATGATATTTTCAAATTATTTTCTTCTTTCATAGTTTCTATGTATACTGATGACTATTTGGTTCAATATCATTAAGTCTTTTTGACAACATTTTTAACAAAAGTAATGCGCACTGCAAAACTTTTTTTTGATATAAGTAGCTTTAAAGTTGTTAATAGTTTTACAACTGGTGAAGTTTAGAAATAATTTCTTTTTCTGGAGTTAATATCAGATGGTGCTGTGCTGAAACATTGTACTAGTCTCAGTTATCACTGTATCTCCTTTAGGTGAGTCTTTATAGTTATCATTTTGGAATATTCTGAGTTTTTTAGTTGAAATGTTTTTACATTGTACAACTGACACTAGTGCAATGACCTGCTTTTTCCTTAGTTTTTATCTGCAATTGTTTATTTTATTGTTGGCAGCAGCCACATGCAAGAACATATAATTTTAAAATCAATGCAAATTATTGTGAAAACAATTAGGGTGTTGCACAATAATTAATATCTAAAGGTTCAAATTCTCAATAAGTTTAACATAGATGAGTTTTTTCCAGGAATTCCGGAAATTCAATTGAAAATTCCTTTAATTTTCCAGAAATTTCCGGATGTTTTTTGTTATTAATTTGAAAATAAGTTTATATATTTTTACATAAAATTTTAAATATGACAACTTTTGCATTTAAAAAAATATGTTTTCTATAATTAAAAATCTTTTTTTTTTTTTTTTTTTTGCTTTTTTCATTCAAAATTAACTTTTTCGAATATTAGAAATTCCTTTTTGTAAAAAATTAAATAATCTAAATTCCGTTTTAAAAGTTTACAAAAGTTTTTGTTGTCTGTTAATGCAATCAATTTTTAATAAAATAATTTTCCAGGATTTTCCAGGATTTTCATAGAAAAAAATTTCACAAAGTCAAATATTCATCTATGTTTAAACATCACATATGATTTATTTTAAGCACATTAACACATTTTTTTTTTTTTTTTTTTTTTTTTTTTTTAACATCTTCACTTCCAACAAGGCTGCAAGCAACCACTATAAGAGTTGGAAGTTACTGGAAGAGAAAAGACTAAATCTGTAGAGCAAGATAACGATTGACTGATGACTTAAAAGATTGCAAATTATATGAAACAGGAAAGCAAGATGAAGGAAGCGAATTCCAAAGAACTGATGTTCGAGGAAAAAAACTAGAAGAATAAGAGTTTTTGAAGCACTTAGGAACAGTCACAGAAAAAGGATGAGACTTAATTGAATGGCGAGTAACACGAGAATGAATTTTAGTAGATGGCACAAGGGACGCTAGCTCTTTAGAGCAGTGCCTATTATAGTATTTGTAGAAAAGAGAAAGAGAAGCAACATTACGACGATGTGACAAAGGTTGGAGATTGGCTGCCAGAGCAGGTCCAACTATGTTTACAATTCGTTTTTGCACCTTGTCTAAAAGAGAAAGAGCATCATTAGAAGATCCGCCCCAGATGTGGCAACAGTATTCCATACAGGGACGGATTTGAGATTTATAGAGATAGAGAATAGAATCTGGAGTAAGAAAGTGTCGAGCTCGATAAAGAGATGCAACCTTAGCAGATGCTAATTTTGCAATGGATTTGATATACGGTTTAAAAGAAAGATCAGAAGTAAGAGTTAATCCTAGAAGATGAATGGTAGATGACTCATCTAGTACATTACCATTCATAAATATAGGAAGATCTAAATTATTACGATAACGATTGGCCGAATAAAATTGAGTTTTATCTGAATTAATTTTACCTATCTACTATCTACTGAATTAATTTTACCTATCTACTATCTACTGAATTAATTTTACCTATCTACTAATATTAAGTTCATACTTTTAAATATACCTCATTAATTTTAGTCATAAATAAAAGTTTGGCAATTAAAAGCTCTCAATCAAAATGACTGATTCTTATAAGATTTTCTTATAGATTTATAATACCAAATTTGGATATAAAAAGACAAAAAAAAATAAAAACTTTTTTACAAGGCTATTCAGAGTTCCTTGGGCACATGTAAAAAAATGGCAAGATAATAAATTCTAATTTTATTTACTAATAAAATTAATATGTTTTAACTGATTTTATTTGAGATTAGTTTTACAATTCACAAATCCTAAATAAATAAAAAATTATTGAGGATTTGTGAATTGTAAAACCCCACCCACCTCTCCTTCCCCTCGTCTTCCCCTCGTGTCTCAAGAGGGCTCAAGAGTAAGAGAAAATCTTCAGTCAATGAATTTTTCAGTATGACATCATTAATTTCATGTGACCTAAAATCTGAATAAAACTATTGAATAGGATGGAGATATAAGTTAAAATCATGATAACTTCCTGAAACCATAAAATCAATTTTATTTAAGGCTAGTTTTACCTCATATAACTTCTGAACAAAAACTGCAGTTTATTAAAAGGCTGTATCAATATCTCTAGATAACAATACAAGCGTGGAAAAATTCAGCATAAAGTTGACAGATAAAAAAAAATGTCAAGCATCAGCCTTTGTTTAAAAACTTGGAAAAACAAATTCAGCATTTCATGATTTTATTAGGAATTTACCAATTTTATTATAATTATTTAATTTAGAATGAATGAAGCGTATGTTTCATTCATTCTAAACATGCGTTTCTATTTTAATTGTTTTCCTTACTATTTAAACAAAATGTTTGTATTTAGAATTTAATTAAAATATTCGTTTTGACATTTTTATTTTTGTTATTTTATTTAGAGTTTGAATAAACTTTTGCTTTTGTTGCTTTTTTTTTTTCAATAAGAAGATGAAGTTTTTCCTTCATAGCAAAATCAGCATTTAACTTAACAAGGTTGTTATTCAATTCTATTGTCAGGTTCGGCATTAGTGCACAAGATGTTTTCTACTATGTCAAAAATACTTTTAACAATTGTGGCTTTACTGCTGATATTAAAAATACTGTAATTGTCTTTAACAGAAAAAACCATATTAGGGTCTGTTATATAGTGTAAAACCTCTGAAAACATTGTTCTTCTTTTTTTAATACAATTTATAAATTCTTTTTTTAGTGCAATGCTTAAAAAAGTGTTTTGGTTACTTTATCTAGCATAAATTTTAATGTTAGATCCGCTACATATAAGTTAAACTTTTCAGTGCAGAGTGTTTCAAGGGCTTGAAAGGTTGCAAGCTTGATATTATATTTGAAAGAAATTTTACTTCACTTTCATTAAAATTTATGTCCATTTTTAAATCTATCGGACTTTTTAAAGCAGCATCTTTAATTTTTAAAAAATCTTTCCAGCATGCCTAATAAACTACTCTATCTAGTTATACGATCTAAAAGTTCTTTTCTGACAGTTTTTTGAACGTATTTTTGCAGTAGTTTATTATTCTTGGTTTGTGATTTTCTGAAAGTCTTTACAACTTTTCAATTTATGTAATTAAAGAATTGGCTTCTATGTTTTGTAGAACAAGATGGGTAGTCTTGGTCACTTCATGGTCTTCTTCAAAGTTTTCAAGTTCACTTGAATAATCAGAATTAGCATAAAGTATTACATTAGCATCACACTCATTAACATCTTATACAGCAAGAGTTGTAATGCTATAAATACTAATATTATAAAGTACTTTTATTATTGCCAATTAAGCAACTTTACTGTTCTCTTATTAACAGCTGCTCCATCTGACAAAACTATATTAAATTCTTTTAGGTTCTTTTCAATTAGTTCTGCGCATACCTCAGCAGGTGCAGATCCATGGATCTGACTCAATCCAAGTTTCCAAAAATTACCATCATTTCCATGAACAAAAATATTTATGTACTGACGATTTTTACTCGTTGTCCATTCGTCCAAGGCTAAACGTATTTTTATTTAGCTTATTCTGTAAAATTTCATTTACAACAACTTTTCTTATTTTATCAGCATAATTCATTACTTTTTTTTTAATGGTTTTAGGCAATCTCTCTATCTCTATGCAGCCTTTTGCTTTCAATGTATCTCTATGCAGCCTTTTGCTTTCAATAACATTTTTAAATCTCCAGATGTACAAAATCTATTGAAAGAAATGATTGAAAAAAAAATGAAAAAAGGAATCTTTTACAATTATTCTTGAAAGGAATCTTATACAATTATTCTTGAAAGTACAGCTTCAAGAGATTTGTTTTTTTTTGTTGTTGTTGTTTTTTTTTTTAAAGAATGTTTTTTGAAAATAATTTATGATGCTACCGCGATTTCCAGTTCTTTTGAACATTCTTCTTTATATTTCTTTTTAACACATTAACTTTATGTTGACTGTTTTGATAGCCATGTAAACCAGTATATAATTTTATTGCCCAGAAAATTTATATAAATAATTTATTTCACTTTAATAGGACATTCTTTACTATTTAAAAAGTAATTGCGAATTTAAGTAATCTTTACATATTAAAAAACCTAAATCTTGCTCATCTTTCCTCTTCCAGTAACTTCCAACTCTAATAATGGTTGCTTCTAGTCTTGTTGAAAAATGTTGAAAAAAAAAATTAACAGTATATTATAAAAATTAACAGGTAAAAAATTTGAACCAAATTTGGCTATTTTTTAGGGTAAACCTTTAACTAATATTACAAATATTTAGAATTTCAATAAAAGGTTTGTTTTGACATTTTTCTTTTAATTGTTTTATTTAAAGTTTAAATTAAATGTTTGTTTTGCTGCTGTTTGTTTTTTAAATTATGTTTTTTAGAATTTTTAGAATTAAAATGTTCGTTTTACCATTTTTAATTTGTTTGAAATAACAAATAAAATTTGAAATTCAGGACGTAACTGCTAATCAGATTAGCAGTTAGGTTGGTATTTTTGAATGCCAACCTTAATTCCGAGGACTGAGTCTTATACACACTAATAAAGTACCGCACTCAACTTGTTACTTTGCACAGCTGTCTTGTTTGCCACAATTTGTTTCAGAATTATAGAGTTAGGGGAGGATTGTAATTGCATCCTCGATTCTAGTGGCCTTCAAGACCTTAGGGAAAATTCAAAAATATATTACATTTACATTATTTTATATATATATATATATATATATATATATATATATATATATATATATATATATATATATATATATATATATATATATATATATATATATATATATAATAATGTAAATGTAAAGTATTAAAAAAATTGTGTTTAATAGTTTAATTTTGTATAAAAAAAATTTATACTATATCCTGTTATGATTTTGTTGTTTATTCATAGCAGAAAATGGTTCTTATCCTGTTACTAAATATGTAAAATTATATAATATATTCTTTTAATTTTATTTTAGAGGGAGATAATGAAGAAAAAAAGGTTGATGCACTGAAAGAACTGTTGTCTCAGTTACCTGAAAAACATAATACTGTTCTTAATCGACTTTTGTACCATCTAAAATTGTATGTTTTATTTTAAATTTTGAAGAGATTTGTTTAAAATCATAATAAAACTAAATATACTGTGTGTATTACTCTGTTTTATGAATATATACAGTTTGGTACTGTAACCATATATTATGCACATAAAAAGCTGTTTTATATGGGTATATCAAATTGACATTTAAAATATTTTGTTCATTTTTAATTTTAGTTATTTTTTATTTTTATATATAAAATGCCATATTTTTCAAACAAATTTATCACTATTTTAAAAAAAGACTTTTTTTAACTTGTCATGGTTACAACCAACTAGGGTTACTTATCTTTGAGAGTGTTTGAATTTTAACTTAATGTTCTGATAGTATTGCTAATTGTAATTTAATGATCAATTGAAACCAAAACAGTTCGTCCAATTGTAAAGTAATAATCAATTTAGATTTAGATAATAGTTTATCTCAGTTTATACTGAGATAAACTATTATTCAGTATATAATCTCTGCAGGATTGTATACCAATTACAATTGATATACAATCCTAATACAATTGTAAATTAATAATCAATTTAGATTTAGATTTATCTCAGTTTATACCACTCTCTACAGAATCGTATATCTCAGTCTTCATGTACAATGATGATGTACAATTAAGAAATGCTTGGATTATATGGAGAAAAATTTTGATAAACTTATATTGTTTTCAATTTCAGTAATAACAATGTAACTGAAAATTGGTAAATTGAAATAAAAGTAATTTGAAATCCAGGGTTCAGAAAGTATATATTAAAAAGTTCTCGTCAAATAGTTTTACACTACCATTCTCACTAAATAAGTAAACATTTAAAATAGAAGAGCACTAAACTGAAAATCAAGGAAATTTTTAATAAATTTTAATTAGGGAAAATCAATATATTCTATTTTCTTTTTTTTTTTTTTTTTTAATATAGAATCAAATAAAAAATGATCAATAAATTTTAGAACTTGAGTTTTTAGTTTTTTGTTTGCTTATATTATTTCTAACTTTTTATATTAGTAGAGTAGCTGACTACTGTTTTTACTTTTTGTTTTTTTAATTTGTAGAGTAGCTGACCATGCTAATTTTAACTTAATGCAAGCAAGCAATCTAGGAGTTGTTCTTGGACCAACACTAATGCGCCCAAAAGAAGAAACAATGGCTGCCATAATGAATATTAAGTATCAGAGTGTTGTAGTTGAAACAATGATTAAAAATTATGATAAAGTAATTATGTTTTATTATTTTCATTTTTTAGATAATTAAGCATAATTGATTTAGATAATTAAGCATAATAATTGACAAAAATTTGATTTTTATAACTGATATTTATTTAATCAAAATGCAGCTATATCCAAATGGGCCATCATTTGATGTAAAAGTTACTTCATCTCCGAGTCAAGTTTCAGTGTCAAGCAACATAACTCAAAATCCTGTGTTAGGTAGTGAACCTTCTGAAGGCTCTCCATCTACTAAATATAGAGCTCCTGGTCCACCAAGTCGACCACCAATACGTCCAAGAAATTCAAAAAATTCAGGTTTTCTATTGTTGTTTTATAAATTTCACAAAGATTACATTATAAATACTTTGCATTCCATGACTACTAACCAGGGCTTTGGAGCCAGAGTCATACTCTGAAAATTTCAATGATTCGAGTCAGAGTTGTTACTTTTTTTTTTTTTAGGGTGTGGAGAAAAAAAAAGTAACAGAGTTGTTACTTTTTTTTTCTCCACACCCTACTAACATTAATCTCCTACACACGCTACTAACATTAATCTCCTACACACGCTACTAACATTAATCTCCTACACACACTACTAACATTAATCTCCTACACACGCTACTAACATTAATCTCCTACACACGCTACTAACATTAATCTCCTACACACGCTACTAACATTAATCTCCTACACACGCTACTAACATTAATCTCCTACACACGCTACTAACATTAATCTCCTACACACGCTACTAACATTAATCTCCTACACACGCTACTAACATTAATCTCCTACACACGCTACTAACATTAACAAGTTTTATACTTTTACTATTTCATACTAGAATTAATAGTTCTTATGTTCTTAATAGTAATTATGTTCTTAGTTTGTATTAGAAACTTGTAATGGAAGCTAAAATATGTTTAAATTTATAGGTAATATTAATGTATATTTAAAATTTCAGGCTATGAATGATTATTTTCAAACTATTAACAACTATTTACATTTATTTTCAACTAATAATGTTTTCAAAATAGCTGTATTTCATTTTGCAGATCGAAGCAGTTTTTCTCTTCTCTTTTTTTTTTTTAAGAAAAAGGAATTGTTGTGCAGCAGTTTTTTTATTTCTCTTTTCTAAATACTTCTTTTGTCTTTCTCTATTTTTCTTAATTTACTTTTTCTTAATTTCCATCATTGAGTTAATCTCTGTCTATAAGTTCTTGAATAAACTATTTTAAGAGCTTTGTTTTGCTCTCGATTATTCTCCTTCATTTTACAATATTCTATATGATAGAAAACATTAGTTTTATTTATATATTTCTTAAATGACCTGATTAATAAGTAATTAATAAAACACACTACACACTTTTTTACAAATAAATGAAAACTTGTGAGTAGAAATTTACAAATACAATAAAAATAAAAATAAAGTTGTGTCAATATTTTTCAAAATTGTTTCTGATGTAATGCAACTTTGAGCATAAAATTTGGAAAATATTTTTTTTTTTTAAATTAAAAAAAAAAAAAATTATTTTTTAACAGTTCGAAGCTACATTTTAATAAAAAATTTACGAAAAAAAAAAAGCTTTTAAATAAAATCAAATTATTATTTAGTTTTCTGACATAATGCAATTTTTTAGCTTATTCTTGCAAAAACTTGTATTGTTTGCTATTGGTTAAAAATAACCAATAATGTAAAAGCGCATCTGCCTGCTTGTTTTACATACTTAAAAAACTTTTTAAAAGTTTTAATATACGTAAAGTATAAAATCCTTAAATGTATTTAATTAATTTTTCATTTTTACGTATATTACAATTTGTATGTATTTAATTAATTTATTATTTTTATGTATATTACAACATTTTTAAAGTTGTAATATACATAAAGTATAAAATCATTAAATGTAATTAATTAATGAGAAATTTAAAAGAAAAATTCTTAGATGTTTTATGGCTAAAGTTTGAATTTAAATTTATATTGCTTTTAGATCTTATATATTATAATCCATAGGCATAAACATATATTAAACATATATTAAAATCCATAGGCATAAACAGCCAAAAAAAAGGTTTAAATCACAACTTTTACAAAATATCTGTAGAAAGCACTATATGATCAGCCAAGAGGCTGTATATCCACATTTTGTGTTTTTTCTGTTTATTATTAATATTTGTACTATAATACAATATATGCATCAGCGCTCAAAACAATTATTCAATGGTTGCCAATCAACATTGATCGACTGAAATAAAAAAATTAAAAACCAGACAATCAAATCATTTTTTAGACAATCAATTTTTTACCAAATTTTACTAAAATTTAAAATGCATTTTTTTTTCCCTTACATAACCAAATTGCTATTGTCATTTTAACTTTAATTATTTTATTTAGAATTTAAATAAATCGTTTGTTTTGTCGTATTTTTTTTTTTTTTTTTTATTTGTTTATTTAAAATTTAAATAAATCTTTGTTTTGCAGTATTTCTTTTAAATGTAAATTTATATAACTTGTGAGTATAAATAAAACATTGCCATTTTTATTTTAATTATTTTGTTTAAAATTTAAATTTTTTTTAAAAAGCAATTAAATAATTAAGCTTAAAAAGACTTAATGAAAATAATTACAAGTGACCAAAATTTGTCAAAAGAAAATATCTTTTGATAAATTTTGCGATAACTGATTTCATAAAAAAAAATTACTGTTGAGCTAACAATAACAATGAAATACCGCAGTGACATAACTTTTTGTGTTCAATTATGCTGCAATAACTCACTCAAAAACAATTTTTTGTGTTCAATTATGCTGCAATAACTCACTCAAAAACAATCATTATCTCTCATCCCCCCAAAAAAGTAAGAAATGGCTTAAATTAATCTTAAATTAGTAGAAATAACTTTGACCTCTCTATTTCTCATCGGGTTAAATTATTACTTTAAAGAAAAAACTAAGCAGTGTAAAGGTTTAAAAAAAAACAGGGATTATCTTTTTCTGGATATTATCGGAATTTGGATATTTTTCTCAACTTTTAGTTTTTCCGGAGATCCAAAATGTTATCCATGCATACAAGTTTAAGTATATATTTTTGGAATAAATTTTATTTTTAAGCTTTTTCACTCATTACTCATACAAAAATAAATAAAAGTTAAAAAAAAAATTGATATCAACTCAGCTAAAAGCAAAGTTAAGAGGAAAATATATTCCTGATTTTTTCCGGATATTTTACCCAAACAATTTTCCAGATTTTTAAAATATGACCTGAATGATCTATGAAAAAAAAAATTACAACTAACTTAAAAACACACAATAAAAATTTACAGTTAACAGGTTTAACATAATCGAGTGCACTTTAAGTTTTTTACTGGCTTTAAATCATATGACCTTTTTTATGCTTTACTAAAATATTTTACTAAAATCTGCTGCAAACTAACTCAAAGGGAGCCAAATTAAAAAAACAACCAATTTTAACTACAATAAAGTAGGAATTACCTTATTATAGCATTATCTTTCTTGTATTATCTTCCTTGTATAATGTTGTATAATAAGTTCTGAGTTCGAATTATTTTTAGTATTTACAAGGTTTTGACTTTACCTTTTAATAGAAATGACATTACACTTTGACATCCTCTAGTCACATTAGTAGAATTATAGTGACTTGAAATGATTTTTGCATTCTCAAATGTGTATACTACCAATTTGGGCAAAAAAAAAAAAAAAGAAATTGTAAGAGAAACAATGCAGAAATGTTTTAAGAAAAAATACAAATTAACAATGGTAATTTTAGATTGCACTCAACTAATTTTTCGAATACAGTCTGCAACTTTTTCCCAATTATAAATATAAAAATATAGGAAAAGAATTAATGGGAATAGCACTAAATAGAGCCAAAAATTTTTTAAGCATTTCAATAAACTAACACTGCCAAATGTAAAAGTTCAACTAATCCTTGAAGATAAAAACTAAATTAGAAAAATTGCTGTTGTGTTCGTGTAAATATAGCAATACATCAATAAAGAACACATTTAAAACACTTGTTTCAAATAAAGAAATATAAATAACAAATATATTTTTAAATATAAAATTTTTAATATAAAATCTTTTATTAAATTAACTTAATTTTACTTTTTTTGTGTGTCTTTTAAGAAATTTATTATTCTCAATATTCTCTTTCAGTATAAACTATAAAATCTAAATATTCTATCTCTAATAATGCCATAACACCTTGACAACGCCATAACACCTTGACAACGCCATAACACCTTGACTATCAATCATTGAATGATAAAAAATACGATTGTGTTTAAGTTTTATTAATAACGACAGCAAAAAAAAAATGTTGATCTTAGCAACCTTCAGCTATAACTAAAAATTTTTTGAATAAGGATACTTTGTTTTTAAGTCTCCATTAGTTGAAACAAAAAGGAGTTTTTGTGAGTTTCTTCAATCTTTTTTAAAATCACACTTTTCATAAGAAACAATAAAAACTTTAATTGCCTCTGAACTTTTGATTACAGCAGGAACATCCCATTGATGCAATACTTCTGTGTATTATGGAATGGAATTTATAATGGAGATTAAATTTAATTACTTGGTAATTTAATTGAAATAATACTGCAGCAATATGTTTGCAGCACCCTTCCAAACCAGCATTACAATTACATTTAGCATATAAAATATCCCTTTCTTTTCGACAATGCATATATAAATAAGCTGCTGATTTTTACTCCATTGAAGTTGGAGCATTAGCTCTAAAAAGAAAATAATTTATTTCAATATTGACTTAACAACTAAGTTAACAAAATTCTTTTTAAGTAGCAAATACTCGGAGATTTTATGTTTTAAAGCACCTCTAGCTCCAAAACTTGTGGAAATATTATCTATGATTAAGTATTTTTGTACTTTTACTTGACTTAAATTAGGTAACAAGGAAAGACATCTTGATCATGAACTTTTTTGCTGCTGTATATCTTCTTCAGCGCCTATCTTATTTAGATTAGTTATTTTAAATGCGGTTTATTTTATGTGGTAGTGGTGTAGCACTCGCTTCTAAGCAAGGGGTTCCAAGTTAGATTTCTACCACATCTCTGGTAGTACCACGCTCAACTTGTTTCTCCATGCAACAGCCTTGTTCGTCAAGGTTCGTGTTTTGGAGTTATAGAGTTGAGAGGTTATAACCACAAGTAGCCTCCTCACCTGTAGTGGCCTTCTTGGCCTTAGGGAGGTGAATTACACAAAAAAAAAATAAAGAAATACTGATTGAGAAATGGTTAAATTATTAAAAAAAAAAACTTGCTTCAATTTTAATAACATTTAAATCATGTTTCAAAGTGCTTTCATAGCTAACAATTGTGTTTATTCCTTACATAATAATGTTTGTTTATTTTTGGTGAATATGAAAACCAGTCTTATAGAGAGAACAGTCCATTTCTGCTAATCAAATTTGATCGAGATCAAAATGTCAGTTATTCTAAAAGTAGCCGTTCATTGATTGTTGATTGGTCGCTATTTCGAGAGCTGATGTATTATAGTAGATGATAATAACAAACAATGTATATATAAAAAACCGTTTTTAAACTTTTTTTTTTTTTCAAGATCAGTTACAAGAAGCAACTAACACTCATTTTTATACATCCTTAAAGAAAAGTGAGAATTAGATATACGTATTTTACTAATAAATATTTAAATTGATAAACACGTATTTTATTAATAAATATTTAATATGATAAACACATTTTTTTTTTTATAAAAATACTTTTTTAAATTAAACTTTGAAAAAAAAAATAGATTCACCCTCTGTCCAGCCTTCAGAGCAAAGTTTTAATGAAGAGCCACCTTCCATCCAGCCATCACAACAAAGATTCAATGAAGAGCCACCATCTATCATGCCATCACAACAAAGATTTAATGAAAATCCAGCCAATCACCATCCTTTGCGTCAAATGTCCAATGAAGATATGTCAACACAACAAAGATTTTCTGGTCGTCTGAAATCAGGTGAAAAAATCTTGCTTTGAAATCCATGTTTTACATGACATTAGCTAAGAATGTTGAATATATTTATAAATATTATTTGTTTTTATAAATATTATTATAGTAATATAATATTATACTCATATTTATAAATAATATTTTAGATTTTAATGATTAAAAAGAGAGGATTTCGTCTTTTCTTTTTGTCTTTTTTCTGTACAAATTCGAAAAATGTTGTCAAAGCATATTTTTAATGTGATTGTGCGCTTTAATATATATTGTCAATGTTTGATTTTGTTATAGTGCTAATTTGTGTGCGGCCGTGGTGCAGTGGTTAGAATGCTTGCTTTATAAGCAGGAGATCCAGGTTCAAACCGAGCTCTGGACATATTTTCGTGCCACGGTAAGGAAGGAGGCGTGAACTTCCTGTTTAAAAGCACTTCCGCAGTGCTCTGTGACAAGACTGTTAGGTCTTCTTGGGGCACCTAAACAACAAAAAAAATTTAAAAAAATAATAATAATTTAAATTGACAATTTGTTTTTAATCACGTCATTTGTTTTGAAGCATTTGTAAAACATTTTTTTGATATGTATAGTTTTAAATATTTATGATTATTATCTAAACTATATTATCTGTTGTGATGTAGACTCTAAATACATTATGATGTATTTAGAGTGCATATGGATGCATTAAGCATTGTTTAAAATTTAGTTTTGCAGCTTGCTTTTTGTGTAAGCAATGTGGAGGATTCTCAAAAAGCAGTTTGTAAACGGACAAGAAAGCAGTTTAGACAATCTTTGGCAAGATCTTAACTGTATCATAGTAATTTGTTTGGGAACTACTTCATTCCTTTTAAAAATTTAGGCTAAACTGAAATTTTTGTGTTGGTTTATAATTTCTTGATGTTTTGTATCAAAAAGTGAGGAAATGCTCAAAAAAGGAATTTTGTGATTAGAAAATGCTTTTAAAGCTAGCAACCAACATGCAAGCTAGCAACCTTATCAACATGCAAATGAACATATATTAAAGGTATATCAGCGTTTTTTTTTGTCTGAAAACTGTTTTTTAAGCATTAGCTGATAATCATGGCAATAAGATTTCAGAACTTTGACAGTTTCTTAGCAATTGATTTTGCATTTAGAGGTTGATTTTGTCTTTAATCAAGGTGTTAGGTAATATATATCTGAGAGGATTTATGTATACAAAAAAATTCATTATAAGGAAATCTTACCCCAATATCAATACACTGTACAGTGGGCCAGAGTTTAGCAAAAAGGTCAAAATGAAAGATTGTATATTAACTTTTTTAGTCAAAATGCATATAATCAATTTTTTATACGCTTTAGGTGCTTCAAAAAAGTCAAAAAGTTGTTAAATTACTTGTGAAAAGGGTAAAAATCTGAAATTATTGGGAATACAGAGATAACATTTAGAAATAATCTTTCCTTTTGAATTTTCGAATTGTTTCTATATTCACATATTTACATATAATTTTATGGTTATTTCAAAAAACTAGCATTTTTAATAAGTTTTTTACATTTTTATGACACATTTTTTACAATTTTTTATGTAACAAAAACTTTGCTGGAATCGTTTGTAGTACCATGGTGGAATGAAATTAACTCCTCAGCTTGGGGATTACCCACGGTGGTACAACATGTACCACAGTGGAATGAAATTAACTTAAAAGCATACTTTAATACTTTAACTAGCACTTGATCAAAAGATTGTCTGCCCCCACAGAAATACTGCTTGTGTTCGCCCCCACAGAAATACTGCTTGTGTTCGCCCCCACAGAAATACTGCTTGAACTAATTAATTTAAAAACTAACTTTACTATTTAACTATTAATTTTGAGGAAGATTTCATGATTTATTTATACAAAAACCTAGTGGCTATTAAAAAAATCTTGTCGTTTACAAGAGTTTGCACTATCTTTTATTTGTATATTTACTATATTTATTTATTTGGAACTGTTCATTGGAAATCACATTATTAATTTGGCATATAAAGAATTTTTTTTTTTACTTCTAGCTTAAAAATTGAGCGCAACTAAACATTATTTTATTTTAAATTTTAGCTATAATCTTTTTTTAAAATTTGTGATTTACTTTTCTGAATGCTGGAACCTCTGATCTACACTTATGTGTTTGTTTGCATTTACATGAAAAAAGTGTAATACATTTAAAATTACAATAAAATTATACATAAGAGAAATAACTGTGCCATCTTGGCGGAAAAGGCAGGATATGCTAGGTCGTAGGAGGTTATTAAAATTTATTTTAAAACAGTTTTTCTGAGTCTTGTTTAAAAAATTTCAGAATTTTGTTTAAAAAATATTATCAACTATGCTATCAATTTGTTAAATTTTATTTAGATATTTATAGTTGTGTAGTTTTTTTTTATAATTTGTAATTTTTTTTTTAGTATCACCAACAAAATCAACAGGAAACGTCCGGTAATTTGATTTTGAGTCATTTGTTTTTATGAGTAAGCTTGTGTAGGATTTTTTTTTAAGTTCAATTAATATTTTTATAATTTAAATTAACCTTTTAAAATTAAAAAAATTTTATATTAAAACAATGACTGTTAAAGATTATTGTATTCTAACATATTTTTAAAAAAAATATATATATACATATATATATATATATATATATATATATATATATGTATGTATATATATATATATATATATATATATATATATATATATATATATATATACATATATATATATATATATATATATATATATATATATATATATATATATATATATATATATATATATATATATATATATCTGTGTGTGTGTGTATATATATTAAAACAACATTACTAAATAAATATTAACAATTAAAAATAATTTTTTTAAATATATTGAAATAAAAATCTAAAATTTAAAGTTTTTTTTTTTTTTTGCAAGTAAAAAAAATGTTTGTTATTTAGTAGTTAAAAATTATTTTCGTTATTTACAACTGCTTCATAATATTCAAAATAGTTTCCATTGATTACAACTGCTATTTAAAATTTTTGATAAGTTTCGGTATTTAAAAGGTAGATTTAAACCTGTCTTGTATTATACAGAAAAGTACAAGATAAAAAAAAGTAGTGTGAATCATTAAAATTTATATTGGAACACGAGAAAACCGAGATCAATATTTTATTTTTAAGCCATTTACCCAGAGAATTGTTTGAATCATGACAATGGTTACAATTAACAAGTCTTTTTTTACAGAAAGCTGCATTTTAAGGTCTTAAAAGTTTACATCTTAGAATTAATATTAGAATAATTTTTTTTCGAAAAACCCTAATGTAACTACTATTTTACAAGCATTTTGTAAAAACTGACTAGAATTTCATTGGTTTAGTATCAAACGATGGAAAGTGACCAGATCAGAAAAATTTACCAGTAACGATAGGTATGCTATAAGATATTTAATATGTTAATACATTAAAATAATTATAATATATTTAACATTTGCTAAAATTTAACTAATATTATATAAATCAAGTTAAACATAAATAATAAATATATACTTTATAGATATAAACAAAATACTTGCTTTTGACATTTTTCTGTACCGTGAGGTCAAGCGAGATATGTAAGAAAATAAATTAAAATTAATTTACCTACATAGTTTTTTGAACCATGATTGTTTCTGAAAAATTATCTTCGGTAAGAATTTATGACTTAAAGATGGGGTTAGACACAATGCGCTTGCATGCATTAACAGACATACGTGTGCATGCATGAAATAACAATTTAGCACTAGTATTTTTTAATTTTATTTTGTTATTTGACCCATCAGGTAGTGATTTTTTTATTATTATATTTATTAACCTAGCTATCGTTACAATTTTACATTACATTTTTCATCAAAACTTTACATTTCATTTTCAAAGTTACAATGAATTTAGTTTAAAGCATTTTTGGGATTGTTTAAAAAAAAATTTATGCAAATGTTTTTGAAAAATGAAAATCCATAACCAAATATTATGTGTAGAAATTATAAGCAAAAAGATTGAAAAACTGTTTGAGAATTTCTATTGTGAAAATAACTCAGACGCAAAACATGTTTAGACGTCTAAAACGCGTCTTGTGCTGAGTGGGAAGCGTTTCACAGGTTAAAAATGCTTTTAGTTTTTGTAAAATCTTTTTGGGTGTAGTTTTTATTCTTTGAAAAACTACGTTACCGACAAAAACATAACTTTACTATGTTACGTTATCTATTTTTATTACGTATTTTACCGATAATAGTTTAGTTAAAGTTGCATGTTTTCTTTTTGTTTTCGTTTCATTTTGTTTTTACTAAATTAGTTTTATTTTTTATTTTTATTGGTTGTTTTTTTTTATATATGTTGGTACTTAAGATTTACAAACATGGTTTGTAATTCTTTACAAACCATGTTTGTAAACCTTAAGTTTTTTTTTATACATGTTGGTACTTAAGATTTACAAACATGGTTTGTAAACACTCCACTACTTCACTTTTAAATACGTTTTTTTTCAGGTTAACAGACATGGTTTACTTTATTTTTACCATTTACTAGTCCATTTTTTAAATATATGCTGCTTTTCAGGTTTACAGACATGGTTACTCCATTTACTAGTCCATTTTTAAATACGGGTGAAGAAGAGTAAGTTAATTTTTAAAGTTACTTCTTTTTCCCTCTTACTTTTTATTTTAAGTTTGTTTTATTATTTTTTAACTTTTTTTATTAGAGATGTATCAAATTCCCAAAGTAAATTAGATTCTAAGTCTGACGTAAATGCAAATGGGTCTGAAGAGTCTTTGAAAGAAAATAAACGCGTTAGATTAAAATCTATTGACCCTTTGCTTCCACCTATTATACCGAGAAAGAAAGAGTGGTCAGCTATACTTAATTTAAAAAAATTTTGTTTCGACACAGTTTTTATCTTTTTATTACAATTTAGTATACGATATCCGTCTTTATTGCTATAACATTATTGCTTGTTATTGTCGTTAACGTTATCAATTATTGTTAAATGGAATGTTTTGCTTTTTTAGGAAAGTTCGAACGAAGTACACCTGCATTGCCGAGAATAGCGCTGAGCTCACATTCAATGCTGGTGCAATTATTACCAATGGTATTGCATTTATATTGAGCAAAATAATATCATTAATATTGTATAAGCTTGATAATAATTTTAACTTTGTTAGATTTTGCTATTTGTGTTCAAAAAATTTAACGTGTATAAGTTTTAATTTACTTTTTTAGTGCGTAGTTCTACAGAGAATGGTTGGCTTATTGGTACATTGAATGGAAAAACTGGTCTCATTCCTGAAAACTACTGTGAAAGAATAGATTAACTTAAAACCTATCAGATTCAATCATCAGCTATCCCTTAAAGTAATAGCAAAGGTTTGGAACCTTAAGGTTCTTCATTAACTGATCGTATCTGTCGTAAAAGAAATTTCTCCTCTAACATAAAACTAATAAAGAAGGCGTTTAAAATCAGTTAAAAGGGATTAGTTTAAAATCAGTTAAAAGTGATTGTTTTTTAAGAAATACTTTTGTTATTTTAAAGTCGCTCTTTTAGTTAATTGCTTTTTGAATTGTTATTTTGAATCTCACAAAAAGGATTCATTTGAAGTCCTGCGAATCATATTTAATGGTTGCAATTTATATTTAATGGTAAATAGAACAAAAATATATCGCAAAAGATTCAAACACTTATCTTGTTTATAAATTTCAAATGTACAGTAAAAACTTTTTTGTTGTTGATGTTTTATAGACATTTCTATTTTAAAATTTGTTTCAAATTTTAAACTCGTAATTTTTCTTTTTAGTTAATGTTCAAATTTCAATATTTTTCGACTTTTTTTATAAAGAAATAATTTTTTAATATTTTAAAATTTTATGTAAATTTCATTTATGAAATTTTTGTTTTAGTTTTTAAATATATATGTATATAGGAAATTAAAATAAATTTTTCTTTGATCTAAATATCAAAATCAATGTCAGAATCTTTAGAGGACGATTTTCTTAGGTCACTTTTTAACAGAGGAAATCCGAAGGTTTTATGTTTCTTAAAAGCTAAAATTTACGTTTTTAAATTTTAATTATGTTTTCGTTTCATTTAAACAGAACTTAATCAAAAACTGAACAAAAGTTGTAAAACAATAAAACATTTATTTTAAAATAGTTTATAGTGTTGCCAAAAAAGAGTTAAGAGCACAATAAACTATTTTAAAATTCTACTTTTTTAAATTTTTTCTTTGGGTCCATCAAGATGAACATTCGGAAAATTCAAGAAATTTAAAAAATTAACACTATTTTTCAAAAAACTTTTAAGATTAACTTTATATTTGATAGGACCTCCTTTATTTTGAATTACTGCTTTCATTCTATGAGGCATTGACTCAATGAGTCAACAATTCTCATATTAATCTCTTGCTAAGCTTTCTTGATTTGTTTAGATCAGTTCTTTGCTAGTCTTCGCATAGCCAAGAAATAAAATTTATTTTAATTGAAAATAATAATAGAAACAAAAATAATTACAGCAAATTGAATAAAGACACTGAAATCTTATAAAATATGAATCGTTTTAATTTGTCCAGCATGTTTTATATAAAGTAAAATGTATTTTTTTGAGGAAATTGTTAAATGAATTATTTTTTTGTGATTCGTATTATGATTCAAACGTTTTAAATTTTGTTGAGAACATAATAAACTAAAAGTTTTGTCTAAATACTTTTTCTAAACTTTATATTTTTTTTGAATGATAGTTTTAAATTTTAAAAACTAGTCATTTACAACTGTTTTATTTGGTTTTAAAGCATCACAAAGCCAAAATACTAATAACTGTTCTCTTTTAATTTAATCAGGAATATCAATTATTAAGTCGATTATCAATGAGACAACTTTGTATTAACTTCTTCGTTATTAAGTCGAGTATCAATGAACTTTGTATGAACTTCTTTATTATTAAGTCGATTATCAATGAACTTTGTATGAACTTCTTAGTAATCTATTTAATTGTTTAGTGAAAGCCAGTTTGTTTAAAACATTAACATTAAGGTGAGTTTCCACTCATCCGTTTTTCACGGGAACGGGAAAGGGAAGGGAAAAATAATCACGTGGGCATGCGTATTATAGTTTTAATTTGTCCGAAGTAAAACTGCGCATGCTCAAGTGATAATTTTTCCCTTTCCGTTCCCGTAGAAAAATGGATGAGTGGAAACTCACCTTCAGTCTATTTTTTATCATTTTTTTATTTTCTTTTTTTTCAGTGTCAGAAATTTCTAATTTATTAAGAGCCATAGTTACTCCCTTTTAATTTCAATACTGCATAAATTACGTTTGGTGACTTCTGGATGCCTATAGGTAACAGTAAAATTATTCAAGACTGCTCAAATATCTCTATTTGCGATTATCATTTCTTTTTAAGCTGAAGCCAATGTCACACATAAACTATATAAGTTCAACAATAAGCCTCTACGTTTCTTAGCTAATTCTTCTTGGCCTACCAACACCAGCAGGTTCATTTATTCTATTTAATCTGCAAAAATAGTTGTTTTAGAAATGTTACAATCATAAAGCGGCATAAATATGAAATTTTCTTCTTATTGAAAGCTTTAATACAAAGTTTAATTTTTTTTCCCGCTCTAATTTTTGTTAAGTTTTGACATTTTTTCATTTTTTTGTTATACTAAACTCTATTAGAAATAATTGGCTTTAACTTTGAAATTGGATTAGGTCTAAAGTTAAATTTAGGAGGATTAACGCATATACGGATTGTGACTCTGTACTGCACATAAATTATGATAAATATTTAACACTATCATCAAAATTGATTCTTTCGGGGAAAGGGAATCGTTGAATGTTGACGTAATTTTACAAGGGGGGTTTCCGAAAGTTAAAAAAAAAATAAAAATTGGCAAAAAATTGTTTACGTCATTAATGGACAACCCATTTTCCGAATTCAAAAAGATTTTAGAATGTTTTTTATTTGAAAAAGTTGACGTGTTTACATAAAAGTAATTAACATCAATTTTTAACCATATTTTAACGACACAAACTTAAAAACTTATAAACGAAGTTTTTTAATGATTTTTCAACATCTTGTTTATCTAAACGCTTGTAATTAAACAAGTTGCATTAAACAAGTTGCATAAACCAGGGGTCGGCAACCTTTTGAGACGGTAGAACCAAAAGTTACAACTTACAAAATTTTTCAGTTTTTAAAGAGATTTTAACATATTTACATTAATTTTATATTATTGTTTGTGCGTGGAGCTAAAGAGCCGCACCTCGACATCGAAAGAACACAATGAGACTTGCGAGCCGCAAGCTGCCGATCCCTTGCATAAACGTTAACGTTCTCTTAAAAATTTAAATTTAAAGATATTTCTCATTTTTGACGGAAATCAAAACTTTTTTGTTTCACAACTTCGTTTTGATATTACTTTGTTTTTTTATTTTTTGCGTGGGGGTGATAAAAATGACTTATTTCAAGTTATAGTCGGTGTTTTATTAAATATAGTCAGCTAGTTGACAATTTGACACATTTAAGTCGTCAAATGTTTTGGTTTGAGGACTTATTTTTTTAGAAAGCGACCGATAGTTTTTAAGGATTTGCTCTCTTCCCTCCTTTCATTTTACTTCTAGAATCTCCCCTGCTAACTATAAAATTTAAAAACTTTTTGGTGTATAGTTCCCGGAGTTACACAAGGGTTATTTAATATATATCCTATTTTCGAAAAAAAATAGTAAAATATTTAAATCACGATAGTTTGCTTAATATAGATTTTTTTTTATTGATAGATGAGATTGACCAATTGTATTTTTATTTTATTATATATACACGTATGATATATTTTATATGGTTCTGGCGACAAGATCATTTGGATCTTCTTTCAGATACCAAGTTTATATATTGTTATATTGTTATATAACGATTAATAATTGTACACTAAAAAATAAATTAAAAAAAAAAAGACTGTTATCATTTTGACGTATAATAAAAAAAAAAGTATTTCACGTTACGCAACTGTTTCCTATTGTTTAGTTTTTGTTATTTATAACAATTGACAGTTCGCTTTTAAACAATAAACGTCCATCTATTCATATCTACGTCCATCTATCATACGTTCTTGATAATACTAAATTAAGAAACTTTTAGTACCAGGTTAGGAAAATTCTACAAATATTTTGTTGAAACTAAACTTTTATATAGTAATCAATTTGGTTTCCAGAGAAATTATTCTACTGAACACGCCATACTTCAACTAACACGCAGCATTTCTGATTCTTTTAAAAATTCTCATTATACCCTAGGAGTATTCATCAATTTGTCTAAAGCTTTTGATACTGTCGATCACAACATTCTATTAAATTAGAACTCTATGGAGTTAAAGATAAATCCCTAAGCTGCTTCAAAAGCTATCATAGTAATCGTAAGCAGTTTGTTAATATCCAAGACTCTTCTTTGCTTTTGTTAATAAATGTAACATGTGGTGTCCCACAGGGATCCATAGTTGGGCCCCTATTATTTTTAATTTATATAAATGACCTCAACATAGCCTCTAACTTAACCACTATAATTTTTGCTGATGACACAAACCTATTCCAATCTCATGAAAACATAAATACACTTTTTGATAATATGACACGAAAATTAAATAAAATCTCAAATTGGTTTAAGAAAAACAAATTGTCCCTCTATATTGATAAAACAAAATGGACACTTTTTACCCAACATCCAGAAAAAAATGTTTACCAATTACACTGCCCGACCTCTTCATTGATAATACAATACTAAAAAGGGAAAAAGTTACAAAACTTCTCGGAGACGAAAGTTGTAGACGAAAACTTTTCCTGGAAACAAAAAATCGATAATATCTCCTTGAAAGTTGCTAAAAGCATTGGAATTATATATAAAGTTCGACATACTTTAAATAAACAACAATTAAAACAACTATATTATTCGTTTATCCACTGCCGTTTAAATTATGCAAATATTGTATGGGGAAGCGCGCACTAAACTAAACTTAAATCTCTTTATCAGCATCAGAAACACGCAGCTCGCTTAATTAATTTTTCAAATCGTTTTTCAAATTCAAAACCACTTCTAAGAGAAATGAAAGCCTTAAATGTATACGAACTAAATGTTTATAATATTTTATGTTTCATGTTTAAATGTAAAAATCATTTATCTCCTGATGCATTTATAAACCTTTATAATGTAAAACCCATAAACAAATACAATCTTCGCAATGGAAAAAATCTACAAGAACCTTTCTGCCAAACTAAATTTGAACAACTAATTTTTTCTTATCGCGGTCCTTATTTATGGAATAAAATAGTTTTGCCAAATTTTGATTTGTTATTGAAATGGACTTTAACTTCTTTCAAACGAAAATTAAAAGAAGTTATCTTTTCAGCAGAAAATATTTTTTCTTGTTTTTAGTTCTTTTGTTTTACATTTTTCATATAATTTATCCAGTATATTTATATTTTAAATGCGCATTTATATATAGTTTATGTTGATTTTTATTGCTTAATTTGATTTTATTGTTATTACTATTATATTTGATATTGTAAAGGGCTTCATGATAAGATCGTATGATCTTCTGGAAGTCCTGCCGATTATATTTGTAATAAAGCCATTCTGTAATTGTAATTTCTTTTATGGAAGGCAAATAAATTTACAAAAAAAAAAGAAAAATTGAACTCCTTAATCTAATAAAACCAATGATATATTAAAAATAACTAGATGTCTAACTTCCACGTATTTTTTGAAGCAAAAATCGGCCATTATGGGGGGCAAATTTAAAAAATAGTAAATCACGGTTGTTTGGATCAAATAATATTCGATATTTATTATTCATAATTTATAAATCATGGTTAATTCTTGTGCTGCATGCAGCATGTTGCACAAATAGAGCAATGAAAAACGACAACAGAGCATTTCATAAATTTTCAATTAATAATAGAGAGCACTTTAAAAAGTGGATTGTTGCTATAAAACGTGAAACATTTATTCCTACTGAGCACAGCCGCATATGTAGTGATCACTTTTTACTTTCAAATTACAATATACCTGATTTTAATAACATACCTAAATTAAAACCTTTTGCTGTGCCATCTATTTTTATTGACTCCAAACCAAAACACAAAAGAAAGTTTAATTCTATATCGCCACAAACAAATAAAAAGAGACTCGTTAAAAAAGTTTCAGAAACAGGCAGTCACCATCACATCGATTTCCAATCGCAAATATGTGATAACAATAATGTTGCCGCTAATAGAAACGAAATTTATGTTAATAGTGTTATTTCAGAAACAACAGAGAGTATTGATTGCCAGATGGATATAAATAGTACCTTAAATACGAAATAACCAAAAATAACGTACTAATTAACTGTAATAAACTTAATCTATTCAAATAATTGGCCGATAAGACAATAGGCTATATGATTGTAGAACAATTAACCCAAAATAACCCAAAATTACCCGGAATAACCAAAAAAACATAGGGGAGAGTATGCACCCATGATCCTAAAAATCTATCAGGCCAACTTACTGAATATATGTTTTTATTTCAATCTCTAAAATAACAGTACATAATAGCAAATTTTATACCTTATTATAATTCAATTATCATTTTTTTACCAGAATATTTTAAGTAGATTTAAAATTATAAAAACTAAGAATGCTCAATTAGGATCATGGGTGCATACCAGTATGCTCCCTTGATCCTACCTATATGCACCCTTGATCCAATGTATGTATACTTGATTCGAGATCAAATGTATACCATGATTGTATAAGAATAATTTTTAAGTCAACAAAACAATGTCTATAATAAAAACCAATAAAGTTACTATTAATTTTACTACAAATTTATCTTTCTTAAAAAAGTAAAAATTAATGAAAAAAATGTTATTTTTTACTGAGACTCGACGTTTTTATTTTCATTACTTTCAAGATCAAGTTTTCTTTTTCTTGTCATGAAGATCTTATTTTGCATTTCATGTTTTTTCTTTTTTGACTGAGATTTTTTTTTTATTTCCTGAAGCTTATTTAACTCATTTCGAACAGGAGTGTCTGTGAGTATTCGAGTACGCTGATGTTTATGTCCTTTAATGGATTTCCTTGATCCAGCTTTTGGAAATGGCCTAATTTTTTCTAGACTTGCTTGATGAGAGATATTATTAGAAACACTGGATAGTTGACTTCCAGGGTCAGATATAGGCTTAATAGGCAATACACTACAAGCTGAACCAGATGACAGACTTGACATCAATGATTGATTAAAAGCTGGGGCATGAACTGGATCAACAACACTTGGAAAAGGGTTAGCAGTAATAGGTTCTAAACGGTCTGTTACATATGAAGACAAAAACTCATTATCAGAAAATATGTTAGGATTAAAGGGTTCAATTCCTGCCACAGCAAATCCTGCAGAAATGTTAGACAAAGTAAAAGCTTGTGCATAGGCTTTCCTTACAACTGAAGCTATATCATATATGGTCATCGGTCTTGGATTAGATACAATCCAATCATCACAGGCTGCATTGTAATAACGTTTCAGTGGCCCATAAACTGACCGATCTAATGGCTGCAACTTGTGACTACAATGTGGTGGAAAGGACAGCATAGTTATGCCATTTTTTTTAGCTAAATCTAAACACACAATTGAAACATGGCTCTCGTGGTTGTCAAGAAGTAAAAGCACTGGATTAGCTGGTGAACATTTCACATTTTGAATAAAATGTTTTATCCACTCTAAAAACGTTGCAACATTCATCTAACCAGATGGGTTTGCAACCCCAACACATCCAGGTGGACCACCATTTATCATACTTCCTTTGAAATGAACTCTTGGAAAAATAAAAAATGGAGGGATTGAGTTTCCTATTGCATTGACTGCACAACAAACTGTTACCAATGTCCCTCTTTCTGCTGAAGTTATATTTCCAACTTGTTTATCTCCTTTTTTAGCAATTACTTTAACTGGTTTTTGAACAGTTGTGAGACCTGTCTCATCAACATTATAAATGTTTTGTGGCTGAAACTTGTGTCGTAGACGAACATCTTTTAGATTGGTGAAAAATTCTCCGACTGTATAACAATTAAAAGCAGTTGCTCGTGTCATACTAGTAGCTTCTGGATTTCTTAAAGATAACTCACTCCTACGTAACATAAAACCACGAAGCCACTGTTTCCCAGCAATTTGTAAACTTATCTACGATTTAGGAATGCGCTTAGAACGAGTCATTGCAAATTCATAGGCAAGTTTTCGTGTTGTTTTGGTTGATAATCCATAGTGAAGTTTTGAGGCCCTTAAAAGATAATCTGATAAAGATGTTTCTTCTTCGTTGGTAAAGATTTGCATGGTAATGAAGTTAGGTTTGCAGACTGTATATGGATTTAATTGACATTTCCTTACATATCTTTTAAGTGTCATTAAATTGATTCCCCTCTCTTTAGATACACGATAAACTGTACTACCATTAAGAACTGCATTAACAGCTGCTCGCATTTCATTCTCATTAACTTTACCTCTAGGTGGTCTATTGGTTTTTCGTTTTTTATGATACACCATATTTAACTGTAAAAAAATGAAACATATTTATATAGTTTTGCTATATTCCTAATTTTTGGATAAACATTTATAAAGATTTTTACTTACTAAAATCTTCTTTATTAACAAACACACACAGATATATATATATATATATATATATATATATATATATATATATATATATATATATATATATATATATATATATATATATATATATATATATATATATATTGAATACTTTACAATTATATTATATAAAAGTTTTAGGAGAACAAAAAAATACAAAATAGTATAAAATCTTCATTTTAAGGCTTTATTCTACACCTTTTCTGGATCAATTTAAAAGGAATACAAATCAATTTAAAAGGAATACGAATCAATTTAAAAGAAATACGAAACAATTTAAAAGAAATACGAATCAATTTAAAAGAAATACTAATTTAAATTGATTCGTATTCCTTTTAAATTGATTCGTATTTCTTTTAAATTGATCCAGAAAAGGTGTAGAAGAAAAAAATATATTTAAAAACAATATGACGTATTGTACATGTTACTTTAAAAGTTAAACATTTTGTGTGTGTGTGTGTATGCACCTTTGATCATAGGATCAAAGGTGCATAAACGCATTAGGATCAAGGGTGCTAACCCGCTCCATTTTTACAAAAATTCTTTTTTGGTCATATTAGATGCTTCTATAGCTTACCAAAAGCAACCATACAAGAGGTGAATAGTTAAGTAACAAAATGACATAAGCAAAATTATTCAACTTAAAAAAGTATTAAAGATGTGAGGTTCCTTGTTAAAGTAAAAAAAAATACGGCGGACTTTAAAACGGCGCACCCCAAACTCGGTAAACAACGAAAATTTTCGTTACGAAAATTAAAAGTCGATTTTCATTGGCTAATAAATTAAATTAGATATTATATCATAATTATTATATCATAAGGGCTTTATAAAAGAAAGTAATAACTTAAATAAAACTTTAGCTTGTTTTCATTTTAAATACTAATCTGATTAGACTTGGCTTATATTAAATATCAAATGAGTTATTATGTTATTATGAGTTCAAATGAGTTATTATGTTATTATGATTATGATTATGAATTATGAGTTATTATGTTATCAAATGAGTTATTACATTATTATGAGTTATTAATCCTTATAAAGGCTTAAATTACTTTCCTAAAATCTAATCCTGTTAAATTGGATATTGTTAAAACTTTTTCTGATGCTTTTTTTCTTTAAGGATAAACACATTTGGCGATGCAGCAGCTGTAAGAAGACAAAGACACGAAGTGGTTTTTTTGAATGTTCAACATCTTTAAGTGTAAGTGATATACTTAAACTTATGTTGTTATGGGTTTCAGAGGTCACTGTTACTGCTGCTGCTGCTGAATTAGTAGGGATAAGCCAATCAACCAGTTCAATGGTATCAGAGACATCTGCTCATTCAAAGTTTTAGATGTTGCACCTGTAAACCAGCTGGGAGGTCCAGGACACATAGTTCAAATTAATGAATCTTTATTTTTCAAACGCAAGTATAATGTGGGTCACAACGTTAAAAAGTATTGGATTTTCAGGGCTTATGATAAAACAAATAAAAAAGGGTTTTTGATTAGGGTAGAGGATTGCATAAAAATACATTAGTATTTTTATGCAATCCTCTAAATACATTAGTACCTTTGATTCAAACTTAGATTGCTCCTGGTTCAACTATACAATCAGACACAATCAGATAAATGGGCTTCGTACAATAATTTAAGCAACTTAGGCTATATTCATTCAACTGTTAACCATACCACAAACTTTGTTGACCCTGAAACAGGGACAACAATAAACCACATTGAGTCCTTTTGGTATAGGATGAAGTTTAAATTAAAGTTTTTTTTGGTTATCAAGGTGATATGAAATGGTCTAGGTTGGATGAGGCAGTATATAGGGAATATTATGAGTTTATAAATAAAGATTTATGGCAAAATTTCAATATGTTCCAGGGTCATATTCACGATAAATATCGTCTTTGAATTACACATTAATATTTTAATTCTATTTTAATTTATGATTTTTTTTTTTTGAATTTTTAGAGCGAATACTCGAATTTTCTCAAATGATCACATACTGTGTTACACTGATGACAAGAAGATACACATACTTATGATGAGAAGAATATACATAGAGGAAAAGCTTAAAACAATGAGATTAAGAAAAAAAGACATTTAAAGATTGAAAAAGATAGGGAAGATTTTGAATTAAAAAAAGTTAATGAAAGAAAAGTAAACTGAAGAATATCAGAACATTTATTTTGAAAAGCAATAATATATTGTAATTATTTATTTGAGATTTAAAACTGTTAACACCTATACATAAATTTTTTTTTAATGTTTTTTGTAAATTTTTAACTTATTACAAAACATTTCTCAAGTAAGCTTTTGTAAAATAGTAAAACCTTACTTAAAATAATAAAGCTTAAAAAGAACTTCTACTTATTTTAATTCTAATATCAGTAGTATAGGTGTAAATGTTTTAGTTTTATAATTTTAAATGTTTATATATGGTTTGTAAATATTTAAATTAAAATTTTAAAAATGGTTTTAAAAAGTTTGTTTTTTTTCTTTCGAGGAATCCATTTTGGGTACTAGGTAAAATGCGAACTGCGAACCGGTAAAATGCGAACTTTTTTGCGAACCATTGTCCTATTGGTTGTTAATGATGTAATGTTTTATTTCCGTTAAATAATCCATTTAACGGTATGTTTTAAGGACTTTTAAGCGAAAAAATTAATTAAAAATAAATAAAAGGAAATTAAGTGAAACTTAAAAAAATACAATATAATAATTTTTTTTTTAAATTATTTGATAGACTGCCCGCCCAAACCAAACCCTCAGTCGATTTAGCAGCACTCCGTTGCGAGTCAGGCTATAAGATAGTCGATGTAGCAGCATTCCGTTACGAGTCAGGCTATAAGATAGTCGATGTAGCAACGCTCTACGCATGTTTTACAGTTAAAAAATAAAAAATTTACTTTAAATAAAGCCTTAAAATAGATAATTAAGAATTGGAGAGTTTTTTTATTATTATTTTTATCATAACAATAATGGTCTCTAAAATATAATGTTTTGGTTCGCAAAAAAGTTCGCATTTTACCGGTTCGCAGTTCGCAGTTCGCATTTTACCGACAACCTCCATTTTGGCACTTGTCGTAACGGCGCAGTTTTGCCATTCTGTAAAATACTCAGTATATTTACCGAGAATTTTCGTAACGAAAGCTTTCGTTGTTTACCGAGTTTGGGGTGCGCCGTTTTAAAGTCCGCCCTTAAGTCTAATTTAATTTATTAGCCAATGAAAATCGACTTTTAATTTTCGTAACGAAAATTTTCGTTGTTTACCGAGTTTGGGGTGCGCCGTTTTAAAGTCCGCCAAAAATACTTTTTTTCGTCAAAATCAAACTATTTAGAAATAAATTTAATAGTGGTCTATTCTTTAACCAAAACACAATTAATTTTGAAGATGTAATATTTATAACACGCTGGTTATCAGCCCTCTTTAATAAGTTATGTAAGTATGGAGATCGCTATAGGATCAAAGGTGCTTACGGATCAAGGGTGCAAGTTCTCCCTATAAATTAATTGTAATAAACTTAATCTATTTAAATAGTTTACCGATAATACAATATGCGATATGATTGACTAATAACTAACTCAAAATAACCCGAAATAACTCGAAATAACCCAAAATAACCCAAAAAAAGCGTACCGATTAACTGTAATAAAGTTAATCTATTCAAATAATTGACCGATAATATAATGTGCGATATGATTAATAAAAATTAACTAAAAATAACCCAAAATAACCCAAAATAACTTAAATTAACCCAAAATAACCCGAATTAACCCGAAATAACCCAATATAAATCAAAATATTTCGAAATAACGTAAGAATTAACTGTAATAAACTTAATCTATTCAAATAATTTGGCCAACAGTTTATAAAAAACCCAAATAAAGAAGATGTTGCATTAAGGGTATTCCGCATAATAAAAATTCAGTGGTTCAAAAAATACTTATTTGAACATTTATGGAAACAAAAAAGGCACCTAGTAGGAAACGGGCCCATTTGGAAGCACTACTGATTCGCAAAACACGTGATTGAATCTTTCAACAATTATTAATTTTAAATGATAAAATGATGCGAAAAAACTTCAAGATTATAGCAGTTTAACTTGTTAGTTAAAATGAAATTTTAAACTGCTTCTAACTTAACAGCTGTTAAGTGCAAATTAACGAAAATTCCTTTGTGCGTATTTAATTTCCAAATGGAATTATCCCAGCCAACATTGACAGACGGGTACCGTATGGTTTTTGTCTGGGCTTACGGGAACGGGATTTTAACGGGTAAGTGTTTGGTTTCCAGACGGGTACCATATGGTAATAAAATCAAGCATATTTGCTCGTTAGGGTTTTATCTGGTTTTTATCAGGGCCGAATAACCTGGGGATTTGACGGGTTTCCCATAACGTTCCCAAAAGGTTTAAAAAAAATCATAACAAAACTTACTCGATGGTTGCCATTTTTAATTCGTATTGTGCGTGAAATAAGATTAAAAATTTAACTTTTATGCATTACATTTTTTGAATACATTATATTTACATTGTAATTAAAAAGAATTTTATTTTGATGTGTTCTGTCACTGTAAAACTCAGTTAAAAAGACGTTGTTTTAAAATTTCATTAATTTATTATCATTATAAAAAGAAATTTTATATACACATATATATACATGTATATATATGTGTATATAAAATCGACTGGGACCCATACGGGATACCCGGCGGTATAACCCATATGGGTCCCATATGGAAACCGCGGTCATGATCCGGCGGGATACCGTTGGTCTTCCCATACGGGACCCAGTTGACGACCCGTACGGTACCCGTATGTCAATGTTGGCTGGGATATTTATTTAAAACATTGCCAATGTCCCGAAAGTATTGTACATACTGCTAATGATAATGTCCTAAGGGAAATGTTTGTGCTAAAATCATTTCGAAAAGTTAAGATTTTTAAAGAATAGTGTTACAAAAAGCAAATAGTATAATTATTTACCGAATTTTTATGAATTCAACAAACTTTGTCAGTGCTTTTTGTCGACGTCTTGTTTAAAATAATTCTATAAAATTGGCGGTTAGAACTTTTAAAAGCTCTTTTTTCTATTTTGTATGACTTTCGTTTTGTATTTTTTTCAATATGAATCGATTAAAGAAAGATCAAGTCAGATACCCTTGTGTAATGTGCTCCAAAGAGTGTGGAGATATAACAATTTGTTGTGGGACATGTAAAAAACGGGTTCACAAAACCTGCCTTGAGATGAATGACGAACTTTTAAATCAATGGAAAACAACGAAAATGAGTTTTTTTTGCCAGCCCTGTTGTCATGTTAAAGATGAATTTGATTGGAAAAAAATTCTTACAAGGTATTTTTTAATAATTATTAGTACTATATATTAGGTTTGTTTAAAATACAGGGTGGCAACTACCAGCAACCCATGGAGGCAACTACCAGCAAAGCAGGACTTTTAAAGATTTTAAAAATCACATCCATTGAGGTGATACAGCACAGAAGTAAGATATATTATTTATATGGATTAGTTAAGTAAATATGGTTTATAAAAATAAAAATTGTATTACCTGGTCATTCCTCTTATTGGTTTCGAATAAATAATAGCAAGTTGCTTTTCCACAATCGTGGAAAAGTAACTTGCATTTATATTTTTTTTTTTTTTTTTTTTTTTTTTTTTTTTTTTTTTAAGTTTACATTTGTTGTCGTAGTAAATAAATTACTTTCACAAACACAAACAAGGTTTCTGAAAGAAGATCGTACTGATCTTATCATCAGAACCTTTTACAAACGTGTGTATATAAACTATATCAAAACATAATCAACAAATAAAACGTAATAAACAATAAAAGTTCTAAAGAAAATATAAAGTTAAAAAAATCTGACTACATCATCCATTAAGATAATTAAATTTTTCAGTTTATATTTAAAAATGGGAAAAGTAAAATGCATGTTAAAATTGGACAAAACAATTTTATTCCAAAGATAAGGTGCACGATATGCAATGCAAAACTGATTAAAACTGGTTCGACAAAAGGGCTCATATATAAAATTATTGTTTCTAAGTGTATACTTATTTATTGGCTTCAAAATTTATATCAAAAGCAAGGTAGACAATTATGGAATGCTCCATGATATAAATTGCATATATGAATTTATAAATTTTTATTTTTAGATTGCTATGATTAATCATCCAAAAAATATGCACAAACAATCACGGACACCAGAATCGAAACACCAACGTATCCAGTGTTGTTGCGTTCTGCCGTGTCAATTAGTGGATATAGTGAACTAATGCATATTTATGCATTAAGTGCTGCTCTTGCAACGCCAATTCGCTCTGTTTTTCCTGCTGATAGCAGTTTTTGCGATTTTGCATGTAGTTGTTTATGGACGAGGAGTTAAAAAGACATTGGATCCTGAAATTGCAGTACTGTTGACTTGTGCCAGTGAAGAAACAAAAGTATACAACCATATTGTCTATCTTGCCAAGCGTCTACCTGCAAGTGAGATTGACTTCAACATTTTGGATGAAAGTCTTTCAGACAGAATCAGGTTGATTAAATAACACAATAAATTATTCTTACAAACAACGTATCTAGGTCAACCAAAATACAAAATCAATATACTTTATTAAAAAACAAACAAGTTATAAGCGAGTAACAATTAATCCAAACATTTTTTTTCTTTAGAAGCAGTACACCACTAGCCAATGAAAATAATCTCACAATAACTTTTAATGACACAGATATATCAGACAATGAAACTGAGCATTATTTACATAAAGAAGCAGAAGATGCCAGTGACCAAAATATAATGTCATTGCAAAATGCCAGCAACAGCCTTCAGAATCTAAAATTTCTAGAAGCTGTTGAGATTATCAAGATATTGGTCAATCCTTCAAAACATATGTTAGAAACAATTCCAAAAGGTCCAAAAGAAAATGTTTATTTTCTTGTTAAGAATACAGAAAATATTCACAGACGTGCAAATGGTTTACAAAGCTGCTTTGTCGATAACTGTGGGGCATGGACAGGAGCAAGTGGAGCTTCGCCAGTTTCTTTTTACATTTGTCTATCTTCAGGTCATTTTAAAAATGTCATAAAAAGGACTGAAAAATTTTGTAAAGCTGCTAAACGTAACAAAAAGT